TCAGTCCTATCCCCTTTCCGGTGCAGGGTTTCTGCTTTTGGGATACAGCTAAATAACTCAGTTCTACCATTATCATTCACGGAAGCATCTTTCCTCAACCGATGCTTTCCTGAGTTGCAAATCAACTATCTGAGCAAAGATCATGGTTAAGACATCTGGAATGCACCCAGCTGGCTTGGCCTGGATTTGAGATTTGAGATCAGAAAATTATAATCATTTAGCCTTGCAAGAAAATGAGCAGAACAGACAGTTCCTGAAAAGTGACCACAGCAGTTGCGTCAATCGAAAAGGGCTCTTAAGTTCTGGATTCACAAGACCATCCTCTATTTTGAAAGAAAAAAAAAAAACGTGCCAGGGATTGGGGTGGTTCTTAATCTTGAGGGCCCTGCTAACTAATTAGGGGTACTTTAAATACTCTCAAATCACAGCCATGGTTCTCTCCAACGGGAGAACAATTTAAGCTGCTTAGGAATTGCTTTGCACCAAGTTTCAGCTGCAAGACCCTTGCAGAAGTAGGAGTCTTTAAAAAAAAAAAACCTTGCAATCAATTTAGGGGTTAGCTGAAAGCTTAGAAAACTCTGGAAAAGCCTGTAAAATAAAGTCTGTAGGAAAACTGATATGATTAAGTAGTTGTTCCCCCCCCCCCCTTTCTTTACAAATTCAATTTTGGCAAGCACACTCCACCTTTTTTTTTTTTTTTCCCCCTCTCTGGCTGCCAGTTTGCTTGGCCCAACTCTTTCTAAATTATACCATGTTGGTTCAGTGTTGACAACCTGGACCTTGTGTTGTTCACAGTGCTTCAAACTCTCCGTTGCAAATTAAGAATCTGACTCCCAATCCTTTCGTCTGGAAAAATTCGGGTTAGAGGGGATGGCTGGCAAACTGGAGCTCACCCATTTCTGGGATGGAAAAAAAATTCGGATTCTGCCCCCGCCCAAGTATCTGGGATTGCCCCATTGCCAAAGAGAGGATTGCAGAATTAGCTAACTTGTGGGGGAAAACTTTTTCACCTAGGGAACTGATCCCATCCAGACAGTGCCCCAGAGCTCAGCCAAAGGAAGAATTGAGTCCCCAGTGAAGAGGAACATGGGGATGACCGCGAGAAAAAAAACCCCAACCACTGTTAGATAAACACCAGCTTAGGAAGGACGGGTGAGGAAGAAACTCAAGACTAACCACCTTGATCTTGTTTGGTATGAGAGTGAGCAGAAACCCTGGCCACCTTTCAAGATTCCGTTATTATAACCTGCAACAAGAGTTCCAGGTAATCTTGTGCTGACTTTTCCAGGACTTTCCTAGAAGGGGTGATATTTGCAAAGCTGCTGTGACCCCTGAGGTCAGCCTCCTCCCGGCCTTCGTGCATACGTGTTCTTTTCAATCAAAGGAGCATCCCCATGTGATAAGCACTGGACAAAGTCTGTGCAACCTTGTTGACAAGGACTAGAACGATAAAGACCTTGACTGCTCTTTACAAACTCGGGGGCTCCAAGGTTAAAAAATAACTTTCCCAACTGCAGGGAGAAAACACTCTCAAAATGCCTGCAGAGAAAGAAGGAAGAGGCTTGATTGATTGTGAACGTTTCTTCAAAATGTGCTTTGAACATTGGTAAATTAGTCAATCACCCCAGGTACCATAAACCTGAATGTTTGCAGGTGTTAAGAATCACACACCTAGCCAAGACAGGGAAAGGAAATTCCAGGAAGGAAGGTGAGGTTCGAAGAGTTTTAATTAAACTTTCTTTTGTTCCCCGATTGTGTATTGCCAAAACTTCACAAGTTTTGCAAATTTAAGAGAAAGATTGCATACATATGAAAGCACAAGAGCTTCACGAGTGCCTTTGCCCTCCTGCCTTGCTCTGTTCAACCTTTCGTATGCCACAGACTAAATCTGGTGAACGTTAAATCCTTCTGTAACCTACAATATCCAACACAGACAAGACACACACACACACACACACACACACACACACACACACACACACACACAAACAAAATCCGCTTAGTTTAGAAGCCTTTGGAATGCCGGACGCAGATTTGCTTCCTCTCTCTTGAAGTCCTTTTTGCTTTTTGGTTGTGCCAGCAAAAGAACAAAAACACTGTAAGCAACCCAGATATTGTGTTTCCAGCATAGCTGATAGAAGTAGGGAGAAGGACAAGGGGAGAAATTGGATTTCAAGAGAGCTGGATGAAGTTTGCCAATCTGTCGGCAAAACGAAGTCCGCCTTTGCAATTCTGCCCATGAAAAATGAAGAGCAAAACTTGCATGCAATTCCATTTGTTCAACGGTAATTCTAACGGGGAGGGTGGTCCTCACGACCATTGGTCTTGCCACCATTTAAGTTACGACGACACTGGGAAAAGTGACTTATGGACCGGTCCTCGCACTTATGACTGTCGCGGCATCCGACAGACCCACGAGCAAAATTAAGGTGCTTGGAATGTATTTGCAGCCATTCACCATTTGCAACCTTCCCAGCCAGCTTTGGAAAAGCAAAACCCTGGGGGGGAAGCTAGATTCACTTACCAGTTGTGTGATTCCCTTAACTTCAGGGATTCACTGAGCAACTGTGGCAAAGAGGTGGTCAATTTGGGGTGCGACACACTTAACAACTGGCCTTGCTTAGCAATGGAAATTCCAGTCCCAGTATGGGAAGCTTCCTTCCTATTATATAGGCTCAAAATTGCACCTGCACAGATGCCTAATTGGGGTCCTGTTTGGCAAACCTTGAGGAATAATCTGCAATAGAACAAGCGATGGATACACCCAGTCCCAAAAATTCAGAACTAAAATGTGAAGGTTTTTTTTTTATGTCCACCTGCAGCCCTTATGCATAAAATAATTGGGTATGGCCTGCCTAGATAAAAGAAGAAACAGGGGGGACATGATAGCAGCATTCCAATATTTGAGGGGCTGCCACAAAGAAGAGGGGGGTCAAACTATTTACCAAAGCACCAGAGGGCAGGACAAGAAACAATGGATGGAAACTAATCAAGGAGAGAAGCAACCTGGAATTAAGGGGAAACTTCCTGACAGTGAGGACAATTAACCAGTGGAACAGCCTGCCACCAGAAGTCGTGGGTTCTCCATCACTGGAGGGTTTTAAGAAGAGACTGGACAGTCACTTGTCTGAAATGGTATAGGTTCTCCTGCTTGAGCAGGGGGCTGGGCTAGAAGACCTCCACAGTCCTTTCCAGCTCTATTCTGATTGAGAACAATTAACCAGTGGAACAGCTTGCCACCAGAAGTCGTGAGTTCTCCATCACTGGAAGTTTTTAAGAAATGACTGGACAGCCACCTGTCTAAAATGGTATAGGATCCCCTGCTTGAGCAAGGGGTTGGACTAGAAGACCTCCAAGGTCCCTTCCCACTCTATTCCGATTTGTCATTGTTATACAACCTATCTCAGGCATGCTCAACCCCTGGAGTACACAACAAAGGCCCAGAAAAGAGATTAAAAAAGACACACTTGTATAAAATAATATTTTTAGCCCCTTAGCACCACAAGTTCTAAGTGGGGAAAAGGTGTGGTGAGCATCTGCGTGTCTCTGTGTTTTTGTGGGTGTCTTGCCTCTCTTTGAAGCGTCCAGACTCTGAGATAACTTGTTTTAAAAAAAGAAACCCCTGGATTTGGGAAAGGAGAAGAGCGACAAGGCAGAAAGAAGCTTTCCCAGTAGCCAAGACAGAATGTTTACTCATCTTTGCAAACACAGAAAAACAAACATTCGGCCAAGGATAAACCAAATTTGGATGGCACAGGAGAGTTCCTAGCCTGCCTCGCCGGAGTGGGAGGAAGAGAACCTGGAGTAAAGGACCTGGAGAAAGAGACCAGAGAGAAAAAGAAAGAAGGAAGGAAGGAAGGAAGGAAGGAAGGAAGGAAGGAAGGAAGGAAGGAAAAAAGAAAGAAAGAAAGAAAGAAAGAAGGAAGGAAGGAAGGAAGGAAGGAAAGAAAGAAAAGGTAGGGAAAGAAAAGGTAAGGAAAGAAAAGGTAAGGAAAGAAGGAAAGAAAGAAGGAAAGAAAGAAAGAAGGAAGGAAGGAAAGAAAAGGTAAGGAAAGAAGGAAAGAAAGAAGGAAAGAAAGAAAGAAGGAAGGAAGGAAGGAAGGAAAGAAAGAAAAGGTAGGGAAAGAAAAGGTAAGGAAAGAAGGAAGGAAAGAAGGAAAGAAGGAAAGAAAGAAAGAAGGAAGGAAAGAAAGAAAGAAGGAAAGAAAGAAAAGGTAAGGAAAGAAAAGAAAAGGAAAGAAAGGAAAGAAAGAAAGAAGGAAGGAAGGAAAGAAAGAAAAGGTAACGAAAGAAAAGGAAAGAAAGAAGGAAAGAAAGAAGGAAAGAAAGAAGGAAAGAAAGAAAGAAGGAAGGAAGGAAGGAAGGAAGGAAAGAAAAGGTAAGGAAAGAAAAGGAAAGGAAAGGAAAGAAAGGAAAGAAAGAAAGAAGGAAGGAAGGAAGAAAGAAAGAAAAAGAAAGAAAGAAAGAAAGAAGGAAAGAAGGAAAGAAAGAAAAGGTAAGGAAAGAAAAGGAAAGAAAGAAGGAAAGAAAGAAGGAAAGAAAGAAGGAAAGAAAGAAGGAAGGAAGAAAGAAAGAAAAAGAAAGAAAGAAAGAAAGAAAGAAAGAAAGAAAGAAAGAAAGAAAGAAGGAAGGAAGGAAAGAAAGAAAAGGTAATGAAAGAAAAGGTAAGGAAAGAAGGAAAGAAAGAAGGAAAGAAAGAAGGAAAGAAAGAAGGAAGGAAGGAAAGAAAGAAAGAAAAAGAAAGGAAAAAAAAGTTTGCAGCCCTTCAATCCCAATTATTCTTTTTGTAAAAATTAAAGTTATTATTATTATTATTATTATTTAGACCCCGCAAGGAAGGGGCAGGAAGCGCAGCTCCGACGCGGACGCCTCCCGCAAAGCCTCGGGAGCGAAGGAGCCCGTCGGCGCGCGGGGCAGAGCCTCCCCTGCCCGGGGCAGTCTACCTGGGGCCAGGGAAGGAGGGGAGGGGAGGGGGAGAGCCTCCCCCCGAGCGCCCTTACCTTCATCACCTGCTGCCGCAAGAGGCCGGGCACGGTCAGCAGCAGCACCAGCCCGAAGCCCAGGCACAGCAGGCCCCCCACGGCCAGCCCGGCCGCCGTCCCGTAGCGCTGCCCGCAGCCGCCCTTGGCGCGCTCGCCCCTCGCCATGGCCGGCCTGCCAGCCCCGCCGCCGCCGCCGCCGCGCTGCCAGCCATGCCCGCCGCGGGGGCTCTTCACGGCCGCCGCCGCCCGCCCCGCCACTCCCCGCCCGGCGCGCCAGCCAACGGCGGCCGGAGGGAGGCGCCCGGCCGGGCTGAGCGGGCGGACCCGACGCCGCCGACGCCGACGCTGCCGCTGCGGCCGCCCCGCGGGCCTTCCTTGGCGGCGTCGCCCCCGGGGCCGGGCGAGGGGAGAGGGTGGGCGCGGGGGGGAGGCTCCGGCCGGCTGGCCGGCCTCGCTGCCACGTCGCGCCCGGCATCTCCGCTCCGCTCCGCCCGCCCGCCGGGAGTGGGCAGGGGTCTCGCGCTGGCAAGGCGGGAGGAGTTGGGAATGGGGAAGGAGGGAGGGGAGGAAAGAAGGAAGGAAGAAGGGAGGATGGGAGGGAGGGAGGGAGGGAGGAAAGAAGGGGAAAATGAGAGAGGGAGGAATGGATGGAAGGAAGGAAGGAAGGAAGGGAAGGAGGGAGGGAGGAAAGAGTGGACGGGAGAAAAGGAAGAAGGAAGGAATTGGGAATGGATGGATGGATGGGAGGAGAGAAGGAACGAAGGACGGGAGGGAGGGAGGGAGGAAAGAAGGGAAAAAGCGAGGGAGGGAGGAATGGATGGGAGAAAAGGAAGGAAGGAAGGGAAAAAGGGAGGGAGGGAGGGAGGAAAGAGTGAATGGGAGAAAAGGAAGAAGGAAGGAATTGGGGATGGATGGATGAGAGGAGAGAAGGAACGAAGGACGGGAGGGAGGGAGGGAGGAAAGAAGGGAAAAAAGCGAGGGAGGGATGAATGGATGGGAGAAAGGAAGGAAGGAAGGGAAAAAGGGAAGGAGGAAGAGTGGATGGGAGAAAAGGAAGAAGGAAGGAATTGGGAATGGATGGATGGATGGGAGGAAAGAAGGAGAAGGAAGGATGGGAGGGAGGGAGGGAGGGAGGAAAGAAGGGAAAAAGCGAGCGAGGGGGGAATGGATGGGAGAAAAGAAGGAAGGAAAGGGAGGGAGGGAGGAAAGAATAGATGGGAGAAAAGGAAGAAGGAATTGGGAATGGATGGATGGATGGGAGAAAAGGAAGGAGAAGGAAGGAATTGGGAATGGATGGATGGGAGGAAAGAAGGGGAAAAGGGAGGAAAGAATGGATGGGAGAAAAGAAGAAAGGAAGGAATTGGGAATGGATGGATGGATGAAACGAAGGAATGAGAGGGAAGGAAGGATGGGAAGGAGAGGGAGGGAGGAAAGAAGGGGAATAGAAAGGAAGGAGTGGATGGGAGAAAAGAAGGAAGGAGAAGGAAACCCTCAGCATGGCTGGCTCAGGAATTCTGGGAGTTGAAGTCCACCAGTCATAAAAGAGCCCAGGTTGCCTACCCCTGGCCTAGGCCTAGGCTGCTTTGTGACTGGTGGACTTCAACTCCCAGAATTCCTGAGCCAGCATGAGGGAACTATGGCCCCCTCATAACTCGTGGACTTCAACTCCCAGAATTCCTGAGCCAGCATGAGGGAACTATGGCCCCCTCATAACTCGTGGACTTCAACTCCCAGAATTCCTGAGCCAGCCTGGCTCAGCTTGGAAACCTCTCCTTTTCCCCTCAGCAAGGCTGGCTCAGGAATTCTGGGAGTTGGTCCACCAGTCATAAAAGAGCCAAGGTGGCCTACCCCGAGCTAGACGATGCTGGGAGGGAGGGAGGGAACGAGAGTCCAGCTAGACATAACAACACTAAACCTAGCATGAGAAACAAGGTTAATCAGAGATGATAAGGGATTCGCAGGGCTGGGGGCTTCAAGCTAATTGGAGAATGTGATTTATGAGGCTTCAAGCTAATTGGGGAATGTGATTTATGATGGTTAATTGGAGGAGGGAATTGTGCTTTGATAGGATGTGCTCAGGGGAGGGGAATTCAGTGTTTGGGTTCGGATTATGCCGATGTTATGCTACTCGAATAAAAGACCCTTTAAGGTAAAGGATGCCTCAAAGTTCTTTCAAAGAGTTTCATGTCGGAACCATGACACTAACATGGCCAGGCGTGCTGGCAAATGCGAACGTTGGAACGAAATGCGAAATGTTGAAACTAGCCACAATATAAATCAGGCTTGAACTGTGCTGCTTGAGCTTGTTGGCTTTCTTGCAAACGGTTTTTTGACTCAACCTGGGAACATCATCAGTGCTAGAAGGGAATGGCATCTGGCAGGACGGTATGTGCTTGGTGGTTTTCTTGCAGATGTTTCAATACCCAAGAACGGTAGATCACATCAGTGCTGGGGGGGGGGGTTGTACAGGCCTGCAGGATCCTGGGTGTTCCAAGCTTGGTTTGTTTGTAGGCGTTTATTAGACTAGATAACCTGATTAGTACTGGATTTACTCAATAAGTGTAATGACCTCCATGCTACCTTGTTGGGTATTTAAATGTCTGCAAGGCAGCAAGGGCCCCCAACTCCCAATACTGGGCTGCGGCATGCCAGCACAAACAAGTAAACCCCCCATCTATGGGATGCAGGTTTTCCCAGTTGCAATGTATGGCTGTGAAAGTTGGACCCTAAGAAAGGTTGAGTGCCAAAGAATGGAGGCCTTTGAACTCTGGTGCTGGAGAAGACTCCTGCGAGTCCCCTGGACTGCAAGGCGATCCAACCGGTCAGTCCTAAAGGAGATCAACCCCGACTGCTCTTTAGAAGGCCAGATCCTGAAGTTGAAACTCAAGTACTTTGGCCACCTAATGAGAAGGAAGGTCTCACTGGAGAAGAGCCTGATACTGGGAAAGATGGAGGGCAAGAGAAGGGGACAACGCAGAATGAGGGGGCTGGATGGAGTCCCTGAAGCAGGAGCCGTGAGCATCAATGGACTACAGAAGATGGCAGAAGACAGGAAGTCCACGGATAAACCTCTCTCCATGGAACCGGTCCCTGGTGCCCAAAAGGTTGGGGACCTCTGATGCTAATCCATTATAGGAAATGCTGGAGTATTTCCAAATGTGAAGATGATGAAAGCTTCTTTCTTTACCCTTAACGGAATTAAGTTACTCAAGCCCCCAGAATGAACATTGGTACTAGGTCGTCTTACCATTTCCTATCCTTTTTGTAATATGCTAGAAAATGTGTATCTTCAGTCTCTGAGGCTGAAGCAAAGGCCTTCAGGCGTTATTTTACTTTTGTTATTTCTGAGTCATTATTTACTTGCTTAGTATACGTGACTCAACATACTTTGTTAAGCTTTAACAGAGCATCTTAAATCTAACCACCTTCCCCTTAAGTGTTTGCCTCATTTTCTAAATGAGCATTTTCATTCCGCCCTTGTTGCTCCATTGTTTATACTTGTACACAACTTATTCAAATAATCCACAAAGACAATTGGGAATCCCAACAGCTTTATTGAAACAAAGTGCAGTGAAGTTTACTTCAAAGGTTGTAAGCGAAGCAGAAAGTTTAAAAACCACCCCTCAAACGCAGGACAAGATGGAGGGTGGACTCCTTCTGGATGTTGTAGTCGGAGAGCGTGCGGCCATCTTCCAGCTGTTTGCCAGCAAAGATCAGCCTCTGTTGATCAGGAGGAATGCCTTCCTTGTCCTGGATCTTGGCCTTGACGTTCTCAATGGTGTCACTGGGCTCCACCTCCAGGGTGATGGTCTTGCCGGTCAAGGTCTTCACAAAGATCTGCATGCCGCCCCTCAGACGCAGGACAAGATGGAGGGTGGACTCCTTCTGGATGTTGTAGTCGGAGAGCGTGCGGCCATCTTCCAGCTGTTTGCCGGCAAAGATCAGCCTCTGTTGATCAGGAGGAATGCCTTCCTTGTCCTGGATCTTGGCCTTGACATTCTCAATGGTGTCACTGGGTTCCACCTCAAGAGTTATGGTCTTGCCGGTCAAGGTCTTTACAAAGATCTGCATGCCGCCCCTCAGACGCAGGACAAGATGGAGGGTGGACTCCTTCTGGATGTTGTAGTCGGAGAGAGTGCGGCCATCTTCCAGCTGTTTGCCGGCAAAGATGAGCCTCTGCTGATCGGGAGGAATGCCTTCCTTGTCCTGGATCTTGGCCTTGACATTCTCAATGGTGTCACTGGGTTCCACCTCAAGAGTTATGGTCTTGCCGGTCAAGGTCTTCACAAAGATCTGCATGCCGCCCCTCAGACGCAGGACAAGATGGAGGGTGGACTCCTTCTGGATGTTGTAGTCGGAGAGAGTGCGGCCATCTTCCAGCTGTTTGCCGGCAAAGATGAGCCTCTGCTGATCGGGAGGAATGCCTTCCTTGTCCTGGATCTTGGCCTTGACATTCTCAATGGTGTCGCTGGGCTCCACCTCTAGGGTGATGGTTTTCCCGGTCAAGGTCTTCACAAAGATCTGCATGCCGCCCCTCAGACGCAGGACAAGATGGAGGGTGGACTCCTTCTGGATGTTGTAGTCGGAGAGAGTGCGGCCATCTTCCAGCTGTTTGCCGGCAAAGATGAGCCTCTGCTGATCGGGAGGAATGCCTTCCTTGTCCTGGATCTTGGCCTTGACATTCTCAATGGTGTCGCTGGGCTCCACCTCTAGGGTGATGGTCTTGCCGGTCAAGGTCTTCACAAAGATCTGCATTTTCTCTGCAACAGGGAAGGAGGGAAACAGAGACAGGGGAGCCACATCAATCCAGTTAGTAACTCTCAACTGATTAAAGAGGTCACAGTGCAACGTCTTACACTGATTTAAACCAGGCATCTCCAAATCTGGAAACTTCTGCTTGGCTGAGGAATTCTGGGAATTCAATCCCACAAGTCTTAAACTGGCCAGGTTTGGGAGACACTTGATTTAAATACAAGGAAAACTCCATGACAGGACCTCCACCGTTCTCTTCTTACTGTGCAATCCCCAGGTTCCCACTGCTGGAGCTGGACCACCGGCTAACCCCCCCCCCATTAAACCAATACAGATAATTTACCCGGCAGGAATGCTGTCTATCTATGCAGGCTACGCGTTCTTTCATGGGAGGTCCTGAAAAGTAACCTCGGATAGTCTCCTGCATGCCGCAGAGGCCACGACTAGATGACCTTCGGAAACCCCCTCTCCCACCCTGCTTTTACGCCCGAGCGAGCCTTCCCGAGGTGCGTTGGATCTCATTCCCTATCAACCCACCCCCCCCAAAAAAAATCTGGCAAGGTCCGAAGGGAGAAGAGCTGCACGGCCGCCGATCTCCTTTACCAGCCTCCGTCGCTTCTCGGGCCAAGACTCCAAAGAGCAGAGCGAAGAGGAAAAAGCGCGCGTGCGCACTGGATGCCTTGGGGGGGAGGCGGAGCTGAGGGCGCGCGACGTCAGAATGGAGACGTCACAGGCGTGTGGGCGGGGACTCGCTGATTCTCCCTGGCCGGGGCGGCCATTTTGGGTCGCGGCTGAATAAGAGCCGTTGAGGCCTTCCTCCTCCCCTCCCCTCTCCGTTTTAATTAAAAAATAGCCTTTTTTCCCCCCTCGGCCGACGCCGCCACGAAGGGGCAACCTATAAAAACCCGCGCGTCCCGTCCACGCCGTTTCCTCCCCCCTCAGAAGCGAGGCTCCCCACCCCCCCCACTTCCCAATAAGGCTCATTCAAGGAAAGCTATCCCCCCCCTCAGACGAAACTTGATAGTAAACATAAGAGAAATACCACTACAAGACATAAATTTAACAATAAAGGCTTACGGCGGAGCTCGAGTGGGCCCTAGCAGACAGCAACAAACTCACAAAAACACGAGGCGACTTAGGTCTAACTGCGCCCCCGGCTGCGGCGTCCTTTTATATAGGCGTCGCACTTGGATCCCTCCGCCCACAGAACGGGAGGGATTATTTTTCGTCCCAGCGCACGCGGCCTCCCGCTAGCCAATAGAGCTGCGGGAGGTCAGAAGGGGCGTGAGCAGAGAGTCAGCCCCGCCTTCTGTGGAACGGAGCGGCGGAAGGATAAAAGGTTCGAGGCTCGGCGAATAGAAAAATAAACCGCTGAGTGGCAGAGAGACTCGGTTGGAATGAAAACCCGGGGTGGATTTCTTGGCTAAGACGGAATGGGCGGATAAAAGAGGAAGAAAGAGGGGGAAAAAAGAATGAATGCCAACTGCAGGATTTCTCCATGTTTCTCAACCGTGGCCACTTTAAGAGAAGGATGGACTTCAACTCCCAGAATCCCCCAGCCAGCACGCTCCTGGAGGACACATTTGCAGGCTAGGGAATTCTGGGAATTGAAGTCCACCCTTCTTAAAAATGGGGTTGAGGATGAGAAACTGGCTCATCTGGGCAAAATTGTAGCTTCCCCACTCCCTTTCTCCAGTTTTCCCCATAATAAGCCAAGTCTGCAAATGGGGCTGCCCCACTTTACCCCCCTTGCAACTTTCTGCTTAAATCTTCCTTGGAGGTGTTTGCCTCCGTTGCATCAATCCAAGCCAAAAAAGGCGGAGACGTTTTCCAACTCTTGGATTTTTGCAGAAGAGAAAAAAAAAAATTACTTTTACAAATAAAAATTAAATAAAAACTTGCGGGCCTCCCCGTCGGGGAATCGAACCCCGGTCTCCCGCGTGACAGGCGGGGATACTTACCATTATACTAACGAGGAGGAGCCCTTACAAGGGTTTCCAGTCACTCTCCTTGAAGGGAAAGCAGAGTCAACTCCTGGGCCATGTTAAGCCAGAGGGGGGGGGTCTTCCAGCTTGGCCCTTTGAGGACTGGTGGACTTCAACTCCCAGAATTCCTCAGCCAGCTTGCCTGGCTGAGGAATTCTGGGAGTTGAAGTCCACCAGTCCTCAAAGGGCCAAGCTGGAAGTCCCTTGCCTTAAGCCAAGGGTCCCCTTTCACACGTTTCCTAGGGGAGAATCTCGTGCAAGAGAAAAGAGACTCAAGCAGACGGGAGCAAGCATCAGCAGCCCATGCAACTTTGCAAAACACACACACACACACACACACACACAAAACCTCAGCTGAAGGGGCTTGGATGGGGTCCCTGCTTCCTTTTGGCTTCTTTCCAGGGTGCCACGCCCCCCCCCCCAAAAGAGTTTGCAAACACCACACACAAACACACACACACCAAAAAAGAAAAAAAAAAGAATCTGCCGAAACCCGGGATCGAACCAGGGACCTTTAGATCTTCAGTCTAACGCTCTCCCAACTGAGCTATTTCGGCTGATGTCACCCTCCTTCTTCGTTCTTCTTTTCAAGGCGGCGCCGCCCTCCTTTTTCTGGGTTTGCACATTGCAACCTGTCCCAATGGATTATAACTCCCCCCCTTTTCTTCCATAGGAGCACCCCTGGATTTGCCTCTGCGTTTACAAGTGGGGAGGGGGTTAATTAGCCTCTGGACAGCTGGGGGGTGGGGTGGCAAAAACATCTTGTAGCCTCCCCCCTGCCATCTTCTCTGGAGAACAGGCAGGGTTGCATGTTAGGTTTCTTTCTTTTTCTTATCCGCTTCATTGTATCTTGTTTCATTGTAAGCCGCCTCGGGTCACCTGCGGGAGATGGAAAGTTGTGTCAAACAAACGAATGAATGAATGAATGAATGAGCAAAGGAGCCTAAGATGCAAAAGTCACAGAATCCAATCAAGGGTACAAAAAAAAAAAAGAACCTCTCTTTGCTGGGGTGGAATGAAGAGAAAAGAAAGCACGGTTTGGGTAGGGATTTGGGCTTCTTTCTGGAATTTTATTTAAAAAAAAAAAAAGCTGCAAGGTCTCCCCGTCGGGGAATCGAACCCCGGTCTCCCGCGTGACAGGCGGGGATACTTACCACTATACTAACGAGGAAGGACCCGAGCGCAGCATTCGGAAACAGCCCAGTTAAAGGCGCTGGTCCCAAATTCCTTCCTTCCGTCCTTCCTTCCTTCCTTCCTTCCTTCCTTCCTCCCTTGTCTTCCTTCCTGTCTTTTCTTTCTTCCTTCCTCTCCTTCCTTTCTTCCATGTCTCTCCTTCCTTCCTTTCTTCCTTGTCCTCCCTCCCTTCCTTCCTTCCTTCCTTCCTGTCTTTTCTTCCTTCCTTGTCTTCCTTCCTTCCTGTCTTGTCTTCCTTCCTTCCTTGTCTTTTCTTCCTTCCTTTCTTTCTTCCATGTCTCTCCTTCCTTCCTTCCCTCTCCTTCCTTCCTTCGTCTCTCCTTTCTTGCTTCCCTCCTTCCTTCCCCTCTCCCTCTTCGTTTCAAATAAAATAAAATAAAACACACCGCTTGCTTTGGGGGTCCCGCTCCCCAAAGAGGACGATAAGCCTCCCGCCTTTCCCCTTCCTTGTACGGCTCACAGCTTCCAGGTTTAAGATGGGATTGAAGGGGAGGCATTTCTGTCTGCATGGAGAAGCGGGACATCAAAAGAAAGGGGAAAAAAGAGAATATTTCTGCAAAACAGGGGAGGGGGGGGGAGAGAATAAAGGGAAAGAATAGCTATGTACTTCCAGCTGGAAGCGTCTCGCACGGCAAGGGGATGTAGCTCAGTGGTAGAGCGCATGCTTTGCATGTATGAGGCCCCGGGTTCAATCCCCGGCATCTCCACGTTTTTTTTCCCCCGCATCGTTCAATGTTTGTAAATGCAAATCATAAGAATCCCAGGGCTGGAAGGAACCCTGGAGGTCGTCTAGTCCAACCCCTTTGCCCGAGGCAGTTCTTAACACCATGCAAGACAAATGAATGTCTATTCAGCTAACGTATATAGAGCATAATCATGTATATAAAATATACGTGCAATTGTTTTGGTCATATTTATGTAGTTTATATTGGCGGTGGTTACTCTTTGAGACCTGAATGCAATGAAATTTCATTTTAATGTATGCCGATTTATGTACATTTAAAAGGATAAAGTATTCTATTCTATTCTATTCTATTCTATTCTATTCTATTCTATTCTATTCTATTCTATTCTATTCTACTCTACATTCCGTTCCCTTCCATTCCATTCTATTCTAGTTGTGTGGTTGAAACGTGTGAAGGGCATGTATGCTCTACTCTGCTAAATCTTTATCTTTGTGGCTCAGGGTGTTTGTGTGAACCAACCTACTAGGATGTATATCTAAGCATAGTTTCTGGGTTTGCAGGTTTCCTTAGCCAGAAAAAAACAGGATTAAAGTAAACGCTGCTTAATGGAATGCGAGATTCTTGCAACTGTAGTGCAGGGTTTTTCAAACTTTGCCAGCTGGGGGATTCTGGGAATTGAAGTCTAAACCTCTTAAAATAGCTCAGGTTGAGAAATATTGGATTACTTCCAGCAACCATAGAGTCTGTTCTCAAGAAAAGCCAGACATTGGGGGATTCTGGGACTTGAAGCCTACCCTCCCCCCTAAATTTGCCAAGGTTGAAGAGTGTTCTCCAGAAAGGCCAGACCCTGGGGGATTCTGGGAATTGACATCCAAACCTCTTAAAAGTTGCTCCGGTTGAAATATTGGATTAGTTCCAGCAACCATAGAGTCTATTCTCAAGGGAAGCCAGACCCTGGGGGATTCTGGGAATTGAAGTCCAAACCTCTTAATGTTGCCAAGGTTGAGAAACATTTAATTTCTTTTATACAAAAGGATCTGCCATTTTCTCGTTCACTGGACTGCCTTCGGCCCAACCCAAAACGAACAACTGCACGATTATGATTTTTTTGCAGGTCACAAACGTCACCTATGTTGCTACTCAGCAGGTCACGTGTTGCTCTTTGGGATGACAAATATAGAAAGGCTGAATTAGTCTGCTCCTTCCTTGTGCAGTTACGGCTCTTGCTTTTTCCTAGGAGAGTCTTCATGGCATTTTCGGGAAGAACGGAAGCTCTGAGAGTTCCTGGCTCAAACATTCACTGCCTCAATGCACCGGAGGCCAAATTTTAGCAATTTCCTCGTGGGTCGCTTTCGGAACCCACTGGCAATATTCAGCCAGCAAATCTGAAACGAGAAGATTAAAACTGCAGAAGTCTGCTGGGATGCAACGTTTACATTCCTGAATTTAGCTTGCGATCGTGATTCCAACGACCGCCGGTTATCAAACCTTACAAAAAAAGTCTTTCGTGGCAGAATAAGCAAAATTAAAAAAATCTAAAAAACAAATGAAAATCTTGGATATCTTACATTTTGGGTTTTTCTCCCAGGCCAGCTGCAAAGCATCCCGGTTATCAACGTTTTCGGAAACGAGAGCTTGAAGCAAAGATTCTGTCCTTGGCTGAAGTCTGCGGAAATATCACACACACACACACAAACCATGAATCCAGAGGCGTGAATAAAATCAATTTTCAATCAAATCAAACCGACAGGGGAGCAAATGTAACTGATCCCAAGCCTGGCTCTCTAGTATGGGGGTGCCAGGAAGACAATCCTTCTCTTTCGTAAATGGATTATTAGAAATTTCCCTTTTTCCATTTCTGAATTTCGGCTAAAATTTCTGGATTTTAATTGCGGGTAAAGCTGGAGGTGGGAGTGGGTTGGTGTTTTCACTTAGGATTTTCATGTTTTTCTCATACTTGGTTGAGCCCCTGGACAGCTGTGCCAGGTGGCAGAAGGCTTCATGACTTGGTTCCCACCCAGCTGCTCGCAATTGCTGGTGCCAGGGAAGCAGTGTTGAGGTGTGAGACCTATCAGGGTGGGCCTGAGGACTCATGGATGGCATTTCGAGAGGGAGAGCGAAAGAGAGAGACAGAAGAGAGATTGAGAGAAAGAGAGACGGAGAAAGAGAAAGATTGAGAGAGAAAGAGAGAAGAAGAAAGAGAGGTTGAGAGAAAAATTGAGAGACAGAGAGAAAGAGGAAGACAGATTGAGAGAGAGTGAAAGAGACAGTGAAAGAGAGATTGAGGGAGAGAAACAGACTGAGAAAGATTGAGAGAAAGAGAGATGAAAGCAGAGAGATTGAGAGAAAAACAGAGAGAGAGAAAGAGGAAGACAGAGAGATTGAGAGTGAAAGAGAGAGAGAAAGAGAGATTGAGGGAGAGAAACAGAGACTGAGAAAGATTGAGAGAGAGAGATGAAGGCAGAGAGGTTGAGAGAGAAAAAATTGACAGAGAGAGAGAAAGAGGAAGACAGAGATTGAGAGAGAAAGAGAGAGGTTGAGAGAGTGAATGAGAGACAGAGAAAGAGAGACTGTGAAAGAGAGACTGAGAAAGAGAAAGAGAGAGAAAGAGAGAGGAAGACAGAGAGGTTGAGAGAAAAATTGAGAGACACAGAGAGAGAAAGAGGAAGACAGAGATTGAGAGTGAAAGAGAGAGCGAGGGAGAGAAACAGACTGAGAAAGATTGAGAGAGAAAGAGAGACGAAGGCAGAGAGATTGAGAGAAAAACAGAGAGAAAGAGAGATGAAAGCAGAGAGGTTGAGAGTGAAAGAGAGAGAGAAAGAGAGATGAAGGCAGAGGTTGAGAGAGAAAAAATTGACAGAGAGAGAGAGAAAGAGGAAGACAGAGATTGAGAGAGAAAGAGAGAGGTTGAGAGAGTGAAAGAGAGAGATAGAGAAAGAGGCTGAGAGATACAAAGACTGAGAAAGATTGAGAGAAAGAGAAGAAGACAGGGAGGTTGAGAGAGAGAAAAATTGAGAGAAAGAGGGAGAGATCCAGCCTAGAAATAAGGAGAAATTGCCTTCTTTGAGTTGTGGGTGCTCTATCACTGGAGCTTTTCAAAAATAGACTGGACAACCACTTGACCAGGATGGTATAAGGTCTCCTGCAATGGGTTGGAGTAGAAGACCTGTGGTTCTATGTTCTAAGAGAACCTTCTTAAGGATAGAGAACAAGACCAAAAGGGTTCACTTGGGGATAAGACAGATATGACTTTTTTGGGGGGGGGACTCCCTAATTTTACCACCATCTCATATACAATGAGAGGAAGGACCGTCAGCAAACCTACTTGGACCATGTCTTTAGCATCGTCACCGGACTGGACAGCAGACAACGGCTGTAGGCTGCCAACCGTTTTACAACCTAGAAAAAAAAATGAATCTACTGATTAATCTACTCATTTGTGAGCTTGGACACCCCAAAGAGCTTTTTCAATCCCTCGTCGCCAACTTTTTTAACGTTTAATTCGTATACAAGTCAAAACAGACTCAAAAAAAAAAAGGAAAATTATATGTTTTTCAAATCCAAGAGTAGGGAATTAGTGGCCTTCTAGTTGTTCCAGGACTACATCTCCCATTTGCAGCTAACATGGCCGCCTCGGGGCGGAGACCATGGTATTTGCGGTTGAATGCAATTCGCTAGCCAGCATGAGGTTGGCGAAACAACTTAAAAATTCAGGGAAAAGTCTGAAACAGCAGCAGATCATGGCAGAGGCTGAAATACAGACAGGCCTCATTTTATGACCCTTTGTTTAGCAACCATTCAAAGTTACGGCGGTGCTGAAAACTCTGGCTTACGACCAATTCTTACTCTGATGACGGCGTTTATGACAACTTGCGGCATCCTGGGGCCGCAGGATTCCCATTTGCCACCTTCCCAGTTATCTTCCACTAGGCAAAGTCAGTGGGGGAAGCTGGATTCGCTTAATGACCACAGGAGAAAGGTCATAAAACTGGATGCCCCACCTCCCTCCCCTATTATATTATGACTCAATTCAAAGTTGCATCACTTAGTGATGTAGGTTCCGGGCCCAAATGTGATTATCAGTTGAGAATTAACTATGGAGCAAGGGTCCCCAACCTGAGCGTCATGCCCCATTGCCGGGTTGCGGCATATTGGCTACCAGGCCACGTGAGTGGCTGGCCAGTGCAGACGTGTGTGTGCGAGCACTCACCTCCCCCAATCGCGCAAGCACCGCCCTGGCTTTCGTGCGGGAGCTAGCAGCCCTATTTGTATCGTGCGGGCGCTAGCCATCCCGAGTGTTGTGTGGGCGCTAGTGGCCCGCTTTGTGGCACGTGGGCGCTAATGGCCCCGTTTGTATCGTGCGGGCACGAGCCATCCTGAGCACTTCATGGGCTCTAACAGCCCCATTGGTGGCATGTGTGTGCTTGCGGCCCTGTTTGTGGCGCTCACACGCTTCCGGCTCCATTTGCGCATGCGTGTGTAAAGGTGCCTGCCTTTCCCTTCGGGCTGCTAACTCAGAAAGACTGGGGGGGGGGGGTCTCACCTGTCCTTCCAGGAAAAACTTGGCGAAATGTTTGAAGCGATCGAGGCCTTCGGGATAGTCCACCTCCACTGCAGGAAGCTGCCATCCGACCCGATCTACAGAAAGAGAAGGGAAGAGAGTGAATATAGCTGGCGTGAACTATATTCTTCCCCTCAACCACGGTTGATTACAGCCGTTCCTCATCCACCAACGTGCAAGAGGACCGTCTGACTGGGAGAATTTGCAGCCTTCGGGGCGCCATCTGTTGTAGCAAGATGGCGCAAAAAAAGAAAATGGAGCCAACCAGGATTCCAACAGAAGAGACTCTTGTAGCTCAAGGTTGAACTGGGGGGGTCCTTGGCGCCCTCTGAGCTTGGTGGTTTTGGTTGCAGACGTTTCATGACCCAGCTAGGTAACATCATCAGTGCTACAAGGGAGCAGAGTTTACAGAGTGGAGGAGGAGGTGGGATCCTTGAAGTTCTCTGAGCTTGGTTAGCTTTCCTGCAGAGATTTCATGACTCAATGACCCAACTAGGTAACAGTATCAATGCACTGATGATGCTACCTAGCTGGGTATGAAATGTCTCCAAGGAAAGCACCAAGTTCAGAGAGCACCAAGGACCCCATGGTCCTCTTCCTCCTCCACCAATTATCTTCTAGCACTGATAATGTTACCTAGTTGGGTAACGAAATGTCTGCAAGGAAACCACCAAGTTCAGAGAGCACCAAGGACCCCACAGTTCCACCCAGAACTACAAATATTCTCTCCTATCAGTACATAATAATAATAATAATAATAATAATAATAATAATAATAATAATAATAATAATAATGATGATGTTGGAAGGGACCTTGGAGGTCATTTAGTCCAACCCCTGCTCAGGCAGGAAACCCTATCGGACAAATGGCTGTCCAGTTTCTTCTTAAAAACTGGACTTGATGACCTCCAAGGTCCCTTCCAACTTTATTATTATTATTATTACATTCATTTCTCACCAGTTCGTTTTCCTAACCGTTGGTAAAATTTATCCCATGTTTTCAAATAAACTGAATCTTCTTTCTCTCAGCTATTTCTTTGGTTGCAGACTTTTAAGGATTTATTTCACGGAGAAAGCAAACTTACAGAAGGTGCTGGGCCTGTGGCAACGGACGTGGCCTGTTTCTGTGCAGTAGAACGGGGCAGGGTCATCCAGAGGCTTTTCGAAATGGCAGTAGGGGGGCAGGAGAAGAGGCACCCACTCAGCTTCGATGGCTGAAATCCCTTCAGATGGGGCAGGAAATAAAATTGGGAGAAAGCAGGAGTTTAGCTCGGCTAAAAAGTGATATAACACAACTTACAATTTCCTAAGCCAATTGTCAAGACTGCTAACATCGGATGTTCTTGCTTGCCATGTATGAAGAAGCAAACATGTTTTATTTAGCCTGCATATCATTTCTAGAGATAAAGTAGACAATACTAGCCTAGTGGATGGGAAAATATGCTAGCTAACCATAACAATATCTCAGCACAGCATTGCCAAGGTCAGCTGTAATGGCAAGGGCACTTCACACTTCACATTAATTGGAGAATGTGATTGATGACTGTAAAATGAAGGGGTGAGTTATGCCTTGTCACGAGTGATTGGGGGAGGGAGGATTCAGTTTTCGGCTTAACGGCTTAACTTTGTACGTGCCGAAGCTATGCAGAAATAAAAGGATTCTTTAAGGTAAATAAGCCTCAAAGTCCTTTGGAAAGCTGCTTCTTTTCGGAACCATGACACAAATGTACAGGCAATCCTTGACTTACAACAGTTTGTTCAGTGACCGTTCCACGTCACAACCGCACTGAACAAAAGGGCTGTTTTTCACACTTACGACCGTCGCAGTAGCCCAAGCTCTTGCGACCAAAATTTCAGCCGTTTGGCCACTGATTCCTATTTATGACGGTCACGCGATCCCATTTTGTGACCTTTTGACAAGCCAAGTCAACGGGGGAGCCCGATTCCCTTAATCCCCGTGTAGGGGCAAAAAAATAATAATAATCATTTAACAAATGACTCGCTTAACAACATAAACTTGAGGTGAATTGTGGTCTATCTGTATTTGCATCTTATCTTCTTATTCTTTTGAGGTGTCTTTTTTCTCTCCCCGGTTCTAGATTCTTTTCTTAAAAATATTTTTAAATATTTTTTTTTTAAAAAAACACAGCCAGGAAACAGCTGCCCGTTCACCTTTCATGTACATCTTGGTGCTCTCGACGATTTCCTGATACACCACAAACTCAGGGAGCTGCTTAAACAGAACGGAGGTAGGGTGGATGAAGACCGGATCCTCCAGGAGTGGCGTCTAGTAGGGGAAAAAAAAAAGTGGAGGGCAGAATATCCGTGTAAGCCGCCTGGAGTCGCCATGTGCGAGTAGGCGGCCATATAAATTTTCTAAATAAATAAATAAATAATAAATAAATAAAATAGAAAAAAGAAGAATAGAATCTCCATCTAGTACAAATGTACAGCATCTATGCAGCTAAAAGTCCTCCATAAAGGATTTGTGACATTTTACATTACAACAATATTGTGTTGTAAATCATACTATATTAATTTACGATAGTTATTAGTCAACCAGCAACTATTTAAGAATAACATACAAGGGACATCTTTCTTCATTTCCTGCCTCCCTCCCCTATTCTCTCTCTTTTCCTTCCTTCCTTCATAACTGCTGGCAAGCTTTTGACGTTTCCAGGGCAGTAAAATACAAAATGGAACCAAATCATCTATAATAGAGAATAAAAAGAGAAATCCCATAGTCAGTTTGGGGCACTGCTGAAGGGGGCTGGGCCGGGAAAAGGGAGATTATGAATGCTTGCTCATTTTTAGACATGGAAGTCAATTGGGTGACTTTGGGCCAATCACCAGGAAACTGCGAGTTCTAGTCCTGCCTTAGGCATGAAAGCCGGCTGGGTGACTTTGGGCCAATCACCAGGAGACTGGGAGTTCTAGTCCCATCCTAGGCATCAAAGCCAATGAGTGATTTTAGGCAAATCATCAGGAGATGGTGAGTTCTAGTCCCACCTTAGCTGTGAAAACCAGCTAGGTGACTTTGGGCCAATCACCAGGAGACTGGGAGTTCTAGTCCTGCCTTAGGGGGATGAACTCTCTCTTAGCCCAACTCACCTCATAGGGTTGTTGCTCTGGAGAAAGCATTAAGTATATATATATCGGAGTGCTTGGGTATGGTTAGGAGGGGCGTTCTAGCCTTATCTATGTTTCCTGGTAAAATACATGGGGAAACCCCATAGGAGGAAAATTCCACTTAGGGTTAGGGTTAGGTCACCATGAACTCATACAGCAAAATGGACATCGCCAAAAAACTCGGAGTGCTTGGGTATGGTTAGGTTGTTGCTCTGGAGAAAATAGAAAGCATTAAGTATATAACTACCTTTGTTTTTCTTCCAGCCTTTCTAGCCTGCCCTATCTATGTTTCCTGGTAAAATATATGGGAAAATCCCATAGGAGGAAAATTCCACTTAGGGTTAGGGTTAGGTTACCATGAACTCATACAGCAAAATGGACATCGCCAACAAAAATTCAGAAACTCGGAGGGCACTCCGAGTTTGTTGGCAATATCCATTTTGCTCTATGAGTTTGTTGGCAATATCCATTTTGCTCTATGACCTAACCCTAACCCTAAGTGGAATTTTCCTCCTATGGGATTTCCCCATGTATTTTACCAGGAAACATAGATAAGGCAGGGTAGAACGGTCAGTACCCTCCTAACCATACCCAAGCACTCCGAGTTTTTGGGTGACGTCCATTTTGCTGTATGAGTTCATGGTGACCTAACCCTAAGTGGAATTTTCCTCCTATGGGATTTCCCCATGTATTTTACCAGGAAACATAGATAAGGCAGGCTAGAACGGTCAGTGCCCTCCTAACCACACCCAAGCACTCCGAGTTTGTTGGCAATGTCCATTTTGCTCTATGAGTCCATGGTGACCTAACCCTAACCCTAAGTGGAATTTTCCTCCTATGGGATTTCCCCATGTATTCTACCAGGAAACATAGATAAGGCAGGGTAGAACGGTCAGTGCCCTCCTAACCATACCCAAGCACTCCGAGTTTGTTGGCAATGTCCATTTTGCTCTATGAGTCCATGGTGACCTACCCCTAACCCTAAGTGAAATTTTCCTCCTATGGGATTTCCCCATGTATTTTACCAGGAAACATAGATAAGGCAGGCTAGAACGGTCAGTGCCCTCCTAACCACACCCAAGCACTCCGAGTTTGTTGGCGATGTCCATTTTGCTCTATGGGTTCATGGTGACCTAACCCTAACCCTAAGTGGAAGGTTAGGTCAGTGCCCTCCTAACCCTACCCAAGCACTTATTGACCTTTCTAGCCTGCCTTATCTATGTTTCCTGGTAACATACATGGGGAAATCCCATAGGAGGAAAATTCCACTTAGGGTTAGGGTTAGGTCACCATGAACTCATAGAGCAAAATGGACATCGCCAACAAACTCGGAGTGCTTGGGTGTGGTTAGGAGGGCACTGACCGTTCTACCCTGCCTTATCTATGTTTCCTGGTAAAATACATGGGGAAATCCCATAGGAGGAAAATTCCACTTAGGGTTAGGTCACCATGAACTCATAGAGCAAAATGGACATCGCCAACAAACTCGGAGTGCTTGGGTGTGGTTAGGAGGGCACTGACCGTTCTACTCTGCCTTATCTATGTTTCCTGGTAAAATACATGGGGAAATCCCATAGGAGGAAAATTCCACTTAGGGTTAGGGTTAGGTCATAGAGCAAAATGGATATTGCTAACAAACTCATAGAGCAAAATGGATATTGCCAACAAACTCGGAGTGCCCTCCGAGTTTCTGAATTTTTGTTGGCGATGTCCATTTTGCTGTATGAGTTCATGGTAACCTAACCCTAAGTGGAATTTTCCTCCTATGGGATTTTCCCATATATTTTACCAGGAAACATAGATAGGGCTGGCTAGAAAGGTCAGTGCCCTCCTAACCATACCCAAGCTCTCCGAGTTTGATTGCGGTGTCCATTTTGCTGTATGAGTTCATGGTGACCTAACCCTAACCCTAAGTGGAATTTTCCTCCTATGGGATTTCCCCATGTATTTTACCAGGAAACATAGATAAGGCAGGCTAGAACGGTCAGTGCCCTCCTAACCATACCCAAGCACTCCGAGTTTTTTGGCGATGTCCATTTTGCTCTATGAGTTCATGGTGACCTAACCCTAACCCTAAGTGGAATTTTCCTCCTGTGGGATTTTCCCATGTATTTTCCCAGGAAACAGAGATAAGGCAGCCTAGAAAAGTCAGTGCCCTCCTAATCATACCCAAGCACTCCGAGTTTGTTGGCAGTGTCTATTTTGCTGTATGAGTTCATGGTGACCTAACCCTAACCCTAAGTGGAATTTTCCTCCTATGGGATTTCCCCATGTATTTTACCAGGAAACATAGATAAGGCAGGCTAGAACGGTCAGTGCCCTCCTAACCATACCCAAGCACTCCGAGTTTTTTGGCGATGTCCATTTTGCTCTATGAGTTCATGGTGACCTAACCCTAACCCTAAGTGGAATTTTCCTCCTGTGGGATTTTCCCATGTATTTTCCCAGGAAACAGAGATAAGGCAGCCTAGAAAAGTCAGTGCCCTCCTAATCATACCCAAGCACTCCGAGTTTGTTGGCAGTGTCTATTTTGCTGTATGAGTTCATGGTGACCTAACCCTAACCTTAAGTGGAATTTTCCTCCTATGGGATTTCCCCATGTATTCTACCAGGAAACATAGATAAGGCAGGCTAGAACGGTCAGTGCCCTCCTAACCATACCCAAGCACTCCGAGTTTTTTCTCTTCCCCTTTTCTCTTCCCCTTATTCTTTCCTTCCTTCCTTCCCTCCCCTATTCTCTTTTCCTTCCTTCCTTTTCTCTTCCCCCTATTCTCACCTTTCTTCCCTCCCTCCCCTATTCTCTCTCCTTCCCTTCCTTCCTTCCCCCCTCCTCTCCCTCTTCACAATCCTTTTTCTTATTTTTAATTTCTCTTATTTGCTTTCTTTACGTTTTAACGATGTCTTCAATTACATCTGTGTGTCTTTCAACATTCCAATTTTGTACATAAAATTTATGAAATGAATGAATTCCAGAAAGAGCAAAGGGCTGGCACTAAAGATGAGCCAGAGAGAGAGGGACAGAGAGAGAGAGAGAGAGAGAGAGCGACAAAGAGAGTGACACACAGAGAGGGACAGAGAGAGAGAGAGAGAGAGAGAGAGAGAGAGAAAGAGAGAGAAAGAAAGAGGGAGGGAGAGAGACAGAGAGGGAAGAGAGAGAGAGAGGGAGGCACAGAGAGAGGGATGGAGGGAGACAGAGAGAGAAAGACAGAGGGAGAGACAGAAAGAGAGAAAGGGAGGGAGAGACAGAGAGAGGGAGACACAGAGAGAGAGAGGGACAGGAAGAAAGAGAAGGAGGGAGGAAGAGACAGAGGGACAGAAAGAGGGAGAGACAGACAGAAAGAGAGAAAAAGAGAGAGGGAGGGAGAGACAGAGAGAAAGAGAGAGGGAGGGAGAGGGAAAGAGACACAGAGAGAGAGGGACAGAGAGAGAGAGAAGGAGAGAGGGAGGGGGAGAGACAGAGAGGGGGGGAGGGGGGAGAGACAGAGAGAGAGAGAGAGAGAAAGAGAGAGACCTTGTAGCTGTTTTTCCACTTCTCGTCAAGGAGCTCGTGAGCCTGGATCCTTCGGGCAACATGGTCCCCCAATCCGGCCAGGACGATCTGCCTCAAGAAAGTGACCTGTTCTTCTGTGGGGGGCTTCATTTGGGGGTCCACGAAGAGGTCGGCCCCTGGGCAGACGGCGTTCACTTGGAAGGGAACACGCACACAACTAGATTGTGAGAGAGTCGAGAGCCGGATGAAGGTGCCCCCACCCCCCGAATGACGCTCCCAAGTCAAGGAAGAGCAGATCCCAGAGGACAGAGCAGGTGTGGCGTCTTACCTGCCGTTGTGAGCTGCCCACGCAACCGCCGGATTTCCACCATGGCCTTGTAGCGCAGGCCGTTGGTGCTACAGAACTGAGGAGTGGATCCTGCAAATTCACAAGCACCCACCGCTCCTGGAATAACAGAACAATAGAGTTGGAAGGGACCATGGAGGTCTGCTAGTCCAACGCCGGAGACCATTTCAAACACATGTTTGTCCATTCTCTTCTTTAAAACCTCCAGTGATGGAGCACCTACAATTTCTGGAGGCAACCCTTTCCACTCGTTTTCACTGTCAGGAAGTTTCTCCTTAGTTCTAGGTTGCTTCTCTCCTTGATGGGTTTCCATCCGTTGCTTCTTGTCCTGCCTTCAAGTGCTTTGAGTCAAGTGCTTGACTCCCTCTTCTTTGGGGCGGCCCCTGAGATATCGGAACGCTGCTATCATGTCCCCCCTCGTCCTTCTCTTCGTTAAACTAGACATACCCAATTCCAGCAACCGTTCCTTATATGTTTTAGCCTCCAGTCCCCTGATCATCTTTGTTGCTCTTCTCTACACTCTTTCTAGAGTCTCAACATCTTTTTTATATTGTGGCGACCAAAACTGGATGCAATATTCCAAGTGTGGTCTTAGCTAGGCACTCTAAAGTAGTACTAACACTTCTTACAATCTTGGTCTCTCATTCTTTGGAGGAGAGCCCTAACCCCTGGAGAATTCAGAACACCCACCCCCCCAAACCCAATCAACCAAAGGAGCAGTTTTACCAAGCAGCACCATGAGGTCTCCCAGCTTCTGAGAAGGTCCTTGGCCAGCCCAAATCCTTTGCATCTGTGCCACACGGGCTCTCTTGCCTTTGAGCGTCTCCTGCTCTTCTTCATTCAGGGCAGGCCTGCATCAAAATAGAATAGAGTAGAGCTGGAAGGGACCTTGGAGGTCTTCTAGTCCAGCCCCATGCTCAAGCAGGAGAACCTATAGCGTCTCAGACAGGTGCCTGTCTAGCCTCTTCTTAAAAATCTCCAGCGATGGAGCGCCCACGATTCTGGTGGCAAACTGTTCCATTGGTTAATTGTCCTCCCTGTCAGGAAGTTTCTCCTTAATTCCAGGTTGCTTCTCTCTTTGATCCGTTTCCAACCATTGTTTCTCGTCCTGCCTTCAGGTGCTTTAGAGAATAATTTGACCCCCTCTTCTTTGTGGCAGCCCCTCAGATACTGGAAGACTGCTATGATGTCTCCCCTGATCATTCTCATCATTAGGGGTGGGGAATTGTGGTGGGTGGGAGTGTGTTTGGGGATTAATGTGTGTGGGGCCTGGTCTTTGGGTGTCATGTAAATGACAATAAAGTTTATTATTATTATTATTAAACTAGACATCCCCAATTCCAGCAACCATTCCTTGTATGTTTTAGCCTCCAGTCCCCTGATCATCTTCATTGCTCTTCTCTGCACTATTTCTAGAGTCTCAACATCTTTTTTCCATCGTGGTGACCAAAACTGGACGCAGCGTTCCAAGTGTGGCCTTACCAAGGCCTTGTAAAGTGGTATTAACACTTCACATGATCTTGATTCTCTTTTGAGGGATGCTTGTTTAGTCCTCAAACTAGGTCGGAGCCCACAAAACCATTGACCCAGCAACGGCACCAGTTTCTCAACAGCCCCACTGCGGCCTTACCTGTTGAACTCTTCAAACAGCTCCCTCACCGTCAAGGCGGAGACTAAGGCGATGGTGTAGGGCAGGCAGTGGTGCTGCTGGCTCAAGGCAAGCATCTTGGCGTAACGTGGGGCCACCGGGAAGGAGGCCATGAGGATGCCCAAAGGGCTGATGGGGCAGCTGAACTTGGCTTCCTGCAGCTTTTCCAACCTGGAAGAAGGAAATGTGTAAGGGAGAGAAGGAAAGCCATTAAAGAAACGGTCGTAAGCCGAGGATTATATCACTTTCTCGATGTTCAGTCCTTTCATTTGAAGAATGAAATAATCTCTTGGTGTGTTTGTGGGGTCCTTGGTGCTCTCTGAGCTTGGTGATTTCCCTGCAGACGTTTCAGGACCCAACTAGGTAACACCATCAGAGCTAAAAGGGAATGGGGTTTGCCCTCTGTTTATATACAAGTGGCTTGCCCTGTCAGCTACTGTATAGACCAGGGGTAGGCAACCTCGGCTCTTTTATGACTCGTGGACTTCAACTCCCAGAATTCCTGAGCCAGCTTGGCTCAGCTTGGAAACCTCTCCCTTTCCCCTCAGCACGGCTGGCTCAGGAATTCTGGGAGTTGAAGTCCATGAATCATGAGGGGGCCATAGTTCCCCTGTGCTGGCTCAGGAATTCTGGGAGTTGAAGTCCACGAGTCATGAAGGAAGCCATAATTCCCCCATGTTGGCTCAGGAATTTTGGGAGTTGAAGTCCACGAGTCATAAAAGAGCCAAGGTTGCCTACCTCTGGCCTAGGCCGCTTTATGACTCATGGACTTCAACTCCCAGAATTCCTGAGCCAGCCATGCTGAGGGGACAGGGAGAGGTTTCCAAGCTGAGCCGAGCTGGCTCAGGAATTCTGGGAGTTGAAGTCCATGAGTCATGAAGGGGCCATAGTTCCCCCATGCTGGCTCAGGGATTCTGGGAGTTGAAGTCCACGAGTCATAAAAGAGCCAAGGTTGCCTACCCCTGGTCTATACAGAAAACGTTCCCTCCTAGCCCTGATGGTGTTACCTAACTGGGTCACGAAAGGGCTGGAGCGTTAGTGAGGAGGGAGCTAAGAGATCAATCCTTTGGGATCCAAGCACAACTGTCGATGTCCATTACCTTCCAGATGTGGCAGGAGCCTTCAAGGCGCCCAGGGCGATCAGCAATTCCTCTGCAGCCCTCAGGGCATCGGTGGAGGGCGGGGTAGGAAACGGGAAATTGATCACCTATAGATAGGAAAGAGACAAAAGAGGAGATGGAGAGATACGTGTGTCCCGGAATATTATGATGGTGTATTACGATGGTATGAAGGAGGGACCTTGGGAGACGGCAGGAAGAGATGCTGCTTAGCAAATGGGTCAGATAAAAGGAGAGGGAGCCCCTAGCTGGTCCCTGTCGCCACGCTGCCATTCCAAGGGGAGGGCTGAGCTATTCCTTGGGGGCTGAAGAATTTGATGCCATCTGGAGGTAAATTGTCAGGGTAACCAAGCAACTGGTTTATTGCTGAGCGAAAGCAGACATCTTAGCAATTTCTCCCTCCCCTCGGAAGCAGAGAGAGAGGAAGAACGATCCCCGGTTCGTATTTAACATGCAAGCCAGTCTTTTAAAAGGGATCGAAGGCGTAAAGCCTATTCCAGTGATGGTGAACCCTTTAGAGACCAAGGGCCCAAACTGCAACCCAAAACCCACTTATTTATCGCTGGGTGCCAGGTGGGCGTGGCCCGCTGGGTGGGCGTGGCTGTGGTGGTCATGGCAGACTGGGTGGGTGTGGCCAAGGTGGCCGTGGTCACCTTGATGTTCTTCGTAGGGACGCTACGGTGGGGGGCAGGCAGGGTTGGGGGAGATCCAGGGGGGTCTCTGGCCAGGAGGATCGTCCTGGGATGAGGCAAGACAAGGAGAGCCAGGGTGGGGGTGCCATTGTCGCAGGGGCCGGGGGGCTGCTGCCAGACACCATCACCATCAGCCCCCGCACACAGAGGCCAGCGTGCGCATGGGGGCCGACAGTGTCCGTCAGCAGCCACAACCTGCCGGCCCCTCGACCGGCACACTCTGGGACTCCGCAGCCCACCGCCAGCAGTTCAGAGAAGCCGCCTCTGAGCTGGATGGCCGGCCGACAGCTGAGGAGCAATGCAGTGGGTCATGCCCGGGAAAAGGAGAGCATGCAAGGCCAGGAGGGATGGGACGGGGGGAGGGAACCCAGCCGTGCTGGAATGCATCTGGCCACATGGGACCTCAGCGAGTTAGCGAGTGGTTGGTTGAAGAGGGATGGTTGCCATATCTGGGGCATGGCGCGCGTGCCCACAGAGAGGGCTCCGAGTGCCGCCTCTGACACACATGCCATAGGTTCGTCACTACTGGCCTATTCCAAGCATAGTCTAAATGTAGCAGTGCCCTTCGATGGCAACCTGCAAACAACAAGCCTGCATTTATGTTACCTGCAAAAAATGACCCTTGGTGACCAATCTGCAAATAAAGTCTGAACCAAGCTGTTTATGTAAAAGCTATACAATTGCCTCCCCCCAGATCAAATTAAGGAGAAACAAAGCTGCAAATTAACCTTCGTTAGTACTGCAAAGCTTAACAGCCCAGATAGAATTTTGACTTCGGGCAAGCAGATCCTTAAAGATTCCAGAACAGCTTACAGCCTTATGGTTCTAAGAAGAAAAATTTAGCTGACTCTTTATTTCCAAGTGAAGTCTAGGAGAAGCGCACCCTGGTGGCTGATCTGCAAATAACAAGCTTGAGTTTACCTACTGCAAAACAGCGCACCTTGGTGGCTGATCTGCAAATAACAGGCTTGCATTTACCTACCGCAAAACAGAGCACCTCCTAGTGGTTAAACAAGGAACTTCGCTGAAGCCTTTACCCACGTAGAGAGAGCGCCCCTTCGTGGTTAAAGAAGGAACTTCGCTGAAGCCTTTACCCACGTACAGAGAGCGCTCTCTACCAAGGTCATGGCGCCAGGAGGATGGGTAAAACTGAAGCCCTAAAAACCGAACTCTCACCTTCTCGATGTTCAATGCTTTCATCTGCAGAATTAAATCCTCAACGGGTCGCCTGGTGATCTCGGGAGCAGAGAACTGCTCAAAATCACTGAACACCGCCGAAGAATAAAGCCTGGAACACAAAAAAGTGTGCAGCAGAGATCAAAACAATCCTTTTTTAAAAAAACTGGTTCCTTGCTAGTGTGGCTAAACAAGGAGCCACGTTTAAAGACCTGTGCTAATCCCTTTGTGGTGTCCAAAAGAATCAAGATGATTTAGGGCTGTGATGGTGACAGAAAAGGGTTTGAGAGAGAAAACTCACGTCCATGTGCAAATATTGTCCATATGTACACGCAAACACCCGTGCACACACTAAGACAAAGTCCTTCCAAGGACACAGCTGCCCAAGCCAGATGTTGCTATCTTCACCCAGGGCTAATCAGGCTTTGATGATTTGGGCATGGATAGAAGCTCAAGGTCGAAATAAGGGGCCCTTAGTGGTCTCTGAGTTGGGTGGTTTTCTTGCAGACATTTCATGACCCAACTAAGTACCATCATCAGTGCTAGAAGGGAATGGGGTTTGCAGAATGGAGGAGGAGGTGGGAGGAAGAGGAGGAGGACTGTGGGGGTCCTTGGTGCTCTGTTGAGCTTGGTGGTTTTCTTACAGACGTTTTGTGATCCAACTAGGTAACATTATCAGTGCTAGAATGGAGCAGGGTTTGATCTCTATTTATATAGTAATGGCTTCCCTGTCATTGGTAATTCCTTGATTAGGCTGTTGCTTACTGCTTGATTGTTCATTGGATATTACAGGGCAAATTTCTTGCATACATAGAGAGGGCAAGCCCCCATCCCTTCTAGCACTGATGATGTTGCCTAGTTGGGTCATGAAACGTCTGCAAGAAAACCACCAAGTTCAGAGACCACCAAGGACCCCACAGTACTTCTCCTCTTCCTCTTCTACTCCATAAATCCCACTCCCTTCTAGCATTAATGATGTTACCTAGTTGGGTCATGAAATGTCTGCAAGAAAACTACCAAGCTCAGAGACCACCATGGATCCACATTTGGGCATTCCTGATTTTCAGTTCTGTAAAGAAAAAAAAAAAAATAGCTCACCTGTAACAGTGGCCTGGCTCCGTTCGGCCTGCTCGGCCTGCCCGCTGGTTGGCCGAAGCCTGGGATGTCCACATAACCTTGAAGGATGAGATGCCGGTGACTTTGTCGTAGAAGCGTTTCTTGACCTTCCCACAATCAACTACGTATCTGATGCCCGGGATGGTCAGAGACGTTTCTGCCACATTGGTGGCCACGACACAAAGCCTAGTCCCAGGTGGAGATGGCCTGAAAACCTATAATATAATAAATATAATATAATAAATATAATAATATAATAATATAATACAATACAATATAACATAACATAATAGAATACAATTAATAGAATAGAATATGGAATAGAATAGAAAATAGAATAGAATATAGAATAGAATATATAATTCAATAGAATAGAATAGAACAGAATAGAATATAGTATGGAATAGAATATAGAATAGAATAGAATATAGAATAGAATAGAATAAAATAGAAAATATGGAATAGAATGGAATAGAATATAGAATATAGAATAGAATAGAATAGAAAAGAAAACATGGAATGGAACAGAATATAGAATATGTAATAGAATAGAATATAATAGAATATAGTATGGAATAGAATATAGAATAGAATAGAATAGAGGAATGAAGAATAGGCTAGACTAGACTAGAATAACAGAGTTGGAAGGGACCTTGCAGGTCATCTAGCCTAACCCCCCGCCCTGCACTATTTCTGACAAGGCAGTCCACTCTCTTCTGCAAAGCTTCCAGGGATGAAGCTCCCACAACCTCTAAAGGCAACATCATCTGCGGTGATGTTGCCCGCCGTGTCCTATTTGTAAAAACTCTGTTACTGGGATGGAATGTGGTCTGGATTCCCGAGAGGGAGGGAGGGGCCAAATTCCAGAGGCCAAAGAGGCAGTGAAGCTGAGATGGTTTGGCTGGGAGGAAAAGAGTAACGATGGATGCTCCCTAGCAACTCTCAAAGTATAGGTGGTCCTCGACTTACGACTGAGCCCAAGATTTCCATTGCTCAGCAAGAGAGTTGCTGTGAGTTTTGCCCCGTTTGTATGACCTCTTTTGCCACAGTTGTTAAGTATAGGGTTTCCTTCCTGAGCAGGGGGTTGGAATTGATGACCTCCAAAGTCCCTTCCAACATTATTATTATTATTATGGATCATCGCACAGTCAGCCAGATGTTCAGACGGGATTTGGCATTTTGTCTACCTATCGAGTTCTTACCCAGGACCTGGGATAGGCAGATGTGGATGTTTGATGGTATTACAGATATCGTCGCAGGATGGAAGCAGTTCCTAGTAAGGCCGCCTTTTTCAATTGACTAATAGCGAATTTGTCAATGCCAATGGTGTTCAAGTGGTGCTCCAGTTGTTTTGGGATTGCACCCAAGGAGCCTATGACTATTGGTACTACCCTTGCTTGCCTTTGCCACAGTCTTTCTATTTCTATTTGTAGGTCTTTGTATTTTGTTATCTTCTCCAGTTCTTTCTCTTCTATTCTGCTATCTCCAGGCACTGCCACATCCACTATCCAGACTTTTTTGTCTTTCTTATCGACAATTGTTAAGTCTGGGGTGTTATGTTGCAGGTGCTTGTCTGTTTGAATTCTAAGTATTATTATTATTATTATTATTATTATTATTATTATTATTATTATTATTATTATTATCAGTGTTGTTAATAACACGGTTCTTGAGCGAATCTGGCTCCACTCTTGATTTTGCTTGCCATAAAGTCTCAAAAGAAGAAAGCACAACTCCTGGACACTGTGACCCTCATAAGTACATGCAGCTTTTCTGAATGTACCCCAATATTCCTACAAGGGTATTTAGTCTTACCTTGGCTTGCTTTTCTGGAGCCAGCAAAGAGTAGAGAGGAAGGACATAAAGTGGGTGGGAAGAATCCGGCTTTTCACCTGCATTCAAATTATAAACAGGACAAAAAAAAAATAATCTAAGTGCTGAAAAGATTAGCCAGCAAGGTTATTAGTACTATAATCTGTATTTTCCAGACACAATCAGACCTCTGCTATTTTTTGTTTGATCACTGATGTTAGCCTTATGTGCTTTTGTTTTAATCACTCGCTCTTCCATGAACCCTCGGGAAATAAGGCGGTATAAAAATATAAGTGTAAGGACCCACCCTACTCTGCATCTTAAGAAGGCAGAACTCTTGGAATATTTCTTCCAACAGGCACCCTTTATTAAGAGAAAATGGTTGCAGGCGTTCTAGACAGGACCTGGGGCCCAAGCCCTACGGTTCAAGGTTTTAAGGGGTCCCCAGCAGCCCCACCCCACTGTCTTTCCAGCGACAATCCCAGGCTTTACATTTCCACCCCCTTTTTCCTCACTGCCAGTGGAAGGGAGACTTCAGAGGGGAGTAGATGAAAGCTGATGTTATGGTTAGTCCTTTTGGTGGTATCCACATTCAAGTCCTTTGAAGTGTACCAAAGGAAGTGAGGGCCTTTGTTCACCCCCCCTTCCCCTTCATCGTATGACAGAATCCAGAGAGGGCAGAAATGGGGTTTTCCATAGTCGATAACTAGAGATGAAATACAATTGGATTCTGACAATAAGTAAAAATATAACCAGTAAATAAATACATTTCAATATGTTTTGCAAATCAGAGCTAAGGCAGGGGAAGAAGAAAATCAGCAGCTATATTTTCTGGCAGCTTCATGAGAACTAGTCTCTTTGTTACTTTATTTATATTTATTGACCGTAAATCTAACAGAGTGGTTACTTTAAAAACAGAGATACTTGATCTTAAAAAAAGGTCTCCCGCTGTTAAAGAAAGACCAACATCTTTGAGGAGGTTATACAATAAGCTGCTAACTTTACATTTGTGGTTTGTTGAACAAGTCAGGATTCCATATCCTATGATAGTATGAAGGCGAGATCTGTCCATAAAATAGAAAAAAAAAAGAAGCTGAATCAGATGGTGTCTTATCTTATTATGGTTCAGGCTAATGTGGTTTGATCGGCTAACCATGATTAAAAAAAATCTCCCGGTCTTCTGTGCAAACTCAACCAACTTTCAATGCTTGCAAACCTTCTTGAAGGCAATCTTCGCCCAGATCAAGGTCAAGATCCGAACCAACCGAGTTTGCTTCTTCATCGTCTTCAGCGGCCTCGCGGTCTTCGTCTCCTTCGTCAACCGGCAGAACGGAATAATTATCCAGATCAATTTTGGGCAGTGCCTAGAAATAAAAAGGAAAAAAAAAAAAACCCAACTTCAAAGACTCGACAAACTTCTAGATTTAAAATTTAGAAGGCATTTGGGAGAATCTTAGACATAGTTGAAAAGTATGAACATATCCAATCATCTAAAGCAAGAAGATAAATCAGATTGTTATCTTTAAGTAACTTAGGGTACTTAGGAGATGAATGTGCAAAACTAAGATTATTTTGGGGATTTTTTTTTAAGGAGCAAATATAGGTTGTCTTTAGAATGGAATGCAATGGAATAGAATAGAATAGAACAGAATTACATGATAGAATTACAGAATAGAATAGAATAGAATAGAATGGAATAGAATGGAATATAGAACAGAAAATAGAATAGAATTACATGATAAAATTACAGACTAGACTAGACTAGACTAGACCAGAATAGGAAGGGACCTTGGAGGTCTTCTAGTCCAGCCCCCTACTCAAGCAGGAGAACCTATACCTTCTCAGACAGGTGAATGTCCAGTCTCTTCTTAAAAATCTCCAGTGATGGAGCACCCACAATTTCTGGAGGTAAGCTGTTCTATTGGTTAATTGTCCTCACTGTCAGGAAGTTTCTCCTTAATTCCAGGTTGCTTCTCTCTTTGATTAGTTTCCAACCATTGTTTCTCGTCCTGCCCTCTGGTGCTTTGGTGAACAACGTGACCCCCTCTTCCTTGTGGCAGCCCCTCAGATACTGGAACACTGCTATCATGTCTCCCCTATTTCTTCTTTTCTTTAGATTGGCCAAACTCAAGTCCCATAGCCATTCTTCGTATGTTCTAGTCTCCAGGCCCCTGATCATCTTACTCTTTGACATTACCATTTATTTAGTGACTACTCAAAGTTACAATGGCACTGGAAAAAAGTGACTTGCAACTGGTGCTTGTGCCTGTAAGTGGTTCACCATGTAAATGGTCATGTGATCAAATTTTGGGCTCTTGGAAACCAGCCCGCATCTATGACAATTGCAGGAAAATTTTGCTTACTTGAAGAGCGTGCTTCTTTTTCCGTCTGGATTTCTTAAACCTTCGGATCTCTTTCAAAGAACTGTACTCATCGTCAGAGCCTACAAAGAGCAAAGCCACGTCTTTCTCAACCAAGTCTATAAAATGTTAGTAGAACTCCCAGAATTCCCCAAGCAACATGGACGGGCTTCATCACCCAGAATTCCACAGGCAACATGGATGGACTTCAACTCCCAGAATTCCGCAGCCAACATGGACATCACCTAGAATCCCCCAAGCAACATGGATGGACCATCGCTCAGCCAACAAGGGTTGGACCAACTCCCAAATTTTCCCAGTCGACACAGATGAATGAACGCCCAGAATTCCCCAGCAAGTCCACCCATTCTGGCTTGGGAATTATGGGAGGTGAAGCCCTCTCCTCTTAAAATGGCCAGGACTGAGAAACACAGCTCTGGAGTGAGTGATTCAAAAAGGCAATTTAAGAGAGTGATGAACTTCCTACTGGGGGGGTTTCACTTATCACCGGATATCAGGGTCCTTTCAGAGAGTTGAAAAAGTGGAGAAGATCAATTAAAGTCAAGTCCTCAACTTACGATGGATCATTTAGTGACCACCTGAAGTTACGACGTCACTAAAAAAAAGTGACTTACGAACATTTTCACACAGATGATTGTTGCAGCATCCTGTGGATCACGTGATCAAAATTTGGACGCTTGGAAAATGATTCATATTTATGACACGCTTGGAAGCTAACTCATATTTATGACGGTCGCAGCATTCCATGGTCACGTGGTTCCCTTTTGCGACCTTCGTACAAGCGAAGTTGATGAGCGAAGCCAGATTCACGCGGCAATATTTTACTAACTTAACAACTGCAGTGATTCATTTAACGTGGCAAGGAAGGTCGTAAAATGGGGCAAAAACTCCTTTAACAACTGCCTCACTTAGCAACATGTCGGGCTCAGCTGTGGTCATAAATTGAGGACTACCTGTTATGACATTTTCTGCCCTTAGCAAAGAAAAAACAGCTACGCATCTCTGAAGATTTTAACCAGGTCACCTGCAGAAATGCAGAGCGCGGGTAAATAACTCCTAATGCTTGAATCCACACCTCCCACAATTCCTGGGGCAGGTCAACCCCCCAAACCCTCTGGATGGCCTCAGGTTGCCCCCTCCCAGGTCAGAGAAGGCAAGGCCACACTCTCAAGGACTGAGAGCCCTTTTCCGCGCTGCTACTTGAGGAAGGATTAAAATGGAGGACACGGGGGTCAGAGCTGAAGATAAGACGTTTAGCTATGCACTTTAGGATGGACGCCCTTCGAACGATGCAGGAGCATGAATGGATTTCCCGAAAACATTGCAGCCAAGAAGGCTCCACGTCCATTTGCACTATTCAATTTAGCCCTGAGGACACAGGTAAACCTCCAGGTGGCCTCAACGACTCTCTAAAAGAGTGGTTCTCAACCTGTGGGTCGGGACCCCATTTGGGGTCGAACAACCATTTCACGGGGGTCACCAAACAACGCAGTCCGCCATTTTCTTCCCCCTTTTCCTTAGCTGTGCTACTCCCTTTTATTCTATTGGCTTTTGAAAGCCAATAGAATAGACTCTCTTGAATAGAGTCTAATTCTATTGGCTTTCAAAAGCCAACAGGAATTGTCCAGGCTGTCTCTGCCCTGCTGAGCCCGCCAAAAGGCCCATTCTGCAAACGGTGCTGCAAGTTGTCTGCAGCGAAGGCGAGCTGTCTGGAAGTTTCCACCCCTCCCTGCTGAGCAACTACTAAAAATGTAAGTAAAAGAGGGCCAGGGGTGGGAGGTGGGAGACCGGCGGGCGCAGGGAGGGTTGCTGGCGCGCGTGGGGCCCAGCGGGTGCCTTACCTCCCTTGGGCTGGGCCAGCTGGTGGCCCAGCCGGTGGTCGGCCTGTGCCGTCTCTGCCGCTTGCCAGCTACGCCTCGGCCGGCGCAGGGGGCGGCACCACGCATGTGCGGCACTCCCGGGCAGGGAAAGACATCGACTTACGACCGGTTGGGTAGTCCTCGACTTACGACCGGTTGAGTAGTCCTCGACTTACAACCGGTTGGGGGGGGGGGTCGTGGCATTAAAAAGGTTGAGAACCACTGCTCTAAAAGAAGGCAAATGACCAGCCATCTGCAAGGAGTATAAATCCTTCCACTCCCCACCATCCGGTCAGAGCCGAAGAAGCTTCTGGGATGAGAAGCGAAACGTCTTCGGAAGAAAAACAAGAAAGTCCAGCGGCCTCCTGAAAAAACACCTTTGGGACAGGACACGGGAGTAAATGTCAAAGAGCGCGAAACGTACCTGGCGTTGCATTTTTGCAAAAAGGGAAGGACTTCCTCAGCCTCCGACACAGGGAATGGACTTCGGCTTGTCCAGTTAAGAACACCAAAATCCCTCCTGCAAAAGGAAAGAACGGTGGCCTTTTAAACTGGACCACCAAAGAGAACGCTACAAAGTGCATAGAGCAGTGGTGGCGAACCTATGGCACATGTGCCAGCGGGGGGGGGGCACTTGGAGCCCTCTCTGTGGGCACGCATACCTCACTCTTTGGCTAAGTCTTCGCAGGAAAAAGCCATTTCTCAAGCCCCTTCCTAGCCAAAACAAGCCTCCAGAGTGAGCGTGTTGTTTTCAACTTTGAATTATATCAAATCTGACACCAGAAACAGACTAACAGATGACCTGAGTGCTGCATGCGTTGCTCTCAAACTTACAAAGTATGAGCCAAGGTTAGACAAATGATCAGCATGCGTACAACAGCAAAAATCACGTTAATTGTTCAAAAGCATGCCAAATGCAAACTTTGACCTTTCAGTAAAAAGTTGTTTGCATGATTGAAAGCTTTGTTATTGTATTTTTCTTTTAAGACAAAAGATGTTAATGTAGGAGTTGTTTTTTCCTAAACTAAAGGGTACAAACCCTGCTTCTTTCTAGTACTGATGATGTTACCTAGTTTGGTAAGGAAACGCCTGCAAGAAAATAACCAAGCTCAGAGAGCAGCAAGGACCCCACAGTTGGAACTGTATTGAAACACCATCAGGGAATAATGTGCTGCTGCTGTTACGTGAATGCTTTGCAAAGACAAAATTCGATTTTTATAGGTATCTCTTCAGGCAACTGTTTTTGTTCGTTTTTCTTTTAATCAGCCCTCTGACCTGGAGGAAGCATTCGGTGAATTTTGCAGACTTTCCGGAAACATTCCCCGCTGTAATCATCCAACGGGGTCCTCTTGTTGAAATGAACGGTGACCGGAAACTGCCTCGCATCTACCTGACATAGAAAAGACCATAGGTTAAAATACAATGGCAAGACAACGAAACAATGGTCTGAACCCCAATTTAAATCAACCTTATCAGAAGGTTCTGGGTTAAATTACTGCCCTATTCCTTAAATTTTCGAAATAAAAGGCTTCCAGTCACGGACAGCTCTTTATTTTATAGTTAACATAAATACGATACATAATTATGATCTAGGTCAGGGGTAGGCCACGTAGGCCCTTTTATGACTCGTGAACTTCAACTCCCAGAATTCCCGAGCCAGCCACACTGAGGGGAAAGGGAGAGGTTTCCAAGCTGAGCCATGTTGGCTCAGGAATTCTGGGAATTGAAGTCCACGAGTCATAAAAGAGCCAGGGTTGCCTACCTCTGGCCTAGGCCGCTTTATGACTCGTGGACTTCAACTCCCAGAATTCCTGAGCCAGCATGGGGGAACTATGGCCCCCTCATGACTCGTGGACTTCAACTCCCAGAATTCCTGAGCCAGCATGGGGGAACTATGGCCCCCTCATGACTTGTGGACTTCAACTCCCAGAATTCCTGAGCCAGCATGAGGGAAACTTTGGCCCCTTCATGACTGGTGGACTTCAACTCCCAGAATTCCTGAGCCAGCCTGGCTTAGCTTAGAAACCTCTCCCTTTCCCCTCAGCATGGCTGGCTCAGGAATTCTGGGAGTTGAAGTCCACCAGTCATAAAAGAGCCAAGGTTGCCTACCCGATCTAGGTAATCCTTGGCTTATGACCACAACTGAGCCCCACATTTTGCCTTGATAAGACAGTTAAGTGAGCTTTGCCCCATTTTACGACCTTTCCCCCCAGTTGTTAAGTGAATCCCTGCAGCTGTTAAGTTAGTAATACAGTTGTTAAAAGAATCTGGTTTTCCCCATTGACTTGGCTGGTCAAAGTCGCAAAACGGGATCGCGTGACACCCCGGGATGCTGCGACCGTCGTAAATACGAATCGGTTGCTAAGCGCCCGAGTTTTGATCATGTGACCACAGGGATGGTGCAACGGTCGTTAACTGTGAAAAACGGTCCTAAGTCCCTTTTTTCAATGCCGTTGTAACTTTGAATGCTCACTAAAAGAATCGTTGTAAGTCTACAACACGTACAAATGCAAAATTATCAAGCGCTGAACTCAGCTTAATTTTATCTTCACCAGAGTAAAGGCCAAGTCAGAAATGGGAAGGCCTTTCTTAAGGTTTCAACTAATGGGGTAAAGGGAGACTTTGAGATGAAGGGAAATTTGATTATTAGCGTTAAATATTGCCAGGAAATAATAAAAAAACAAGGGATCAATTGGGTCAATATTGAGGAGTTAGACTTATAAGGGAAATGAAAATTAAGTATTAGGAAATAGCTTTGAATTATTGTTTAGCCCAGATAATGCAGATGATAGATTTGACATAATAAAGGATACTCCATTACTGTGGGGGTGTATTAGGATGAGAAATAGGAAATGTTTATGAAATAAAATATGAATATATTTACGTAAGTAATAGGTGTATTTTAGATAGTATAACTTCTATGGAGTGAAATAAAGGAAATTTGGGCTACCTGGAAATAAAATAGTATGGATATTAAGGTTAAATTGGAGTATTGCAAATAAATATTAAAATTAGGTAAAACTTAAAAACAGGATATGAATATGCATAAGCAAAAACGTATTGATAAATGCAGTGCTTTTTTTTGTAAAAAAAAAAAAAAAGAGTGCGGGAACTCACACATGTCATACAACCCGCCTTGCCTACCCTACAAGGTTCCATCTCAAAAAGGTGCTGGAACCCCGTTCTGGGCGTTCTATGACAAAAAAAGCGCTGGATAAATGTTTTAACTGAGTTTGATATAATTGGAAATTTACTAGCTTAAATATGATATAGCAAATGTTAAGGGAAATGAAGAAGAAATTTTTGATGATGTCATCAACTAAAGATGTTGTTATTGAACTATTGACTAACCCAATCACCATGTGGCTTTCCAAATACTTAATTGTAAAACTGGAAAACTAATAAAAAAAATTCTTATTAAAAGAAAAAAGAAGCGGGAAGGCCTTGGGATGAAACTGGCCAAAAGAAGGGTTGCAATGAAGCACAGATATGAAGGAAGCCTGGGCAAAATATTCAAAAAACTTATTTATTGTTCCTACGCACCTACACACAAACACCCCATTCCCTTTTCACCTGGATAACCGGAGGAGGAACAGGAAATAGTTTCTGGTTAGCGGTGAAATCCTCCACGCGCAGCGTCGCAGACATGATGATCAGTTTCAACGGCTGCCCTTTCTGAGAACGGAGAAATGAAACGCTGGAAGACAGAGACTCATCCCCAACGGCCTCAGCCCGTCTTCAACAGGGAAGGGATCCAGGGCAGAAAACATCCTGTAGCCAGTAAAGCTTCACACCCATTTGCACCTCTCAGGTGACCCCGAGGACATAGGTAAGCCTCCAAGTGGCCTCAACGACCCTCTAAAACAGGGATCTTCAAATGTGGCCCTTTTATGACTTGTGGACTTTGACTCCCAGAATTCCTCAGCCAGGCATGCTGGCTGAGGAATTCTGGGAGTCGAGGTCCACAAGTCATAAAAAGGCCAAGTTTATGACTTGTGGACTTCGACTCCCAGAATTCCTCAGCCATTTGCACCGCTCAGGTGACCCTGAGGACACAGGTAAGCCTCCAAGTGGCCTCAACGACCCTCTAAAACAGGGGCCTTCGAACTTAGCCATTTTATGACTTGTGGACTTCGACTCCCAGAATTCCTCAGCCAGGCATGCTGGCTGAGGAATTCTGGGAGTGGAAGTCCACAAGTCATAAAAGGGCCACGTTTGAAGACCCCCTGCTCTAAAAGGATGCCAATGACCAGCTGTCTGCGAGGAGTACCAATTCTTCCATTCCCCACCATCCAGTCAGAACTGACGAAGCTTCTGGGATGAGAAATGAAACGCCTTCAAAGGAAAAACAATAAAGTCTCTCAAAGGTTGGGCAGAATTAAAGATGATAAAGATTTAGGGGGGGAGGAACGAGAGGAGGAACGTGGGGTGCATGTGCTTTCACTTGAATCTGGCAATTGTTTTATCTGGCTTTTAGCTTGCTGGAAGGCCGGAGTTATTTAGAAGTGAGACACCTTTCGATTAAACGGATCTCAACGTGGAAACACGGCGTGCATTTGATTAATTAATCCTTCTTTCTTCTTTACCTTAGCCCGGAGAGGGACGATACGCGATAGAAGGCCAATTAAGATGTCGGTGTACACACTCCTCTCGTGGGCCTCATCCAGAATGACGACGTGATACTTGGACAGCAAAAAATCCTGAAACAAACAAACAAACAAAAAATTAAGACGTGGAAGAATTTCCGTCCGGTTTGCCAGGCTCGTGAACTGAGATTCAGAAGCAATGGGCCTCAAGACATCAAGCAAAGTCAATGGACAAAGCTGGATTTGCTTAATGACCGTGTGATTCACTTAACAACTGCGGTCATCGGTTTAACAACATACCCTCCCCACAAAAAAGGGTGCAAAATTGGCCATGACTCATTTAACAACCCCCTGGCTTAACAATAGAGTTTCTGATCCCAATTGTGGTCGCAATTTCAAGACCTTTTTAAGGAGGAGTGGGAAAAAAAGTGTCTCTTTTATTTCATTACTGGGGAGGAAACAGGAAGAAGAGATTACTGACTCCCCCTATTTCTTCTTGGACTGCTAAAGCTAGAAAATGTTCCGCGTAGCTGTGCATTCTCCTAAAATCAATTTCCACCTCACTTTTCAAAGGAGGAAAATATGAAGTCCCCACCTTCTGGATTTCTTTCAGCAGCACACCGTCCGTCATGAACTTGATTTTCGTGTCCTTCGTCACGTTCCCCTCGTAACGGATTTGGTAGGAAATGACCCTGGTACAAAGAATGTGGACACCATGTTGAGGTTGTCAAGATGTCCCTCACAACACACAAAACTGAGATGAGACTGTTAAACCCATCCAGTTAGGACACCCATCTTGCTGGATGTGTTTAGGGCAAATGTAAACAGCGATGCTTAAATAATGTTAGGCTCCTGATCTCCAAACATCGTCCAGTTTTTCCTCCTCCTCCTAATTATTGTTATAGAGTTGGAAGGGACCTTGGAGGTCATCTAGTCCAACTCCCTGCTCAGGCAGGAAACCCTATACCATTTCAGACAAATGGTTGTGCAGTCTCTTCTTTAAAACTTCCTGTGTTGGAACATTCACAACTTCTGGAAGCAGGTTGTTCCACTGATTAATTGTTCTCACTGTCAGGAAGTTTCTCCTTCGTTCTAGGTTGCTTCTTTCTTTGATTAACTTCCATCCATTGCTTCTTGTCCTGCCTTCAGGTGCTTTGGAGAACAATTTCTACAAAGTTACAAGCCACTGTTTCAGCTTGTTCTCTAGTTTGGTTCCTTAGTATTATTTTGACTAACTCGATCCGACCAAACACGTTCTCTGGGTTTTGAAATGACTGCTAGCAGAATCGGTTGCTGGAATTGGGTATGTCTAGTCTAATGAAGAGAAGGACGAGGGGGGGACATGATAGCCGTCTTCCAATATCTCAGGGGTTGCCCCAAAGAAGAGGGAGTCAAGCTATTCTCAAAAAACACTCAGAGTCATAATCATGCAAAGCACAAAATCATCACGTCACTGTCCAGCTACTTAAATTCCCTGAAAAATCTATCTCACCTGCACAGCTGAGTCCTCAAATGGTTTCTCGAATTTAAGACAGATGCCATGTTTCTATTTCAACAGAGGTTTTTTTTTTCCACCCCCCCCCCAATTATATCTGAAACCAATTTTGGAAAGAGCCATCCTTACTGTTGGGATAAATTCATTTCTGCTGCGACGCGCTGAGACATAGACATCGCTGCTACACGCCTCGGTTCGGTAACCCCGATGATGCCGCCGGTGCTACAAAACAGAATTGAGATGAGGTTTTAGTAGTAGTAGACTAGTTAAGAGCAGAGTTTCCCAACTGTGGCAACTTTTGAGATGTGTGGGACTTCAACTCCCAGAATTCTCTAGCCGCACGATTGGACTTCACTTCGCGGGATTCCATAGACAGCATGGATGGACTTCAAGATTCTGGCAGAGAAATTCTGGGAGTTGAAGTCTGTGCGAGGCCAGATCCTGAAGTTGAAACTCAAGTAGTTTGGCCACGTAATGAGAAGGAAGGACTCACTGGAGAAGGGCCTGATGCTGGGAAAGATGGAGGACAAGAGAAGAATGGGACGACAGAGAATGAGATGGCTGGATGGAGTCACTGAAGCAGCAGGCGTGAGCTTCAATGGACTCCAGAAGATGGCAGAGGACAGGAAGGCCTGGAGGAATGTTGTCCATGGGGTCGTGATGGGTCAGACACAACTTCGCAACTAACAACAACAAAGCTTGAAAAAACCACTGGTTTAAATTATTTGTATCAGAGCTTTGTGGAAATGAAGGCTTGAAGCTAAAGTGTGTGTGTAGGCTATTGTTAATTGATTTCATTTTATTCTAGCAAGCACAGGGAGATGCAACCGAGAAAAGAATTAAAAGCCAACACAACTAATCCTTTGACTTTTGACCGCAACTGAACCCAAAATTTTGGTTGCTAGGCCAGACATTTGTTAAGTGAGTTTTGCCGCATTTTATGACCTGACTTGCCCTGGCTGTTAAGTCAATCACTGCGGCTCTTAAGTTAGTAACACAGCTGTGAAGTGAATCTGACTTTCCCCATTGGCTGTGCTGGTCAGGAGGTCGTAAAAAGGGATCACACGGTCCCAGAATACGGCCATAAACATGAGCCGGTTGCCAAGCATCCAAATTTTGATCCCACGACCACATAAGTCGTCGTAAGTGTGAAAATCGATCCCAGGGCAGTTGTAACTTCGAACTGTCACTAAATGAACGGTTGTAAGTCAAGGACTATCTGCACAAGGGGCTACATTTGAAGCCCCCCCAGTTTATACCTTGCGTAGCCTGCTTCATAGAGGAACTGAGGCACTTGTGTGGTTTTCCCACAACCTGTTTCCCCGCATATGATGACGATCGGATTCTCCCGCACGGCTTCCATCACAACTTGCTCTTCTCCAAGAATGGGGAGTCTCAACCTGGCTTCCTTCCAAGAGAAACAAAAGAATATCCATGAACACCAACTGGCAGTCAAAAGGCATGACGAAAATTCTTTAACTTCACACAACATGTAGACAGATTTAATCACAGTTTCAATTGGGAAAAGGTGACCGTCCTAGACCAGGGCAAATCCCAAAAATGCTAGGGAATTTTCAGAAGCCTGGCCCTGGGACAAATTTATTTATTTATTTATGAGACTTATCTACCGCTTTAAGTGCAAGCACTCTCTAAGCGGTGTACACCAGTAAGCAATGTATATATATATATATATATATATATATATATATATATATATATATTTACATTGCCCCCAACAATCTGGGTCCTCATTTTACCGACCCCGGAAGGATGGAAGGCTGAGTCAACCTTGAGCCGGTGAGATTTGAACCGCTGACCTGCTGAACACAGTCAGTTAAAGTGGCCTGCAGTACTGCACTCTAACTACTGCGCCACCTCGGCTCAGCCCTCAATAGACACATGGACATTAACTACATCTGTATGTGTAAAAGAGACAATCAACAAGGAACAAAAAAAAAAATCAAGCATCTCTCCACCAGTAATTAGAACTCAGGTCAGCATAGATTAACTCCAAGGTCACCTTCAGACCAGCAATGAAGTAAGCAATTATATCCCAATCAAGAAACCAAAGAGCCATTATAAACAGTCAACCAAAGAATCTCTAAGACCGTCCCCACCCACCCAGACAGGCAAGACCGATAGCAAGCAGCACTCCTTACTGGCACTGATGATGTTACCTAGCTGGGTAATGAAACGTCTGCAAGAAAACCAGCAAGCTCAGAGAGCACCCACGATCCCATAGTACTTCCTTCCTTCCTTCCTTCCTTCCTTCCTTCCTTCCTTCCTTCCTTCCTTCCTTCCTTCCTTCCTTCCTAAATTCCATTCCCTTCTAGCACCGATGATGTTACCTAGCTGGGTAATGAAACGTCTGCAAGAAAACCAGCAAGCTCAGAGAGTACCCAGGACCCATAGTCTGTCCTTCCTTCCTTCCTTCCTCCTTCCCTCCCTCCCTAAATTCCACTCCCTTCTAGTACTGATGATGTTACCTAGTTTGGTAATGAAACGTCTGCAAGAAAACAAGCAAGCTCAGAGAGCAGCAAGGAACCCATAGTCCTTCCTTCCTTCCTTCCTTCCTTCCTTCCTTCCTTCCTTCCTTCCTTCCTTCCTTCCTTCCTTCCTTCCTTCTTTCCTTCCTTTCCTCCCTCCCTAAATTCCACTCCCTTCTAGCACTGATGATGTTACCTGGCTGGGTAATGAAACGTCTGCAAGAAAACCAGCAAGCTCAGAGAGCACCCAGGCCCCCTCAAACAAAGAATATTTACAAAGAACAAACACTATGGTAGCCCAGACTGTACATTTAATTTCAGCACACATCATTTTGGAGTTTTAAAGCCAGCTTGTGGTTAATATTCCCACCCTAAGAACCTCTTTCGATGCAAGCTGCACGTTGCTTCACATTTCCCGGACCAAATGGTTTAATTGCATCTGATTTAGCCCCTGAGCTCTGATGTATGTGATACGTGTGTCCAGCTCAAGTTTGCTTCGTTAGCCAACCTGAATGAGGCACGAGAACATTCTCTAGGGATTGGATTCAAAACTGACCTGAATATCGGGGGATCGATCCACCGGAACAAACACTGCAGGTTCAGACAGAGGCTTAGTGGTCACATTTCTTTGCCCGGAAATTTTATCAAGTTCTTTGGGCAAAGGGAATGGAGATTTGGAGAGCTTTCTGGATTCTATCTCGGTGGTGGTGGAGGCTTCTGGGAGTGCCTGTTCAAGTGGTTCTTCCTCCTCAGAATCCTCAACTTCCTTCTCCTCCTCTTCCTCCTCCAATTCAAGTCTGCCTCTTTTCCTTCTGGCGCCCCCAACGCTTTTGATTTTCTTCGACCAGCCGGCACTCGCTTCTTGGACTGACCTGGAATACCAAGACTTCCACATTATCCCCCAAGCTCTGAAGAGACACCAGGGAAGATGATGGACACCAGCCTGGAGATGAGTGGATATCCGCTCTCAGAATCCCCCCAATTAGATAAATATTTTTTCTAACAATTCTGGGGGCTCCCATATCTGGAGGTGCCCAGAAAGAGTGGCTGCCGTCTTTGAACATCATCTGCATCTCCCAAAGGGTATATAAGCTAAAAGCTCAAATGGGCGCAGAAAGGCGCCATCCAACGAGACATATGCCTGTGTTGCATAAATAAAATGAGCCAATAAACTTGACCCTTCCTTAAAGCAAATTAACACTGATTATGAATAATAATAATAATAATAATAATAATAATAATAAAGTTGGAAGGGATCTTGGAGGTCATCTAGTCCAGCCCCCTGCTCAGGCAGGAAACCCTATACCATTTCGGACAAATGACTGTTCTTAAAAACTTCCAGTGTTGGAGCATTCACCGCTTCTGGAGGCGGGTAGTTCCACTGGTTAATTGTTCTCACTGTCAGGAAGTTTTTCCTTAGTTCTTGGTTGCTTCTCTCCTTGATTAGACTCCATCTGTTGCTTCTTGTCCTGCCTTCAGGCGCTTTGGGGGATAGCTTGATTCCCTCTTCTTTGGGGCAGCCCCTGAGATACTGGAACACTGCTATCATGTCCCCCCTCGTCCTTCTCTTCGTTAAACTAGACATACCCAGTTCCAGCAGCCGTTCCTTATATGTTTTAGCCTCCAGTCCCCCCCAACTAGTTATCTAGTTGGGTAATGAAATGTCTGCAAGAAAACCACCAAACTCAGAAAGCACTAAGGACCCCACAGTCTTCCTCCTCCTCCTCCTCTCTGCAAACCCCACTTCCTTCTAGCACTGAGGATGTTCCCTACTTGGGTAATGAAATCTCTGCAAGAAAACCTCATCCCTTTCTAGCACTCATGATGTTACCTAGTTGGGTCATGAAACATCTGCAAGAAAAGCACCAAACTAAGAGAGCACCAACGTTCCCACAATCCTCCTGTTCCTTTTCCTCCTCCTCCTCCTCCTTCTCCCCTCTCCTTCTCCATTCTGCAAACCCCACTTCCTTCTAGCACCGGGTCGTGAAACGTCTGCACGAAAACCACCAAGCTCAGAGAGCACCAGGGACCCCTCCCACTTTTTTTACCTTACCTTTTCGCCTGGAACATCCGTTTCCCTGTTCCCAGCTTGGAGGTGGTATAGAGGAGCTTCATTTCGGCCTCGGGCACTTGGACTTCACTCAGCTTTTTCAGCAATTCCGCTCGCTAGAATTTCAAACCCAACCAAACAGAACAAAGGACATGAGCCGAGGATGGGGGGGGGGTGACGTCTCCTGCCTCCCCACGTCACAATATTCAAGCATGGGTTTCCTGAAATCAATCAATCAATCACCTCACCTTTTCTTTCTTTGCTTTTTGTTCCAAAATCTTCTGCAAATTCTTCTTCTGCTTCTTTGTCAGGGGTTTCTTTCCCGGGCGTTTAAGGCAGGTGGCTGGTTTCTCCTGAGTTTTTCGGGACGGAAGGACAAGGGCGTTGCTCTCATCCACTCCTTTCAAGATGGTTTCATCTAGAAGGGTTTGGGGGGGGGAAGAGAACGAGGACTCACCAGATCAGATTGTAACCCTACTTTGCTAGTCCACCTCCATGCACGTTCACTCCGAAATAAGTCCCATGAACGCAAAACCAAAGATGGTGCCAACAGTCACAGGTGCCTTGGGTGCAATCCCAAAATAGCTGGGAGCATCGCTGGAGCATCATCGGCACTGACAAAAATCCCCATCAGTCAATTGCAAAAGGCAGCTTTACTTGGAACAGCTGACATCCTGTGACAACGATACCTTTAACACTGCCAAACTGGCCTATTTTAGCTCCTCTGCAAGGACTTGATAGACCAGCGGTTCTCAACCTGTGGGTCGGGACCCCATTTGGGGTCGAACGACCATTTCACGGGGGGGGGGGGTTTCGCCAAATGCAGTCGGCCATTTCCCCCCCCCCCCTTTTCCTTAGCTGTGCTACTCCCTTTTATTCTATTGGCTTTTGAAAGCCAATAGAATAGACTCTCTTGAATAGAGTCCAATTCTATTGGCTTTCAAAAGCCAATAGGAATTGTCCAGGCTGTCTCTGCCCTGCTAAGCCCACCAAAAGTCCTATTCTGCAAACGGTGCTGCACCAGTTGAGTAGTCCTCAACTTATGACTGGTTGAGTAATCCTCAACTTACAACCGGTTGGGGTCGCGGCATTAAAAAGGTTGAGAACCACTGTGATAGGTGGACAAAAATGCCAAATCCGCTCTAAACATCCAGCTGACTGTGCAAACCTCAACCTCACAAGGTTGTTGTTGTGGGGAAAAAAACAGAAGGGGGAAAGTTTATGTTCACTGCCTTGCGTTATTTATAAAGTAATGAGGCAGGATGTGTGTGTGTGTGTGTGTGTGTTAAATTTGGATTTCTTCTTCCCATATTTGGGCTGACCGGGTGCACCATAAAAAATACTTAAGACACACACACACAAACATATATACACAAACATACACACACACACACACACATTTTAAAAAAGTAGTCAACTTAAGAGGTAACGTTAATTTGCTTTTGAGATGGCCATGGAATATAAAAGAGAGCCAGTTTGGTCTAATCTAATGGCTCAGGCAAGCCAGGCAAGAAAGTGGGCAAGATCCTGAGTTCAAGTCCTGCCTCAGCCTGAAAACCAGCTGGGTGAGGTGAGCTTTGAGCCAGTCTCTCTTTCCTAGCCCAACCCACCTCACAGGGTTGTTGTGGGGGGGGGGGAAAGAAGACGGAGTATTATGTATGTTCCCCACCTTGGGGTATTTAGAACAATAATTCAAGGCGGGATACCCCAAAAAAAGTTAAATAAATAAACAGTATTTAAGACGGGAAAACAGCAAGCCCTGGGACAGACTTTACCTGGATCTTTTGGGCCTGCCCCTCCCTCTCTCAGGCCACCCCACCTTGCAAGGTTGTTGTTATAAGGAATATCAAAAAGGCGGTTTAAAATATAATAGTAATAGTAGCAACAACAATAATAATCTTCACCTCCCAATTCTAGCTGCACAGGCTCCTGGGGAGCGGGAGCCCCCCTCCTGGGCGATCCTGGCAGGCGCGCCCGCCAATTGCGCCTCTTTTGCGCCTTCCCCATCGAGGCGCGCATCAACAGAGCCTCCCACGTGGATTCCGCAGGAGCAAACACTTCCGCCTTCTGCCGTCTCTTCGCGCCCCGTCTCGCGAGAACTCGCCCAGCGCCACTCCGTCCCGTCTCGGGCTCCGACTCTATGGTACCAAGAAGCCCGTTCGAAGGAGGAGAGCAGGTGGGAGGCAAAACGCGGCGGGAAATCCAGACCTGGAGGTGGCGCTGATAACCCTGAGTGTTATGGAATGGAATGGAATGGAATAGAATAGAATAGAGAAAGGAATAGAGTAGAATAGAATAGCAATTTAGATACAATGGAATGGAATGGAATAGAATGGAATGGAATAGAATAGAATAGAATAGAATAGAATAGAATAGAATAGCATAGAATGGAATGGAACGCAATAGGAATTTAGATAGAATGGAATGGAACGCAATAGGAATTTAGATAAAATAGAATAGAATAGGAATTCAGATAAAATAGAATAGAATAGAATAGAATAGAATGAAATAGAATAGAATAGTATTGAATCTGGAAGGGACCTTGGAGGTCTTCTAGTCCAACCCCCTGCTCAAGCAGGAGACCCTATATACCGTTCCAGACAGATGCCAGAACTTGCCATGTTTCCATTTCAACAGAGGTTTTTTATGTTAAGAACTGAATATATAATTGTTTAAATAAAAGATTAACAAGATGTGAGTTCCAGCACTTTTCTTACAAAAAAAGATAGATGATAGATAGATAGACAGACAGACAGACAGACAGATGCAATAAAGATACCATTGCAAAAAATTACAGTAAACATTTAAGGTTTATTTGGTCACCACGCCATAGTTCAATTGTGACATCAGTCTACAAACAATTCACCATGTAGAAGTACATAGGTCTGGTGATCAGATAATAAATAAAGGCATGGACAATTCCCCCCCCCCCGAATCTTCACAGTTATTCAACAGCATCATTCATAGAACTAAGGTTTTATTAAGTTCATCGATTAAAAGGAAGCCTACGACACTTCCTTCTCAGCAAAATCATCTTTTTTTTCTTAAACAAAACACATAATTTTGCCATAAAGACTTTTAAAAAACAACCTAATATTTAGGAGATCAGATGTCCAGATAGGATAATCAATCACTATACTCAGTGCAGATAAACAGTTATGATCCAAGTATATATATATATATATTTCTGCTTTTACAACAGGGGGGAAAAAGAGTCATTTTTAAACATGGCGCTTGGCAACAAGGATCCAGGGAATTAACGAAGCAGTTTTAAGTTGCATGCAAAATGTAAGAAAGATTAAAGATCTTTAAAAGAAGGAGAAGATAAGAGAAGCGGGTTCAGATAGAATTTTAGCTGCAAAATACAAATTAACCAGCAAAAAAACACACCACCTTTATCATCAACAACAAAAAATTATAACCTACAGCAGAAACATAAAAACGGTCCACAATTCTGTAAAGCAGCTTTGGGGGGAAAAAAACACCCTAATCATATCCCAAAAGGCAAAAGTATCATATTATTTTAGCACACGTTTGCACACAATATTCTAAAACCTAAGACAACTTTTTTTTAAAAAAAAACTCATTAAATTCAGTAGTTCTGCTCTATTTCTTGGCCAGGCTGATATGCCTCAATCAACCACAATAATTACACGGATGGTTTACAACAAACGCCGGCACGACACTCTGATTTTAACACAAGACTGGAATTCTCGGATGGGAAAAAAAAATCCCTTGAGCTGCCATTGTTGTAATATTCCAGCCAGATTGGGGTTTGTTAAGTGGTTTTGAATGATTAAGAAATTAAAGTTGGTCCATTTATTGAATGAAAACCATCCTAGGAATGTACAAATCTTGGCAAAGTGGAATTTTAGCTCGTCTAATACCTCTTAACTATACAAAAGAGAATTAGCTTTTAAGGAATGCAAGACCCACCCCCTTTCTCTGGTCTGCTCCAGCATCTAGTATTTTGCTTCCACTTATATCATCATGGTTAGTTCTAACCCCAATTACACATATAATCTGAAGGGCAATCCAAGTCAGAATTAACCAAGATCAGCTGACATTGCAATGAGAGGAAAATTATCTGCAGAGTTTGTAACAGTAAACTGGCCTGCAATGCAAAACTGTTTTTCCAAATGTGAGGAATTAACAACAATGCATATCCAACCTTAATTCAGCCTGGAAAAAAAAAAATTGGAACCAATTCGAAAACGGATGTAAGGTTTGTAAGAAAAGAATCGCAGCTGGTTAGTTTGAACATTTCACCTCTGCTTCCCTGAATGACACATCAAATTAAAAACTTTACTGTTGCCCGTGGCCAACCCAGTCATCAATAATTAACTGCAATATTGCTTCCTCAACCTATATGTTGAATAAATAGCACACAAATGCCCGTTTTCTGCACAGCGGGGTATTTTCTAGGTCTCTAGATGAACGAAGGTGAAAAAAAAAATCACCACTATGGTACTATCCACAAGAGAAGTGAACAGTAACAAGAAGAAAAATAAAGCAGAGAAAATCCACCCACATCTGCATTTTTATAGAATAAGGGGGGGGGGAGAATGCCTTAAGGTCACCTTCACCTTCAAGGAAGGTGGAAATGGCAAGAACGGTCTATTTCAAGTACCGGTAGTTTGTGCTCCTGTTTAATTTTAAATAAAAGAGAACTTTATCTAGCCAAATCTGCACCAAGGCAGCAGGGGCAATATATATCTCGATATTCTTTTTTCAACTACAGCCTTATACAAAACAAAACGCTGTGTATATCAAATCTATTTATACATATACATATATATATATATTTACTAGTTCCCGCATCACCACTATGGGAAGCTGATTTAAAGGACGGAGTTCATGTTAGCCTATGTTCTCTCAATTCCAAGTTGCCTTTTCTTTATTTGAAGACGTTCAATCATGGAAGAAAAGAGGTGTTTTTTTCCCCTTTCCAGAGGATCTTCATTTTAGAACGATTGGGAATCTTCAAAAAATGCTGGGAAAAAAACAAATGATTTTTTTTTCTGGAAGGAAGGAAGGAGACAATTGCCAATTCACAAGCTTTGAAAAGTCTGTAATGTCATTTAGATCAGAACAGATATATATATATATATATATATATATATGTACACACACACACACACACACTAAGTCTCACCCAGGCAAATTAATTGCCCACTTCCACAGGCACAAAAAAAGTGGGGGGGGGGATCACAAGGCCAGGTGATGCTAAGTATTCCAGCAACTTCCAGTTTTCCCAGAAAATAAAAGGCTGTGGAGTAACATAACCAAAAAGAGTTATGTGGTTGTTGAGGTTAGAAACATTTGTGGGGAAAAAAGTTAATTCTTTGAAACTGGCCCTGATGGGGCCAGTAATATTTTACGGGCACCATTTTACAGCAAACAGGTCACTTGGGCAATTTTTTTCGTGGCCAACCAAATTAGCCACTCCACTTTTTAAAGGACCGAACACAATCGGGTCCTCCGTAGTATCTATTGTGGGAAAAAAAGATTTGGGATAGATGAGCAAAGCACAGACCCTTCTAAAGTTGAGGATTTTATGGAATTTATTGCCACGTTAATCCTGAGAAAGATTCCTGTATCCCACTCCCCCCTTTTTTTTTGCAATTCTTTTTTAATCTGTCGCCGATCGTGGTTGAGTCAAGCTGAGGTTGATGGGCTTATTTCTGCCTTTCTCTTTTTTCAAGCAATGCCTAATTTTGATAGAAATGTACAGTAACTTCCACTCTGAAAGGCCAACTTCTCTCCTGCTGTTATGCACCCAGGACTGTCCTCCGTTGCTAATTTTATCTGACCGACACTCAAGTTTTCTTCCTCAAGGTCTTTTGGTTAAGTTGTGTCAAGGAAGATGAGCAAAAAAGCCAGAAGACTTTAACTGGAGAAATTTTGCAGAAGGGGCTGGAAGGTGGACTGTTTTTTTTTTTTTTGTGCTTTTGTGTGTTTGTGTGTAGGCAAAAGAAAGGGCCAAATTTCTAATGAAACTGACAGGAGAAAAAAAAAAACCAACAACACAGAAGCACTTTTGATGCTCGTGGTTGACCTCCGAAGGACGCAACATATCTTGCTTTCAAAATTCAGGGCGAACAATATATGGATCTGACTCAAAACGTATTATTTTTTCCTCTGCAGTTATATGAAAAAGATGAAACGAGGCACAACATGAAATTATGACTGAAGGGAGGATGGAAAAAAAGAAGAAAAACGGATCCTCCTAACGCTGGTCGAATTCTTCATGCTTCCTTACTTCTTTCTGAAGGTGAAGTTGGTGTCCAGTGTATAGAGAATTTTGTTGCTTGAAACGAACAACTTCACGGGCCTTTATTAAATCTCCCTCCCTCCTTTTTTTTTTTTTTTTTACAAAAGATGTTGGAAAACAGCAGATAAAACCCTACTTATGGGAGAACATCTTTGAATGTACAGCTAATCTATCTTACAAGTTAATTAATGTTTTGTTCAGGGTATGGACAGGTAAGCTACGCACGAAGACTTAATGGCCGGATGGCGCACCCTTCCTTGACCCCAATGTCCGCCTCGTTGTGGACGAGACGTGGTGATTTCCCGGATCGCCTGTGTTGTGTTCCCGTGCGAAGTGTGACTTTCCCATTAGTCGCCTCCTCGGTCCAGGTTCTCGATCACGCGAGACAGACGGATGTTCAGAAGCCTGATCTGGCTGTCAAGGTGATCAATCTTCTCCTCCAGGGTGTTGTGGCTGTTCCTCCGCCAGTAGAAGCTCACGGGACCAGTCATGAAGTAGACGGCGACCACGAAGCAGAGGGGAAGGACGGCGTGTTCGGGCTCGCTCTCGTATTTCTGAAGGATGTAGACGCAGGAAAGAGCGAAGAGGACAATCCGGATGATCCAGAAGAAACGGCCGCACAGGACGTGCAGGAGATAGAAGAAGAATCCCAAGAGCAGAGACACAAACCAATAAGCCAACAAGATGGCCCCGATCAGCAAAAGGGCCCGAGCGGGATTGTTGGCTAGGGCGGTGTGGCTGAAATAATGGGTCAAGTTGGATCCTGGAAAACAATCAGAGCAGAAACCGTCAACGCTCGCTCCGCCGAGGTAGGAAAACAAGCATCGACAATTGAAAAAAAACATTCATCGGATGTCTTCAGACTTGGCCCTTTTACGACTTGTGGACTTCAACTCCCAGAATTCCTCAAACCCACTCAATTAACTATAAAACATCCATGTTAAACAACCTTCCTTTATAAGGAATTTTTGCCTACTTTGGAGGAATGGTTTTTTTAAAGTTTCTTACTTATCTGAAATGGCAAAAATTTCGGCTCATTTGAAAGATCAATCGCAAGAGAAATATCTCTTGGTGTGGAAAAGATGGATAAACTTTATACAGTATAAGTATGATATTAAAAGATATTATTTAGCTTTTGAATAATTTATGTTTAAAGTTTAAAGTTTAAGATAATAAGTATTTTTTAATATATATATATATATATATATATATATATATATATATATATATATATATATATATTACCTTGAATGTGCACCCTGTCAGCCCAAATATGGGAGAAAGAAATCTTCTTTCTTTTTCTTTTCTTTTCTATATATATTGGACTTAAAGTACTTAAAATTTTGTTTTTTTTAATGTAATTTTTGTTTGAGGTTTATTTAAGTTTAAATGTTTTGTATTTTTAGTTCTAGTTAACCCTGTATTCAGCTCTGGGAAGATGGGGGGAGGGTTTCTGGGAGGGTAGGGAGGCAGTGGGAGAGGGATTTTATTGTAAAATTGCAAAAAATTTTAATAAAAAAAAAAGAAAAAAAAATAACCTTCCTTTATAGCAGGGGTGTCAAACTCAATTTCATTGAGGGCCGCATCAGCATTGCGGTTGCCCTTGGGGGGCCAGGTGGGTGTGGCCGGGGTGGGTGCGGCCTACTGGGTGGGCGTGGATAGAGTGGGTGTGGCCTACTGGGTAGGCATGGCCAACTCTACATCGTTCACGTCAACGGTGCCTGTGGGGGCCTGGGCAGGACCGATCTGAGGGTCTCTGGCAGAAAGGGGTGGGACCAAGGCGGAGCCCATCAAGCCGGATATGTGAAGTAGGCGAGGGCCATTTGCTGGCCACTTCCAGGCGATGGTGCATTTCTTCATTCCTCACAAAGGGGGACACCTCCCCAGCATGCACCCAGGGGGCGGGGGCGACATAGCAGGGGCTGGTTCCTCGCTGTTTCCAGACAGCCTTGTGGAGCTAAGACTGAATGCGTTTCAGCATAGATGGCCGCCACAAAATTGTACATTGGCTCCCGGCCAGCCTGGGCCAGGGCCAAGGCAGCAGGGGCCGTTCCCTCACTGTGTCCAGGATGGTTTTGCAGGCCACATGAAACCACTTTGCGGGCCGCATCCGGCCCCCCAGGCCTTGTGTTTGACATGTCTGCTTTATAGCAAGGGACTCTTCACAAATTATTATTTTCCTTACTTGATCGAGGTGCAATGGAGTTGCTCGACAATGGGGTGGCTGGCACATAAATGTAATAATCAAATAAAAATAAATAAAATCAAAATAAGCTTGGGGAACGACCGCCCCAGCTACTGTTTTGCCCACCTACCATCAATTCCAAGGACATCTAGAAGATCTGTCCATATTCTCCAGAATGTATCTACAAGAACGTCCACTCCGTACACGAATCGCTCCGTCAGTCTGGAGAAAAACTGGAAAGGCAAAATATAAAGACTCTGTTCATCCTCTACAATTTTAAGTGTTTCTTAGGAAAGAAATCCAGTTTTTAGACTAGACTAGAATAGAACAGAACAGAACAACAGGATAGGATAGGATAGGATAGGATAGGATAGGATAGGATAGGATAGGATAGGATAGGATAGGATAGAATAGAACAGAACAGAACAGAATAGAATAACAGAGTTGGAAGCAACCTTGGGGGTCTTTTAGTCCAACCCCCTGCTCAGGCAGGAAACCCTATAGTCAGCCATTTCAGACAAATGGGTGCCCAATTTCTTCTTAAAAACTTCCAGTTTTGGAGCATTCACAACTGCTTCTATGTCTTCTAAGTCAGGGTTTCCTGACTTGGCAACTTTAAGCCTTGTGAACTTCAATTCCTGCCTCACCCACACTTGAAAGAGAAAGCGACAAAAAGACACAGCAGGAAGGTATTTATGAATCATTATCCTGGATTTTGAACCCCATATCTGCACAGGGTGGGGTTCCTGTCATGTGCTCCCAAACGGCTGAGGAGCTGTGATGGGGAAAAAGCAGCAATGAACCAACTTCCAGGAAGCAATGTCTGTCTGTCTGTCTGTCTGTCTGTCTGTCTGTCTAGGAAAGAATTTTTATCAATGAAGGTTAAGCTGAAAGAGATTCCTTGCATTCTTTGGTCTTTCTTTGGTTTTGGATGGTCTTCTCCTTCCAAAAGAAAGGAAAAGTGCCATAGTTCACTCACGGAAAGTCTGGGTGCAAGAGAGAACATGGATGGGCCCAGAAGGACATCCAGGAGAAGACAACAGAGCATTCCTTGCTACAACCATAACCACCGTCTTCTCCATCCTGATAAAGTTCCTCCCGCCAGAATTTTGTCCAAGCATCTCCTCATGACAATTACTGTGTAATATTATCGATTAATCTCCTCTCCTAACGGGTCCTCCTTGTTTTTCGCAGCCTTGAGCGACTCATTATGTGGCATCAAGTTGGTGCTGAGGTGGAAACCCTTGAGAACTGTCTTCTCCTAGATGAACATGTAGCACAAGTTCTCCCGTTTCTCCTAAACCTTCCCCATCATCACCATCAGGTCAGTTTCCAGTAGGTGCCTCAACTGGGCCAACCAGGACACCAAATATCTCTGGTTGTCCCCCCCATGGCCACGTTCACTTTCATGACCATCCCCACCATCATCAGCTTAACTTTCAGTGGGCGTCCCAACTGGGCCAACCTGGATACTGAACATATTCAATTATCATCACCACCACCATAACTATCACCACCACCAACATAACCATCATCACCACCATTATAACCATCACCACCACCCACCATAACTAACATCACCACCATAACCATCATCACCACCATAACAACCGTCATCACCACAACCATCATCACCACCATTATAACCATTATCACCACCACCATAACCATCATCACCACCATTATAACCATCATCACCACCACCATAACCATCATCACCACCATCATAACCATCACCACCACCACCAAGACCATCAGGTCACCTTGTGGGCCCCCAATCGGGTCAACCAGGATCTCTAACTCCTCTGATCATCCTCATCACCACCATGACCATGTTCGCTCATCAGAGGTCCACATCATCATCCTATTAGTACCGCTTTATAAAATCTTAGTAAGGCACACCTGGAATCCAGCATCCAGTTTTGGTCACCACATCACAAAAAAAAAAATGTTGAGAGTTTGGAAAAAATTCAGAGAAGAGCAACTAAGATGATCCAAGGCCTGGAGATTAAAACATACAAAGCACGGCTGTGGGACTTGGGTCTGGCTAGTCTACAGAAAAGAAGAAACAGGGGAGACATGATAGCAGTGTTCCAGTATTTGAGGGGCTGCCACAAGGTAGAGGGGCTTAATTTATTCTCCAAGGCACCAGAGGGCAGACAAGAAACAATGGTTGCAAACTGATCAAGGAGAGAAGAATTAAGGAGAAACTTCCTGACAGTGAGGACAATTAACCAGTGGAACAGCTTGCCACCAGAAGTTGTGGGTGCTCCATCACTGGTGGCTTTTCTAGATAGGCTTTTTCACCTATCTGAAATGGTCTAGGCTAGGGTCTCCCGCTTGAGCAGGGGGCTGGACTAGAAGACCTCCAAGCTCCCTTCCACCTCTCTTCCCATTGATCATCATCCCAAGCATCACACCCTCCGCCGCCATCAGGTCAACCAGGAACCCCCAACCTCTGCTCATCTTCATCCTCCCTACCAGGTCACCTTTACAGGGGGCACCCCATTGGGCCAGCCAGGACCACCCCAATCGCCCTCCTGGGCGCCCACGCCAAAGTCGGGGACCCCCTTCTGCACACACCCCCCGCCCCGCCGGGTCCAAAGCCCCCAGACCCTCCTCTCCCCCGCTCCCTTCCCCTTCCCTCCCACTCCCGTTTGCCGGGACCCTCCGGGCGCCGCTCACCTTCTGCAGGGCGCGCACGTTCTCCTCGCCCAGGAGGCCGCTGGCGCCCTGGTAGACGCCGCTGGCCGCCCGCCGGAGGCTGTTCTGCTTGTCGGCGCCCCGGGAGCCCCGCGCCCCACGCGCCCCCGGCCCGGCCAGCAGCAGCAGCAGCAGCAGCGACAGCAGCGCGCCACGCGCCCCGTTCCGGCTCGCCATGGCGCTCCTTGCTCGTTCGTGCGCTCCAGCCGGGCGCGCTCGGCTCGGCTGGCGGCTTTTCCCGCTTGCCCCGCCTCGGCTCGGCTCGGCTCTCGGCCGCTCTCGCCCGGCCGGGCAGCGCTCTCTCGCGGCCGAGGAGGTTCCGGCGCCCGGCTCGGCAAGGCGAGAAGAGGCGAGGCGCTTCTCGCTCGGCTGCGCGCGCTCTGCGCTCCGGGCGCGCCCGGCTCCTTCTTGGTGACCCCCGTGGGGTCCCGGGCCTGGGTCTGGTGGGGAGTGGGGAGTTTGGGGTTTTAAAAGAGGGGCTTCTGGGAAGTGTTGGCAGGCCCTCCAGGAGGAAGGGAACGAGGGAGAAAGGGAGGGAAGGAGGGCAGGCAAAGCCGAAGGGAGAGCAATGCCAGAGGACTGCAGGGTTCGTTGCAAAAGGGAGTTGAGAATGGGTTGTCAGTCGGTCTCTCATTTCATCCAGGTTTATCTTGATTTTCCAATTTGATTCTCCTTCCTTCCTTCCTTCCTTCCTATATTCCTTCTTTCCTTGTCTTCCTTCCCTCCCTCCCTCCCTCCCTCTCTCCTTCCTTCTTCCCACATCTTCCTTCCTTCCTTCCTTCCTTCCTTCCTTCCTTCCTTCCTTCCTTCCTTCCTTCCTTCCTCTCATTCCCATCTCCCTCCCTGATTCCCATCTCCCTCTCCATCCTCCTTCCTTCCTTCCTATATTCATTCCTTTCTTCCATCCTCCCTATATTCCTTCTTTCCTTCTTCCTACGTCTTTCTTTCCTCCCTCCCTCTCCTTTCTTCTTCCCACATCTTCCTTCCTTCCTTCCTTCCTCTCATTCCCATCTCCTCCCTCCCTCCCTCCTTCATTCCCCTCCCTCTCCATCCTCCTTCCTTCCTTCCTTCCTTCCTTCCTTCCTTCCTTCCTTCCTCTCATTCCCATCTCCTCCCTCCCTCCCTCTTTCATTCCCCTCCCTCTCCATCCTCCTTCCTTCCTTCCTTCCTTCCTTCCTTCCTATATTCATTCCTTTCTTCCATCCTCCCTATATTCCTTCTTCCCTTCTTCCTACGTCTTCCTTCCCTCCCTCCCTTCCTCTCCTTCCTTCTTCCCACATCTTCCTTCCTTCCTTCCTTCCTTCCTTCCTTCCTTCCTTCCTTCCTTCCTTCCTTCCTTCCTTCCTTCCTTCCTTCCTCTCATTCCCATCTCCTCCTTCCCTCCCTCACTCCTTCATTCCCATCTCCCTCCCCATCCTCCTTCCTTCCTTCCTTTCCTCCCTCTCTCCCTCCCTCCTTCCTTCTTCAAACCACCCTAGGCAAACCAACTAGGTTAATGACCATCTAGGCTTTTAACCACCATCAGAAAGGGGGAAAGAATTCTGCTGGAGATTCAGCTTAACCTGGCACTGAATGAACCGACATCGGTGCAAAGATGAAGGTTGAGTTTGCCCAGCCCCTTAAACCAGCATTTCTCAATCTTGGCAACTTGAAGATGGGTAGATTTTGATTGCCAGAACCCCCCCCCCTTCAAGCTGCCAAAGCGGCTTAGATCCATAATTGTGTGCAATTGTGTAATTGCCCAACGGAGTCAGGAGGTGACCCAAGACTACTCAGCGCCTTTGGTGGCCTGCTCAGCTCTTCAGTTGTGTCAACATTGCATTGTCTCTGCCCCACCTCGGCCCACCTTCTAAATCCACCCATCCAACTTTCTTTTTTTAGCAACGTTCAAACTATCAAGGCTAGTCGGGGTCAAAGGGAATCCTGACCTAATCAGGTTTGTCCATCTACTCACCCCATCCTGAGCTTCCTGGCCAAATTATTGCAAACACACCTTGTTGACTGAAGATAACTCTTTTTTTTTTTTTTTTTAGCCCCAGACCCGGCCAAGCATTTCTTAAATTCTCTTGCCCAAGGCTGGGTGTGCAAATCAAAACCAATCAGTTTCCCAGATCTTCCCCCCTGTGGCTGGGTGTGCAAATCGAGGTCAATCAGTTTCCCAAATCCTCCTCCTTGTGGCTGGGTGTGCAAACCAAAATGACTTCAGTTCTATCAACCTTCCTCTTCCCCTTGGCTGGGTGTGCAAATCAAAATCAACCATCTCCCCAAATCCTCCTCTCCCCCCCCCCTTGAGTGTGCAAATCAAAACCAATCAATGATCCTTTTCGCCTTACCATTAAAGCTGAGCTATGATTGGGCACGCCTCTTCCCAGCTCTGGCACCCATTGGCCTTCCCGGAGCGAGTGCCAGCAAACGTCTTCTCCTGATTGGGTGAGGAGGGCCACGGCCTGCTCCAGCCCTCCCATCGTTTTGCTGGCTGGCCCATGCTGGAGACTCTGGGCTGATGTGGGGCCAGACCCAGATCCACCAATGGGGGGGCTGCATTCTGGATGTGGTGCGCTGATGCCATGGATCCATCCGCCCTGCCGCCGAAGGTGCCAGCTCCTGGGGGTTGGCACCCCAATTGGGGGATTTTCGACCCTTATCTGGGTTGCTACACATTTTTTTTATTATTTTTTTCTGCACATCACATGACATTGCATGTACGAAATAGCTAAAGCTAACTGAGTTTAAAACTGATTTATTTTTTCTTTTAAATATAATCCAGGGGTTATTATTATTAGTATTATTTGCACAGAATTTAAGTTTAGTTGGGTGGGATGCCTTTTCTTTTTAAAACATGTCAAATGCTACCACAGGTTTTTATTTTTAAAATTGATGTATTACCTTTGTTGGCTGCCCCAGGTGACTCCCAGGAATAAAAGATAAACCTGAACAAACGTAGGAAGGAAAAAAAATAAAGAAAAAAAATATGTATTTTATTTTCAAATCTAAGTTTTTTTCTCCCTGAACATTTCACGACAGTGAATGTATTAATAGGTTAACATAATTTGGTTTAAAACTGATTAATTGGATTTTTTTGGGGGGGGGGAATTGAGGGTTTTTTTTGCAAAGAATCTGAGTTTGAGTGTGATGTTTTTTCTTTACACACACACACACACACACACACACACTCACAAACACACACCTCTACATACATACATACATATATACATACATACATACAGGTAGTCCTTGACTTATAATTACAACTGAGGCAAAAATTTCCATTGCTAAGCAAGACAGTTGCTAAATGAATTTTTCCCATTTAACGACCTTTCTTGCCACGGTTGTTAAGTGAATCACTGCAGTGGTTAAGTTAGTAACACGGTTGTTAAGTGAATCCAGCTTCCCCATTGACTACTTGTCAGAAGGTCGCAAAAGGGGATCACGTGACCCTCCCGGGACACAGCAACCATCGTAAATACGAGTCAGTTGCCAAGCGTCTGAATTTTGATCACGTGACCCAAAGGAAGGCTGCAACAGTGTGAAAAATGGTCTTAAGTTCCTTTTCTCAATGCTGTTGCAACTATGAACGGTCACTAAATGAACTGTTGCAAATCAAGGACTACCTAGAGCAGGGGTAGGCAACTTTGGCCCTTTTATGACTCGTGGACCAACTCCCAGAATTCCTGAGCCAGCCATGCTGAGGGGAAAGGGAGAGGTTTCCAAGCTGAGCCATGTTGGCTCAGGAATTCTGGGAGTTGAAGTCCACAAGTCATAAAAGAGCCAAGGTTGCCTACCCCTGGTATAGGGTCTCCTGCTTGAGCAGGGGGCTGGACTAGAAGACCTCCAAGATCCCTTCCAGTTCAATTCTAATTCTATTTATTTCCATTTTCTATTCTATTCTATTCTATTCTATTCTATTCTATTCTATTCTATTCTATTCTACAATCTGTCTATTCTATTCTATTCTATCTAAATTCCTATTCCATTCCATTCCATTCCATTCCATTCCATTCCATTCCATTCCATTCTATTCTATTCTATTCTATTCTATTCTATTCTATTCTATTCTATTCTATTCTTTGGTCTCCGGAGAGCTTCCTGCGCGACCCGATTCCAATTCCACCTCTATTCCTCATCCCGGCCTACCTTGCAGAGTTGTCGTGGAAAAAAAAAACCCACGACCTGCAATTAGAGGAAAGCCAGAAAGGGAGCCACACATGCATAAAACCGAGTTGTGTGGATTCCCACGCGCGTCAGCCTGCTTGGCAAGTTGCACTTGGCGGGTTTTATGGTGGGGGGGGATTTTGCACGCCCGTGTTCACGCTCACTCCCGTTGCAAAAATCGGCTTTTTGGATCCGCGCACTCTTTTTTTTTTTTTTTGGTTTGGTTTTGCTCCGCCCTCTGGCGGAAGGTCACCCGGGTGGCGCGAAGGCGGTGACGCGTCCTATAAAAGGCGCCGGCAGGAGGCGGAGCTCCGCAGTCCTGCTCGGACCGGCGAGGCGGTCGCACTTAGGAGCGAAGCGGAGGGCAGCGGAGGCGAAGCCGGGCTGTGCCCAAGCTTGACGATGTCTGGGGGGCTGGAGATCATGGAAGCGCAGCGGCTGTGGGAGCCGGACTCCAAGCGCAACACCAGCATGGACCGGTTCAGGGCGGCGGTCACCGCGGCTTACGGCATCCGCCTGGGTGAGTCCCTGGCGGGGAAGCCGGGCGGGAAAGCCACGCGCCGTCCATTTGCGGGGTCCCCTTTCCCGTTGCACCCCAGTTCCCTCCCAGGAGGCAGAACCGCCTCCCCTCTTGGGGTTCCCTCCCCCCCACACACAACGGCCCTGCAAGGTAGGCTGCGCGGGGCGCCCCGCCTTTGCAATGGGCAAAGATGCGCTGCCTGGGTCGGCAACCGGGCGCCCTTCGCAGGTTGGAGGCCCGCCGTCCTTCTGCTGGGCTGATGGGGACGGGGGCTTGTTGGGTGTGGGGTCCCTGGCTTTGCAGCGGAGGGAAAGATGGATTGCCCTAAGAGGGTGATGATTTGATCCTTGTTTTTTGGATGCGTTTTGGAGGTAGGCAGCCGTGATGAGTGGAGCCTCCAGAGGACAAAGGAGTCTACCTTGCAGCAGCAGACGCTGGCGGGGAAGTGCAGCTTCGTCCAAGGGGGCTTCTGTTGTGCTAACCTGCTTGGCACCGGGCGTGGGGTCTAGCTTGTGAATGAACCCTCTGCTGTCCCAGCAGTTGGAGCGGGTCCAAATTCCTCCCCCCCCCCCACATTTCATCTCCCTCCTCTAACATGTCCAACAGAACCTCTAAATTTACCTGTCGGGCATGTTTGCATGTGCCCAGCCAGTCTGCATCCCACCCACATATTTTATCCTTCCCGAGGCCCGTAGCTTCTCACGACAACGGCTGATGCAAGATCCGAGCCTTTGTGCAATCACAGGAGCAGTCGGGGAACACACCAGACCCATCCTGACGTGATTTGCAAGCCGGGAGGGTTACCTGGGTGAGGGTCTTCAGGTGTGCTTGCCAGCAGAGAGGGTCCCTTAAGACTTTATAACTCCCAACGAAGGAGAATATTGGTAGCTCGGGGTTGAAATGAGGTGGGGGTCCCTGGCGCTCTCTGAACTTGTCTTGCAGATGTTTCATTACACAAAGCAGGTAACGGCATCAGTGATGATAAGCTAGTAAACTTGCTAGCACTGATGGTGTTACCTTAGCTGGGTAATGAAATGTCTGCAAGAAAACAAGCAAGCTCAGAGAAACCTAGGACCCCCATAGTCCTTCCTTCGTCCCCTCCCCTCCATACATTCCACTCCCTTCTACCACTGATGATGTTCCCTAGTTGGGTAATGAAACGTCTGCAAGAAAACCAGCAAGCTCAGAGAGCATCAAGGACCCCATAGTCCAGCCTTCCTTCCTTCCTTCCTTCCTTCCTTCCTTCCTTCCTTCCTTCCTTCCTTCCTTCCTTCCTTCCTCCCTCCCTCCCTCTCTCCCTTCCTCCCTCCCTCCCTCCCTCCCTCCATAAATTCTTCTCCCTTCTACCACTGATGATGTTCCCTAGTTGGGTAATGAAATGTCTGCTAGAAAACCAGCAAGCTCAGAGACCACCAAGGACCCCATAGCCGATCAGTCCTTCCTTCCTCCCTCCCTCCCTCCCTTCCTTCCTTCCTTCCTTCCTTCCTTCCTTCCTTCCTTCCTCCCTCCCTCCCTCCCTCCCCTCCATAAATTCCACTTCCTTCTAGCACTGATGATGTTATCTAGTTTGAGTAATGAAACGTCTGCAAGAAAACCAGCAAGCTCAGAGAGTACCTAGAACCCCATAGTCCTCCCTTCCCTCTCCTCCCCTCCCTCAATTCCACTCCCTTCTAGCACTGATGATGTCACCTAGTTAGGTAATAAAACGTCTGCAAGAAAACAAGCAAGCCCAGAGAGCACCCAGGACCCCTCGCTTTATAACTTGTAAGCTGTCTAGAGTCGTCTTGTAAGGGAGACGGGATAGCGAAAAACATTCAATAAATAATAAAATAAATAAGACTTTGAGGCCTCTTACTGTTGGGTGACACAGTCTGAATACCCCAGTTTTCGCCTTGCAACCAATAGGACCCCAGAATGCAGCCATCATGTTGTATTTTAGCCCTGACCCGTGTGGATTTGTGTCATCTTCCAGAGAAAATACATTGGTTTTTTTTTTTTTTTAATTCCCAAGAATCTGGGCCTCTAGCCCTCAAGGTTTGTACAAATCAGCATTTTCAATTGGGCTTGGCGGTGTCTTTCCGCAATGTAGTTTGGATCAACTGCCCGGTTTCTGGTCCCTTCGTCTTGCCTTTTTCTCTGCAGGGTGAAATCCGTAGAAAAGAGAAGAAATCGGTGTGTGATTGCAGTTGTGTGTGTTCCCCAAAGAGAGCAGGGTTGTCTGTTTTATGTGTGCCAAGGCCTGGTGTTTTTCTTTATTAGGAACCGAGCCAGTATGCTGTAAAAGGAACATTTTACAGGATTTCTTGTTTCTTACAATTTTAGGCCGCTGAGTTTTTTCTATTGAGCAAAAATAGAACACCTGCACAGGTTTACGTACTACAGTTCCCATGTGGAGAGGCACTAGGGACTTGCAGCTTGGTCTTCTGGTCATTTGGGACACTACAGATCCCCCCATTTGTGGCCTAAAGTGTCAGCGGGGTGTGATACACAACAGCACCTTGCCATGCTGCATGGATTTAATTTGGGCTTTCTGTTTATCCATAGAAGAATAACTGGGCAAATGTTTTCTCTTTATTCTTGATGTGAAAAAATAAATGCAAAATGTCTTAGATGGGGGAAGGACAATTAAGGAAGGCCTCTGTGCTGTGTGTGTGTGCAATTTTAAAAGAGATTGTGTTAGCTTTAAAAAATAAAATGTGCCAAAGCATCTCCTTTTCGCATTTTTTTTCCCTCGGCTATTGCTCGAGTTTACAAGTGTGATTGTGAGTGTAGGTTTTTGAAATAAAGGGAGATAGGCTGGAAAATAAAATCTAGTTTAATTAGACAACATCCCTGCGTTTAGCTTCAAAGCAACTTCTTTTTGCGGGCTTCTGTTCTTTAAGTAAACAACATGGCTAATCACTGGATCTGGAAAAGTAAATACGGATTTGGCAAAACCTGATTATACAGGTAGTTCTCAACTGACAGCTTTCATTTAGGGATCGTGTGAAATTACAACAGCATTAACAAAAAAAAAAAAAGTGACTTGTGAGCTTTTTCACACAACTTTTGCAAGCATTCCCGGGGGATCACATGATAACAATTCAGATGCTTGGCGTGTTTATGACTTATATTTATGATGGTTGAAGTGTCCAGGGATCCTGTGATCGCTTTTTGCAACCTGACAAGCAAAATCGATGAGAAAGCCAGATTTACTTAACTGTGTTGCTGACTTAATAACTGTAGTGATTGACTTAACAACTGTGTGTGTGGGGGGAACTCACATAGCCACTGCCTTATGTCGGGCTCAGCTGTCGTAAGTCGAGAATTACCTGTACAACTTTAGGGGGAGAGGAATAGAATTGGGGTGTCTTGCGCTATCCTCAGCATTGTGCGATAATTAGAGCTTCATTTTTTTTAAAATAATCCCCTCCCTCCTTTTTTTCCCACTTGCCAGTTATGCATCTCTTTCTTGTTATTCCTCCAGGGCAATAAAAGGAGAGCAAATAACCAGAAGCAATCTTTGTTTGCTCTAGTAATTTCAGAGACCCGGGTTTGTTTGCCTGGGGGGGGCCCATCAGAAGCCAAGATGGAGAGACATCAACTGACCCATTAAATCAGGAAGAGAGAAATAGCACCAAGGTTTTTTTTGGGGGGGGGGGCTTCCTTCCTTTGAAGCATTAGCCGAACCCCAGAAATTTTATTTCATCTTATTTTATGAGCTTTGCATTAAAGGGGCTCGTGAAGCTGTTTGTTGCAGACAAAGCAAATAAGGCAACCAATAATTTTATTTTTTTTTCCAGGCCGGACAGGTGGCTCTTTTTTTTTTTTTTTTGAAACTGATGCTGCGCAGAAGCAAAATGAGAGTAAAAACTTGTAAAAGGGTTTGATTTGAACAGCTTTATTTGCTTTGCTCAAGAAAAAGGAGTAAAGATGGCAGAGTCCTAAACTGAGATGTTGAAAGGATTCTGACGGTTTCGGCAACTGACTGACTGGTCTTTTCTAGGGAAAAAACATTATGGAGAAGTTTTAATAACGGCAGTTCTTGTTTTTGCTTCCAGCCAACTACAGCGAGTTGTATCAGTGGTCGGTACAGCATTATTCGGATTTTTGGGCAGAGTTTTGGAAATTCAGCGGGATCGCCTATTCTCGGCTTTATGATGAGGTAAGCTGACAGAGAGAGTGTTGGAAGGGACCTTGGAGGTCTTCTAGTCCAACCCCCTGCTCAGGCAGGAAACCCTCTACCATTTCAGACAAATGGTTGTCCAATCTCTTCTTCAAACTTCCAGGGTTGGAGCATTCGCAGCTTCTGGAGGCAGGTCGTTCCACTGATTAATTATTCTCACTGTTAGGAAGTTTCTCCTACCGGGACAATTAAGCAGTGGAACAGCTTGAAATTTCCCCTTAGTTCCAGGTTGCTTCTCTCCTTGGTTAGTTTCCATCCGTTGCTTCTTGTCCTGCCTTCAGGCGCTTTGGAGAACAGGTTGAATCAGAATCAGATTAGAGCTGGAAGGGACCTTGGAGGTCTTCTAGTCCAACCCCCTGCTCAGGCAGGAAACCCTATACCATTTCAGGCAAGTGACTGTCCAGGCTCTTCTTAAAACCCTCCAGCGATGAAGCACCCACAACGTCTGAAGGCAACTTCTGTTCCTCTGGTTGATTGTCAGGAGGTTTCTCCTAACGGTGAGGACAATTAACCAATGGAACAGCTTGATTGCTTCTTCTTTGTGGCAACCCCTTAGACAAAGGATAGGTAACCTTGGCTCTTTTATGACTTGTGGACTTCAACTCCCAGAATTCCTGAGCCAGCATGGGGGACCTAGGGCCCCCTCATGACTCCCAGAATTCCTCAGGCAGCCATGCTGAGGGGACAGGGAGAGGTTTCCAAGCTGAGCCATGCTGGCTCAGGGATTCTGGGAGTTGAAGTCCACGAGTCATAAAGAGGCCTAGGCCTAGGCCAGAGGTAGGCAACCTTGGCTCTTTTATGACTCGTGGACTTCAACTCCCAGAATTCCTGAGCCAGCCATGCTGAGGGGAAAGGGAGAGGTTGCCATGCTGAGCCATGCTGGCTTAGGAATTCTGGGAGTTGAAGTCCACCAGTCATGAAGGGATCAAAGTTTTCCCCATGCTGGCTCAGGAATTCTGAGAGTTGAAGTCCACAAGTCACAAAAGAGCCAAGGTTGCCTACCCCTGCCTTAGCTATTGGGACACAGCTGTTTTCGATGGACTGATTATCCAGGTTAATTGGGGACTGAGTCACGCAGAAGATGCTGGATGTCGCCGTCCACCTCATTATCAGTGGTCTTCTCCAGCTTCGGTGAGCAGAGGTCGACGGGGTCGTTCCCATCATCGGGCAAGTCAATAATCTCCATTTTCCTGGCCTTTTCAACCATTTTTCCATTGGGGGAAGTTCTGTCATTCTCCAACAAGGTGTCAATTTTCCTTTCTTTTTTTTAAATTTTATTCAAATACAAATAATGCAAACATAATACATATAAGTCTAAATAAAAAACAGCATGCAAAATACAAATATTACAGTGCACCCCCCCGAGACCATTTTTGTTACCTTTACCTATAACAACTAACAATATACAATATATTTCAATTGTGCCCTTATTCCCTCCAAAACAGCATATATATTCTTGAGTAGGTTTATTCCCTTTGTCTTCCATCAAGACTGTTTTTATAAAATCCTCCCCTATTTCATTATAATTATTTACTTTAATCATCCCTTTTTTAAATTTAATTTCTGTTATTAATTTATCATTTATTGCCATATTCCATATTTCATTATACCACCCATTTCTTTGAATAACCCAGTTCCATCTCCAATATTTAACCATCCCTAATCTAGCTGCCATTATCAAATTTACAATCAGTTCCATTTTTTTTTTTGCTTCATTTATATCTTGTTTTTCCAGCGGTAACAGTAATGCAATCCTCGGTGACTTATCTAAATTTACTTTCAAAGGTTCTCTAATTTCCCTAAACACCACGTCCCATATCTTTTGTACGCTATCACAATCCCACCACATATGTTTATATGTTCCACAAGACATCAAATTTCGAAGCACGCTTTTGCTGGTGTGACAATTACTGCTCCTCAGCTGCCAATGCAGACTTCAAAGACCAAGAAGCCGGACCATGAGAATCAAGGACGGTGCAACAGGCGTCTGCCCAGACCCAGAGACACTTTCTCATAACAATATTTTTCCACCTAATTGGGCAACATGACCTGATCAGGAGGGAGAATTCTAGGCTTTTACTACAGGGATTTGGGAGGGGTCTTGCCAAAGCTGGTGTTGCTTTCACATGTGCCGAAATGATGTATTCAATAAAGTTTTACATTAAGGGATTGGGTGTTTGCTTGGTTGGGTTTGTTAATCGGAACCTTGACAAAAGGTCTTTACAAAGTTGACTTTGAGTCAAGCTCTGCTGACATTGGTGGGATGAAAGTTGTGTTTTCGGCCCTGGGTGGGAGTGTTGGATTGGCGTGGCCTTCGGCCAGAAGGTCTTCAGATTTCCAATCTGGTCTGGGGGGGGAGGGATTTTCCTAAAAGTCTCCCACTCATACATGAACAGGGTGGATCTTAATTGGCTTTTTTCCAGCTCAGCTAAAATTGGAAAGCTCTCTACAAATAGCCCCCCAATTTACGGCCACAGTAAAAACTGGAAAAATTCATTGTTAAGTGGTGTGGGGGTTACATGACACATCACGTGACCCTGCTGGATTTTATGACCTTTTTTTTGCCCTGGTCATTAAAATGAAGCCCCATGGTTGTTAAGTGAGGCATCACATATCTGCAATTTGCAACCTTCCCCACTGATTTTGCGTGCCAGAAGCCAGCTGGGGAGGCCACAAAGGGCAGTTACAGGACACTGTGGCCGTCGTAAATGTGTGACAATTGTCAAATTTTATCATGTGACTGGGGAAATGCTGCAAGCTACTTTTTTTTACTGCTGTCATAACTTCAAACAGTCGCTAAACAAACTGTCGTTCATTGGGGATTATCTGTAGTCTTCTTAGCAGAAGGCAGCTAATGCCTTCTTCCAAAGCACCTTTTTTTTTTCAATGTGCCCATCCGGTTGGATTTCCTGGTGGTGCCCCATCCCGGTAGTAACCCAGTCTGATCCTGTTTTTTCCCCAGGGGGGGGAAAATGCACCCTTCTAGCTGAGCGTAATGGAGCCCCCCCCCAAGATGGCGAGAAGGGGCAGAGAAAGACCCTCCTAATATTGATCCTTTGTGCCCTTACATCAGGGGTCACCCGGTGGGAAAAGGAGGGACACGCACCTTTATGCGCGCATGCACACATACACAAATGGGGCTGCGTGTGCGCGAATGGAGCCGTGAGCACACACGCTCTGCAAATGGGGCTGCTAGCGCTGGCGAGGCTCACGCCTCAAGTAGTGCCGGTGCTCGTTTAGCACCAGCGCAAGGGCAAGGGGTGACCACGTGCATGAACGCCACTGAACGTGGCCTGCTGGCCAAGAGGCCACGGTGCATAGGTTGGGGACCTCTGCCTTACCTGACTGCAAAGTCTTCTGTTAAGGATGCTTGATGTGTCTCCACCAGGTGATTGATCCCTCCAAGGGCATCACAGATGTTCCTGAATGGTTTAAAGGCAGCCGTCTAAACTACGCCGAAAACCTCCTGAAGCATGAAGAGAACGACAAAATCGCCCTCTATGCCGCACGTAAGTCCCCCGTGTGAATCTTCGTGATCACTGGATCCACGACTGTTCAGATCTCTCTCTCTCTCTCTCTCTCTCTCTCTTTCTCTTTTTCTCCTCTTCATCTTCATTATCATCTTAGTGGGAATAATTTCCCAGCGTTATCTTTTAGGGTCCCCGCCCACTCTGGTTTACAGGGCGGGATTTCCATGTGGTCTCCCATCCCTGCCTCTTTTTTTTTTTTTTAAACCTTTCTTTAGCATTCCTCCACCCAATCCAGTGGCTCTTTTATTAGAGGTTGCAGGAATACTTCATGTCTCCCAAAAACCTCTCGACGTTGTGGGTGCTGGAGTTGTGTGTGTATGTGTGTGTGTGTGTGTGTCTTTTTTCTGGTTTTTTTTTCCTAGATTCCGTCTCTGCTCTTTCCCTTGGCAGATGGAGTTGCAGAAGGCAACTTCTTCCCTACATCCATAATTGCCCTAAACCTTCGCAAGTACCACTGCAGACATACTGCACTGTTTGTGCATCTTACATTCATTTCTTTTGCACACCTGGATTTTCTCCAAGCTGCTAAAAAACCCCTTTTAAGTCCCGGCGAGACCCCCCCCTCTGCCTCGCCTCCTTCAGCCGAATATTTTTTGCAAATTGTGTTGACTTAGCAATGATGCGCAAGAACAATCGGGAACATAGCCTGTGCTTGCCCTAGTAATTTATTTCTGGAACCTGGGTGGTGGGTGGAGGGTGGGGAAACACCCTGGATTAAATTTGAAGATTTGGGACTCTCTTTCTCACAAGGAGCACTTGGGTTGTGTGTGTGTAGGAGAGAAACAATGGTTTTGGGATGCCTGTGTAGAAGATTATGGGTTTGTGCATCCAGCAGCTAGTTGGCTGGACCGCATCTCTGCCTTTTGAGCTTGCTAATTCAGTGGTTCTCAACCTGTGGGTCGGGACCCCATTTGGGGTCAAATGACCATTTCACAGGGGTTGCCAAACAATGCAGTCCGCCATTTTTTTTCCCCTTTTCCTTAGCTGTGCTACTTTTATTCTATTGGCTTTTGAAAGCCCATAGAAGAGACTCTCTTGAATAGAGTCTAATTCTGTTGGCTTTCAAAAGCCAATAGGAATTGTCCAGGCTGTCTCTGCCCTGCTGAGCCCGCCAAAAGTCCCATTCTGCAAACGGTGCTGCACCAGTTGAGTAGTCCTCGACTTACGACCGGTTCGGGGTCGCGGTATTAAAAAGGTTGAGAACCACTGTGCTAATTTCTTCGAAGGTTAATACATTATTTGTTTTTGACTTCCTGCTGCAAACCTGCAACCGGATCTGATCTTGTTCCCTTAGGGGAAGGGAAGGAAGAGATAGAAAAAGTGACCTTTGATGACTTGAGGCACCAGGTGGCTTTCTACGCTGCGGCCATGAGGAAGCTGGGAGTGCAGCCCGGAGACAGGGTGGTGGGTGAGTCCAGTTTTTCTCCTTCCAGCAATTCTTCTTTCAACCAGGATATGCAGACCTCAACTCTTAACCGCCTTAAGAAACTCTGCAGAAAGGAATGCACGGAATAGGTCAGTGATGGCGAACCTTTTAGAGACCGAGTGCCCAAACTGCCACCCCAAAACCCACTTATTTATCGGCCATTTAATCTGAATACTGAGGTTTTAGTTTAGCAAAAACAACTCGCACATTGTCTTAAAAGAAAAACACAGTGACAAAGCTTTCAATGATACAAACAACGTTTTACTGAAAGGTGAACGTTTGCATTTGCCATGCTTTTGAACAATTAATGTGATTTTTGCTGTTGTATACAGGCTGATCATTTGTCTAACCTTGGCTTATACTTTGTAAATTTGAAAGCAACACAGGCAGCACTCAGGTCATCTGTTAAGTCTGTTTCTGGTGTCAGATTTGATATAATTCAAAGCTGGAAACAGCGTGCTCACTCCGGAGGTTTGTTTTGGCTAGGAAGGGGCTTTTTCCTGCAAAAACGTAGCCAAAGAACGAGGCGTGCGTGCCCGCGGAGAGGGCTCCGAGTGCCCCCTCTGGCACGCATGCCATAGGTTTGCCACCACTGGAATAGGTTCAGGAAAGAACAGGTTGGGTGATTTTTAGCCAAGCGTTGCCGAGATGGGACACCAAAAAATTGACAGGTTATTGAAAACAAAAAAAAACAACAAAAACCTAATAAATAACAGGTGAAAAACAGGGGTCTCGTTTAACCAAGTGGAATCCCCTTGAAGTATGGGAGACTTTGCTGAGTGTGTTTGTGTGTGTGTGTGTGTGGGGGGCTTATGTTTATGTTTCCACACATTTGTAACTTCTAAAAGGGTCTTGGGAATCTGTGTTTGGGCTGGAGGTGGAGCTGAGGGCTTCTGATGTCCAGAATGGAAGAAGAAAAGGAAGGAAATTAGAAGATAATCTTAGCTCAGGGTTGAACTGTGGGGTCCTCAGTGGTCTCTGAGTGTGCTGGTTTTCTTGCAGACATTTCATGACCCATTTAGGTAACATCAGCAGTGATAGAAGGGAGTGGGATTTGCAAGGAGGAGGAGGACTATGGGGTCCTTGGTGCTCCTTGAGCTTCGTGGTTTTCTTGCAGTCATTTCATAGCCGAACTAGGTAACCATGCACTGATGATGTTCCCTAGATAGCTCATGAAACGTCTGCAAGAAAACAGCCAAGCTCACACAGCACCAAGGACCCCACAACCACCACCACCTCCTCCTCCTCCTCTCCACAAACTGTACTCCCTTCTAACACTGGGGATGTTTCCTAGTTGGGTCATGAAATGTCTGCAAGAAAACAGCCGAGCTCAGAGACCACCAAAGACCCCACATTCTTCTTCTTCCTCCTCCTCCTCCTCCTCCTCCTCTTCCTCCTCCTCCTCCTCCTCCTCCTACTCCTCCTCCTCCACCACCACCACAAACACCTGTCCCTTCTAGCACTGATGCCATTCACTAGTTGGATCATGAAAAGTCTTCAAGAAAACAATCAAGTTCAGAGAGCACCAAGGACCCCACAATTACCTCTTCCACCTCCTCCTCCTCCTCCCAAACTCCTCTCCCTTCTAGCACTGATGGTCACCTAGTTGGGTAATGAAATGTCTGCAGGTAAACCACCAAGCTCAGGGAGCACCAAGGACCTCATTGGAGGAAAATTACCTGCCATGTTGCTCTCCAACACCCTTTCAGGCTAGGAAGACCTAGATCTCTTGCACAAACCACAGGGCTCCATTTGACCTCTTCTGCCCTCAGGGTCAACATTGGCAGCTCATGTCTCGCTGTTGACCTGCAATTGGGTCTCTTGCTCCATCGTCCCTTGTGTTGCAATGCGGCAATTGACATTGCATCGGTTTGCATTGGGTTTTCCCCTTGGAGAAGGTCTTGAGTAACTGGAGTGTGTGTGTGTATGTATGTGTCTAGGTGAGGCCTGGAACTTGGCTCCCTATTGGGAGTTGTGTGCCAAAAAAAAGTAAATAAGTGGCAACTTAATCCATATTTCTGCCTAGTCCTCCTCCAGCCTTTGGGTTGAGATGCTTCCAAAGTTAGTGTTATGGTTCCGACAGATGAAACTCTTCAAAGGCATTGTTTACCTTAAAGAATCTTTATTGGAGTAACAAAGCTTCAGCACTAACATAGTTGAAGCCAAAATCTGGATTCCCCTCCCCTTAGCACATAGTATCAAACACAATTCCCACCTGTCATAAATCACCTTCTCCAATTAGTTTGAAATGCAGGCTTTCCCTCCTGTTCTCCAGCCCGCCATTCCTTATCTCTTATTTCAAAAGCCCTGAATTCACACACTATTACAATATTGTTCTGTCTAATTAACTCCCATCACATTCCTCCTCCTCCCCCAGTATCATCTAACTCTAAGAGTAAAGCTTAAGGACGAAAAAGGCTGCATCTCCATATGTTGTCAAAGAAAGAACATCCAATGTTAGCCGCGTTGACAATTAGGTTAGAAGTGGAGTTAGTTTTTCCACTGAATTTGGAGTGGTGTGTGTTAGAGGTGGTCCTTGCTTTAAGACCCCTCCTTTAGTGACTGCTCAAAGTTGCAACAACGCCGAAGAAAGTGAGTCACAACTACTACTCTCACAGCGGTTACAGCGTCTATGGGGTGCCCTGGTCTGAATCCGGGCACGTGGCCACTGCTTCACACTTACGACCGTTGCAGCATCCCAGGGGTCACGTGATCGCCGTTTTGTGACCTTCCCCCAAGCAAACTCAATGGCGGAAGATGGACTCATTTAATGGCCATACCATTCGCTTAACGACTGCAATGATTGGCTTGGCTACGGGGGGGGGAAGGTCACAATCTCTGATTCGACTCATTCAAGAACCACTTTGGTTAGGAATGGAAATGCTGGTCCCGATTATGGCCGTTAATTCGAGGATTACCTATAAACCAGGGATAGTCAACCTTGGCTCTTTTATGACTCGTGGACTTCAACTCCCAGAATTCCTGAGCCAGCATGGAGGAACTATGGCCCCCTCATGGCTTGTGGACTTCAACTCCCAGAATTCCTGGGCCAGCATGGCTCAGCTTGGAAACCTCTCCCTTTCCCCTCAGCATGGCTGGCTCAGGAATTCTGGGAGTTGAAGTCCACGAGTCATAAAAGAGCCAAGGTTGCCTACCTCTGGCCTAGGCCTAGGCCGCTTTATGACTCGTGGACTTCAACTCCCAGAATTCCTGAGCCGGCATGGCTCAGCTTGGAAACCTCTCCCTTTCCCCTCAGCATGGCTGGCTCAGGAATTCTGGGAGTTGAAGTCCACGAGTCATAAAAGAGCCAAGGTTGACTACCCCTGCTGTAAACCATAGCATGATCTTTCTGTCCTGGGCTGAGCAGGATTATCAAGCTCCTCGTTGTGACTTACACAACCGATCTTGGTTTTGTGGCTCCAACCAGCCAAGCCTGATCTTGGCCTAGTCAGGAGGCAAGATTCAGATTCCCATCGGGTTTCAAAATCTGCCACCGAGCCTGAAGGACCCGTTCGGGGCTGGGTGTCTGCAACCATTCCTCTCCTTTGCACCTCGATGGTGCTCCCTCGAGGGATCCAGCCCGGGTCTTGAGGGACTTAGCTGGATGCAGGATCTTCTTCCTTGTAGCCGGATGGGTGGGTGGGCTTTCAAAGAGGAGGGCGTGGGGCTTCCCCTTCCTCTCCTCAGACATGGTTTGGGATTGTGCAAGCTCTTGCTTTGGGCAATTCAACTGGGTTGTGTCACCTGTTGGGAGAGTTGGCAATTTAGACCTGGCAGGTGGGAGGCATCAGGGGCGGCTCTGGGGCAACTGATCTGATGCAACTTTGACTTTCTTGATGACTTGTTGGCCTAAGTGGGAGAATAGAATAGAAATAGAATGAAATAGAAATAGAATGAATGGAATAGGAATAGGAATAGAATAGAATAGAATAGAATAGAATAGAATAGAATAGAATAGAATAGAATAGAATAGAATAGAATGTAAAATAGAATAGAATAGAATAAAATCTTTATTGAGAATAGAATAGAATATAGAATATAGTAGAATAGAATGTAGAACATACAGTGGAATGGAATAGAATATAGAATAGAACATAGAATAGAGTAGAATAAAATAAGATAGAGTAGAATAGAATATGGAATAGGATAGAGTAGAATACAATATAGAATAGAATAGAATATAGAGTAAAATATGGAATAGAATAGAATATAGAATAGAGTAGAATAATAGAGTAGAATAGAATATAGAATAGAGTAGAATAAAAGAATAGAGTAGAATAGAATATAGAATAGAGTAAAATAGAATATAGAATAGTAGAATAGAATACAGAATAGAGTAGAACAGAATATAGAATAGGGTAGAATAGAATATAGCATATAGAGTAAAATCCAATAAAAACTTTATTGTCACTTTAAATGTACACTAATCAGCATACATTTAAAATGAAATTTCATTACATTCAGCTCTCAAAAAAATACCATTATGCATATGCCCCCATACACACACACACACACACACACACACACGACACACACACACGACACAAAGAAACATCACAGTCTAGTTCGAATGTATACTTATACCTGCCAAAAGAAAAAAAAGAAATCCTGCGAATTTACAAGAGGGCTACATAAGGACCAAAACTGTTACAGAATCTAGTAGTTCTGCTCTAACGATCCATCCTTCATCCATTCCTCTTCCAGGTTACCTGCCCAACAGCATCCACGTGGTGGAGGCCATGCTAGCCGCTGCCAGCATCGGGGCCATCTGGAGCGCGACGTCGCCGGATTTTGGCATCAATGTGAGTGGCTCCCCTCCCTCTCAAACCCTCCTCCTGCATTTGCACTTTCCGTTGGCGCAAAGCAATGCCAGTAGTCCTCGGCTTACGGCCATTCATTTAACAACCGAAGTTTACAATGATGCTGAAACCTTATCTAACAAAATGAAATTCACGGCAGAGAAAAGTAAAGTTTCGCACTTAGGCAAGAAAAAAACCAAAAGTGCACATATAGACTGGTTGAAAGCAGGCTTAGTAGCAGCAACTGTGAGAGGGATCTTGTGAGTGTTAGTGGACAGTCAATTAAATATGAGCCAATATTGTGCAATGGCAGCCAAGAAAGGCAACACAATCCTAAGTTACATTAACAGAGGGATTCAATCAAGATCGTGTGAGGTACTGATAACACGCTATAAAGCCTTAGTATAGTGGTGGTGAACCTGGCTTGTCTGAGTAAATTAAATCTCCATCTCTGGATGCAAGAAGGAATTACATCCAAGGAATCAAAGGTACAAGTACAGGTTGGGTGAGACCTGGCTTAAAAACAGCAACGCTGAGAGGGACCTTGGAGTCCTAGTGGATGATAGTTGACCATGATCCAGCCATGTGCAGCAGCAGCCAAAAAGGCTAATACAATCCTGGGTTGCATAAACAGAGGCATAGAATCAAGATCATGCAAGGTATTAGTACCACTTTATAAAACCCTAGAGAGACCACACCTGGAATACAATTTTGGTCACCATATCAGAAGAAAGATGTTGAGACGTTGGAAAAAAATCAGAGAAGAGCAACTAAGTTGATCCAAGGCCTGGAGACTAAAATATACAAAGAACGGCTGCGGGACTTGGGTTTGGCTAGTCTAAAGAAAAGAAGAAATGGGTGACATGACAGCAGTGTTCCATTATCTGAGGGACTGCCACAAGGCAGGTCAGGTTGTTCACCAAAGCACCAGAAGGCAGGACAAGAAACAATGGCTGGAAACTGACCAAAGAGAGAAGCAACCTGGAATTAAGGAGAAACTTCCTATCAGTGAGGACAATTAACCAGTGGAACAGGAATCGTGAGCGCTCCATCACTGGAGATTTTAAAGAAGAGACTAGACAGTCACTTGTCTGAGATGGTGTAGGTTCTCCTGCTCGAGCGGGGGCTGGACTAGAAGACCTCCAAGGTCCCTTCCAGCTCTATTCTATTTTATTTATCTAATCAATCTGAAGGCTGCCTTCAGATGTTGGTGCTTCTTCACTGGAGGCTTTCAAGAAGAGACTGGTTTGCCATCTGTCAGAAATGGTGTAGGGTCTTGTGCTTGGGCAGGAGGGGTTGGACTAGATGACCTACAAGGTCCCTTCCAACTCTGTTATTCTATTCTATTCTATTCTATTCTATTCTATTCCTTTATTCTATTCTATTCTATTCTATTCTACTCTACTCTACTCTACTCTACTCTACTCTACTCTATTCTATTCTATTCTATTCTATTCTATTCCTTTCTCTATTCTATTCTATTCTATTCTATTCTACTCTACTCTCTATTCTATTCTATTCTATTCTATTCTATTCTATTCTATTCTATCTACTCTACTCTACTCTACTCTACTCTACTATACTCTACTCTACTCTATTTTCTATATTCTATCCATTACATATTCTATTCTATTCTATTCTATTCTATTCTATTCTATTCTATTCTATTCTATTCTATTCTATTCTATTCCTTTCTCTATTCTATTCTATTCTATTCTATTCTATTCTACTCTACTCTACTCTACTTTATTCTATTCTATTCTATTCTATTCTATTCTATTCTATTCTATTCTATTCTATTCCTTTCTCTATTCTATTCTATTCCTTTCTCTATTCTATTCTATTCTATTCTATTCTATTCTATTCTATTCTATTCTATTCTATTCTACTCTACTCTACTCTACTCTATTCTATTCTATTCTATTCAAGCTTTACTTCAAGCTCGATTCTATTCTAGTAAATTGCCTTTGTCTTGGACCTCTGAGAGATCTCTTCTGCACGGAAGGGGTTGGCTAGAGATGTTATGGTCCACCTGGAGCTAGGACAACCTGGAGAAAATTGATTCTGCACAGAATCATTTGCTGAGATGGCAAAGGCTCTTAAAAAAAAACCCAATAAACATAGGTAGTCTTCAACTTAATGACCACAACGGCCCCCCCCCCGGGTTTTGTCGCGAAGGGAGACATTTGTTTTAAGCGAGTTTTGCCTCATTTTACGACCTTTCTTGCCACCGTTGTGAAATGAGTCATTGCAGCTGAGGACTTGGTAACCCGGTTGCTAAGTGAATCACGGCTTCCCAGCCGAGTTTGCTGGCCGGAAGTTGATCACATGACCTGGGGACACAGCAGCGGTCGTAAGTACGAACCAGTTGCCATGCAGCTGGGGAGGCTAGAAAGGTCGTAAGCGTGAACCATGGTCGTCAGTTGCTTTTTTTCAGTGCTGTTGTCATTTCGGTCGCTAAATGAATAAGTTGAGGACCGCCTGTAACTAAAAGCCAACCTTTCCATCCACATTGGTTGAAGTCTCTGCTAAGGTCTGCTTCCCTCTCACCGTCTGCCCACAGGGCGTCCTGGACCGGTTCTCCCAAATTCAGCCCAAGTTAATCTTCTCCGTTGAAGCCGTCGTCTACAACGGGAAACGGCACAATCACCTGGACAAGCTGCAGAGGGTGGTCAAAGGTGAGTCAGTGGCTGTTTCATGCTTGAAAAGGGCTCCTCGCCCTCCTGTCGGAAGGCGACGTAAGAAATGCGCCATAAAGAGCTGTGGTGGTGCAGTGGATGGAAGGCAGTCCTGCAGGCTAATGTTGCTGACTGCCGGTTGCCGGCAGTTCGATCCTAACTGGCTCAGCCTTCCGTCCTTCCGAGGTCGGTCAAATGAGGACCCAGGTTGTTGGGGGCAAGAGGCTGACTCTGTAAATTGCTTAGAGAGGGTTGGAAAGCACTGTGAAGCGGTATATAAGTCTAAGGGCTATTGCTAGTGCGATTGTTCCTTCCTCCTTCCCTCCCTCCCTCCCTCCCTCCCTCCCTTTTCTTCCCTCCTTTCTCTTCCCTCCCCTTCTCTTCTCTTCTCTCCCTCCCTTTTCCTTCCTTCCTTCCTTCCTTCCTTCCTTCCTTCCTTCCTTCCTTCCTTCCTTCCTTCCTTCCTTCCTTCCTTCCTTCCCCTACCTTTCTACCCCCTCTTCCTTGCTCCCTCCCATCCCTTCCTTCCTTTCTTCCTTATGTCCCTCCCTCCCATCTCTTTCCCTTTCCTTCCTTCCTCTCTCCCTCCCTCCCTCCCTTTTCTTCCCTTCTTCCTCCCCCTTTCTCTTCTCTTCTCTTCTCTCCCTCCCTTTTCCTTCCTTCCTTCCTTCCTACCCCCTCTCTCTTCCTTGCTCCCTCCCATCCCTTCCTTCCTTTCTTCCTTATGTCCCTCCCTCCCATCTCTTTCCCTTTCCTTCCTTCCTCTCTCCCTCCCTCCCTCCCTCCCTTTTCTTCCCTTCTTCCTCCCCCTTTCTCTTCTCTTCTCTTCTCTTCTCTTCTCTCCCTCCCTTTTCCTTCCTTCCTTCCTTCCTTCCTTCCTACCCCCTCTCTCTTCCTTGCTCCCTCCCATCCCTTCCTTCCTTTCTTCCTTATGTCCCTCCCTCCCTTTCTCTCCCCTCCTTCCCTCCCATCTCTTTCCCCTTCCTTCCTTCCTTCCTTCCTTCCTTCCTTCCTTCCTTCCTTCCTTCCTTCCTTCCTTCCTTCCTTCCTTCCTTCCTTCCATACATCCATCCATGGTGCACAGTGGTTAGAATGCAGCATTGCAGGCTAATTCTGCCCACTGCCAGCCGTTCGATCCTGACCAAGCCAGGGTTGACTCAACTTTCCACCCTTCCGAGGTCGATAAAATGAGGACCCAGATTGTTGGGGGCAACAGGCCGACTCTGTGAACCGCTTAGAGCGGGCTGTGAAGCACTGTGAAGCGGCATACAAGTCTAAGGGCTGTTGCTCTTTGGTCATCTTTGCGTTTCTGACCCTTTTTTTTTTTTCTTTTAGGCCTTCCGGATCTGAAAAAAGTGGTTGTGATCCCCTACGTCTCTTCAAGAGAATCCATAGATATTTCCAGAATCCCAAACAGGTATGAAGCTTCGAAGGATGTGATGGGAATTGGCTGAGATGCCTTCAGATTTGCAAGACTCTCTTCCTGTGACCTTATCACAAAAGTACAGGTAGCCCTTGACTTACCACCACAATTGGGACCGGTATCTCCCTTGGCGGTTGTTAAGTGGATCGCCCCCAATTTTAAGACTGTTTTTTTTAACCAGGGTCGTTAAGCGAATCTGGCTCCCCCCGTTGGCTTTCCTCCTTGTTGGAAGCTGGCAGGGAAGGTCCCAAATGGAGATCACGTGACCCCAGGACATCCGCCGTAAATACAGGCGCCCAAATTTTGATCCCGCGGCCACCGAGATGTTGTGACGGTTGTAAGGGTGAGGACCGGTCTGAAAGCTGCTTGCCGTTGTAATTTTGAAACGGTCACTAAATGAGCGGACAGGCAGTCCTCAACATAAAACAGTTCCTTTATCGCAGTGGTTCTCAACCTTTTTAATGCCGCGACCCCCAACCGGTCGTAAGTCGAGGACTACTCAACCGGTCGTAAGTCGAGGACTACTCAACTGGTGCAGCACCGTTTGCAGAATGGGACTTTTGGCGGGCTCAGCAGGGCAGAGACAGCCTGGACAATTCCTATTGGCTTTTGAAAGCCAAAAGAATTAGACTCTATTCAAGAGAGCCTGTTCTATTGGCTTTCCAAAGCCAACAGAATAAAAGGGAGGAGCACAGCTAAGGAAAAGGGGGAAAAAATGGCGGACTGCGTTGTTTGGCGACCCCCGTGAAATGGTCATTCGACCCCAAATGGGGTCCCGACCCACAGGTTGAGAACCACTGCTTTAGTGAGTTTTTGAAGTTACAACGACACTAGAAAAAAGGGATTAATAACCGTTTTTCACACCTCCATTGTAGCATCTCCGTGGTCCCGTGATTTACATTCAGACACTAGGCAGCCGATTCATATTTATGACACTAGACAACCGACTCATATTTATGACGTAAAATGGGGCAAAGCTCACTTAACAAATTTCTCGCTTAGCAACATACATTTTGAGTTCAATTTTTTTTCTTTTACAAATTTTATTTATAATACACTTCAAAACAAACAAACGTTGGATTTAACGTGACATTCCAGTATATACGTTCTTATCAGATTATTCCACTTTTTACAATCAATTCTTCATCTCTACATATACATCTAAGTTTTATATACAATACTTGTTCTAAAATAACATATATTTCTATCTTAACATAGAATTGTGGTCGTAAGTGAAGGACTTACCTGTATTATTTTGGGTGTCTTTAGTTCGCGAGGTTCAGTGGTTCTCAACCTGTGGGTCGGGACCCCATTTGGGGGTGAACGACCATTTCCCGGGGGTCGCCAAACAACGCAGTCCGCCATTTTTCCCCCCCTTTTCCTTAGCTGTGCTGCTCCCTTTTATTCTATTGGCTTTTGAAAGCCAATAGAATAGACTCTCTTGAATAGAGTCTAATTCTATTGGCTTTCAAAAGCCAATAGGAATTGTCCAGGCTGTCTCTGCCCTGCTGAGCCCGCCAAAAGTCCCATTCTGCCAACGGCGCTGCACCAGTTGAGTAGTCCTCGACTTACGACCGGTTGAGTAGTCCTCGACTTACGACCGGTTGGGGGGTCGCGGCATTAAAAAGGTTGAGAATCACTGCCGAGGTTGATCCTGCTTTGCAGTGCCGATGGTTGCGTAGAAAAAAAATCCTAATAATACGGAATTCTGATTTTTTTTTTTTTTATCTTTTTCCTTCCTTTTTCACTCAGCGTCTTTTTAGAAGATTTTCTCGGAATGGGCCAGGGAGACCAGGCACCGCAGCTGGAGTTTGAGCAGCTTCCCTTCAGCCACCCGCTTTTTATCATGTACTCTTCCGGCACGACGGGAGCCCCGAAATGCATGGTGCATTCTGCAGGGGTGGGTCTCCCTTTTTAATTTATGGCGCGTCTGGCGTGGAAATGCACAGATGTGGGTCGTATGGGAGAAGACACGTGTTAGCGTGATACGCCTGTGATCAGGATACGTGCGTTCGCTTTTGTAAGATTGAAGAAATTCAAATAATTGTATGTTAAGTTTAAAATAATGTTTTAAAAAAGGTTAGTTCATGAGATGGTGAGTTCTAGTTCTGCCATAGGAATGGAAGCCAACTGGGTGACTTTGGGCCAGTTGCTGGGAGAGGTGAGTTCTAGTCCTGCCTTAGTCATGAAAGCCAGCTGGGTGACTTTGGACCAATCACCAGGAGAGGGTGAGTTCTAGTCCCGCCTTAGTGATGAAAGCCAACTTAGGTGACTTAGGAATGGAAGCCAACTGGGTGACTTTGGACCAATCACCGGGAGAGGGTGACTTCTAGTCCCGCCTTAGTCATGAAAGCCAGCTGGGTGACTTTGGACCAATCACCAGGCGACGGTGAGTTCTAGTTCCACCTTTGGCATGTAAACCAGCTGGGTGACTTTGAGCCAATCACTGGGAGACATGAATTCTAGTCCTACCTCAGCCATGAAAGCCATTTGGGTGGCTTTGGACTAATCACCAGGAGGCAGTGAGTTCTAGTTCTGTCTTAGTCAGAAAAGCCAGTTGGGTGACTTTGGGCCAATTGCCAGGTAACTGTGAGTTCTAGTCCTGCCTCAGCCATAAAAGCCGCTGGGTGGCATTGGGCCAATCACCAGTTTGTCATCGTGTGCAGGAAATAGGAGGAAGTTGTATGGGATAGGTTCGCGGCCTCAAATTATTTCTGAAAATAATGAAAATGGGATACAAATAAATAAAATAAGTGGTTTGCCCTGGATTGAAGCCTCAAATGGATCGATTTGATTTCTCTGTCCATATGTGTAAGTGAACCCTTATGTGGCCGTTGCAGGATTTGCAGTTTAATGCTCCCAAATCATTGTGAACTCTCTGGCATGCAAACAAGTTATTTGAGTGCTTGACTCCGTTTTGCTAATTCAGATTTAAATTAAACTAAAATTTCATTTTAGCTTTCTAATGCAATTTAAACTCTCTCCTCCCTATTTTTTTACATATATTTTTATCCCTATAGGGGACTTTGATTCAGCACCTGAAGGAACATATTCTTCACGGGAACATGAGCAGTAATGATGTCATCATATACTATACCACGGCAAGTGACTTTTTCTTTAATAAAGGAGAATATTCGTAGCTCGGGGTTGGCATGAGGGATCCTTGGTGCTCTCTGAGCTTGCTGGTTTTCTTGCAGACGTTTCATTACCAAATTAGGTAACATCATCAGTGCTAGAAGGGATTGAATTTAGGGAGGGAGGGAGGGAGGGAGGGAGGGAGGAAGGAAGGAAGGAAGGAAGGAAGGAAGGAAGGAAGGAAGGAAGGAAGGAAGGAAGGAAGGACTATGGGGTCCTGGGTGCTCTCTGAGCTTGCAGATTTTCTTGCAGACGTTTCATTACCAAACTAGGAAACATCATCAGTACTAGAAGGGATTGAATTTAGGGAGGGAGGGAGGAAAGGAAGGAAGAAAGGAAGGAAGGAGGAAAGGAAAGGAAAGGAAAGGAAAGGAAAGGAAAGGAAAGGAAAGGAAAGGAAGGACTATGGGGTCCTGGGTGCTCTCTGAGCTTGCTTGTTTTTTTGCAGACGTTTCATTACCCTAACTAGGTAACATCATCAGTGCTAGAAGGAAGTGGAATTTAGGGAGGGAGGGAGGAAGGAAGGAAGGAAGGAAGGAAGGAAGGAAGGAAGGAAGGAAGGAAGGAAGGAAGGAAGGACTGTGGGGTCCAGGGTGCTCTCTGAGCTTGCTGGTTTTCTTGCAAACCTTTTATTACCCAGCTAGGTAATGTCATCAGTGCTAGATGGGAGTGGGATTGCAGCTAGAGGAGGAGGGCTGTGGGGTCCTTGATGCTGTCTGAGCTTGGTGGTTTTCTTCTAGACATTTCATCACCCAACTAGGTAACATCATCAATGCTAGTACAGTGTGCTGTTTGCTGTCGGTTTATATTCTGGGGTCTTTCCTGTCTGGGTGGGAGGTGGTCTTAGGGATTCTTTGGTTGGGCTGTTTACTAATGGCTTTTGGGCAATTTCCTGATTGGGATATAATTGCTTACTTCATTGCTGGTCTGAAGGTGACCTTGGAGTTAATCTATGCTGATCTGGGTGCTTATGGCTGGTGGAGAGATGCTGTTTTTTGTTTGTTTGTTTCTTTCTTTTTTGGCCTGGTTGATTGTCTCTTTTGCATCGTCTATCGATGTTGTTACGTTGACTCTTTCCTTCCATGAAAGCAAACGTTAAGTTGTTGGAAGTCTTCTAACAGGGCATGCTTTTGAGGCGCCCGGATGCGCTGCCTTGGCGTGTTCCCCGTCTTCAAGAGAATTTGCCTCGTCCTCCGAGGAGACCCAATTAGCTTAGCCCAAGATTAAATGCAGATCAAAATCAATTACTGCATATGCTTGCGGATAAGCCCATCTGTGGATAAGCCCGCTCTTGAGATGTTTGCATGTTGTTATTTTCACAATTGGCTTAACTGCAGGTGGCAGAAGCGTCATGGTATTTGGGTTTAAAATTGTTTGTTTATCCATGGATGGTCTTACAAGTGAGTATTATACAGGCTGCAGGTAGTCCTTGGTCTATAATTCACAGTTGGGACCGGAATGTCTGACACTAAGCAAGGTGCTCCTTAAGTGAGTCGTGCCTGATTGTATGATCTTTTTTTTTTGCTACAGTCATTAAGCGAAGTCACTCAGTCATTAAGCAAATCCTGTTTCTCTCCTTGATTTTGTTGGTAGTCCTCTGGGAATAGAATAAGAATAGAATAGAATAAGGCAGTGATGGCGAACCTTTTAGAGAGCGAGTGCCCAAACTGCAACCCAAAACCCACTTATGCATCGTCAAGTGCCGGGTGGGTGTGGCCCATTGGGTGGGTGTGGCCCATTGGGTGGACGTGGCTGCGGTGGTAACGGCAGACTTGGTGGGACTAAAAAGTTCAATCAATCAATTCCAACTTTGCAAGATCTTTTTTTTTTCCCGCGAGAAGTTGAAATTGACTGATTGATTGAACTTGTTTTTTTTTTTTTTTGCACATGGCAGTGGAGGCCTAAAGCGAAAAGGTTTTATAAAACCCAGCTGAAGGCCTAGGATTGGGGTGACAGTGCGCGTGCCTACAGAGAGGGTTCGGAGTGCCGCCTCTGGTACCCGTGCCATAGGTTCGCCACCACTGGAATAAGGAATAGAGTAGAGTAGAGTAGAGTAGAGTAGAGTAGAATAGAATAGAATAGAATAGAATAGAATAGAATAGAATAGAACTGGAAGGGACTTTGGAGGTCTTCTAGTCCAGCCCCCTGCTCAAGCAGGCGATACCATCTCAGATAAGTGACTGTCCAGTCTCTTCTTAAAAACCTCCAGTGATGGAGCGCCCACACTTTCTGGAGGCAAGCTGTTCCATTGGTTAATTGTTCTCATTGTTAGGAAGTTTCTCCTTAATTCCAGGTTGTTTCTCTCTTTGATCAGTTTCCAACCATTGTTCCTTGTCCTGCCCTCTGGTGCTTTGGAGAACAATCTGGCCCCCTCTTCTTTGTGGCAGCCCCTCAAATACTGGCATACAGCTATCATGTCTCCCTTATTTCTTCTTTTCTTTAGACTAGCCCAGGGGTAGGCAACCTTGGCTCTTTTATGACTCGTGGGTTTCAACTCCCAGAATTCCTGAGCCAGCCACGCTGAGGGGAAAGGGAGAGGTTTCCAAGCTGAGCCATGCTGGCTCAGGAATTCTGGGAGTTGAAGTCCACGAGTCATAAGAGAGCCAACATTGTCTACCCTTATACTAGCCAAACCCAAGTCCCGCAGCCGTCCTTCGTATGTTTTAGTCTCCAGGCCTTGGATCATCTTAATTGCTCTTCTCTGAATTTTTTTTCAAAGTCTCAACATCTTTTTTGTAATATGGTGATCAAAATTGGTTGCAGTATTCCAGGTGTGGCCCCACTAGGGTTTTATAAAGCGGTACTTAACAGCTGTGTTGCTTAGCAGCAAAAACCTTGGGGCTCAATTGTCAAGGACTACCTGTATGATTGTCTACCCTGATCCAATTTTTTTTGACTACGTTTATAACCCCTAAAATTCTCAGATCATCCGCACGTGTGTATAAAAGCATGGGAGCTTCCCAGAGGATACTTCTGGAAGATTCAGATGGCCGGTTCTTGTGCCTGGGAGTGGGAGGGGGCCCTGCTTTGCATGGGACTTGGGAAATTACATCATGCTTAGCACACGAGTCGTAGGTTGCGCTTGGCTAACAGCACACGGGGTGTCTAGGAAATGTGCAAAAATGTGTCTTTGCAGGTCTAAAAACAGACGAAAAAGCAACAGCTTTTTCTGCATAATCTACAATCGAATGCTTGGCAGCTGACTCATATTTATGACGGTTGCCGTGTCCCAGGGTCATGTGACCATATTTATGATGGTTACTGTGTCCCAGGGTCATGTGATCATACTTATGACGGTTGCTGTGTCCCAGGGTCATGTGATCATACTTATGACGGTTGCTGTGTCCCAGGGTCATGTGATCATACTTACGATGGTTGCCTTATTCCTGGGTCATGTGACCATATTTATGATGGTTGCCATGTCCCAAGGCCATATGATTATGATGGTTACCATGTCCCCGGGTCATGTGACCATATTTATGATGGTTGCCATGTCCCAAGGCCATATGATTATGACGGCTACCGTGTCCCCGGGTCATGTGACCATATTTATGATGGTTGCCGTGTCCCAAGGCCATATGATTATGACGGTTACCGTGTCCCCGGGTCATGTGACCATATTTATGATGATTGCCGTGTCCCAAGGCCATATGATTATGACGGTTGCCGTGTCCCAGGGTCATTGGCCATGTTTATGACGGTTGCCGTGTCCCAGGATCATGCGATCCTCTTTTGTGACCTTCTGACAAGCTGATCTACATAAGCTGGAGAAAATCAATTGTTCTCTTTTCATCCTAGACCGGTTGGATGATGTGGAATTGGCTGGTGTCTGCCCTCGCCGTGGGGGCCTCGGTGGTCCTGTACGATGGCTCCCCACTGGTTCCTTCTCCCAACGTCTTGTGGGACTTGGTGGATCGAGTAGGGTATGTAAACCATCAGCCCAGACCGGCTAAGCATCTTCAGATGGACCCTGGTGTCTTTTCAGAGGTTTGGGCCTCTCAAGGTATTGATAAATGAGGTTGTTGAGAAGAAGACAAGGAAGAGCTCCCAGATAATTAGGAGAAGGTCCCATGCTCAACTGAATTTGAGGTTTTGAGAAGTACCTTGGAGAAGCAGAATCAGACTTGCTTTTTGAGGGAGGTGAACCTTCCTTGATTTGCTGCAAATTGACCAGGTTTTTTCTACATGATGGTCAAGTGCCCTGCTTTAGATCCACGGCCCGCCCCCCCGTACAAGAAGCTACAGTACTTTTTGTCAAGAGGAATTCTCCATGTAGCTTGTAGATGTTGGGAAAAAGTTAACTGGGAGCTTGGGAGGACCATCTGAAGTGGTGGGATCCCTTGCTGGGGTAAAAACCAGGGCCGTGTTTTTGTGTAAACGTTTCCCTCTGCAAATCCTTCACTTGCAGAAGAAATTAATTTCCCGAGATTGCTCGAAAAACGCATGCCTGAGATTATAAACCATAAACAAGGATTGTTCTTCTCTGGCCACAGAATTACCATCCTTGGGACTGGTGCCAAGTGGTTGGCAGTGCTGGAAGAGAAGAATCTGAAGCCACGTAAGTATTAAGTATTATATTGAGGTTTTGCAGCACACAAAACTGTGGTTTGTTCAACCATGGTTTGGCTTGGTTCACACATGGCCCATAAGCACCCAGGTAGCCACCAGGTTATGGCCAAAGTGACTGAACTGGTTCACTCTTTTCTTGTTTCTCTCATTCCATCCCATAATATTTCCAAAGAGTTGCTACCTTATCACAAGCCAGGATCTTAGCTGATTCTGAGACATATACTCAAACATGAGTACTGGCTTTGACGTGGTTTGAAGTTTGAGGTGGGTTGACTTGACTTGAGATGGTGGAATGTTGTGGTGCTGTTCCCACCATCTTGTAAGATAGTGATTGAAACACTCGTGGAACTGCTGAAGGGGTGATGGAACATTTGGAGTAAAGTGGGCACCACCTGAGCTTCTTTTGAAATGTTTTGGGCAAGAAACATCTCGTGTTCCTCCAGTCTATTGACCTGTGTTTAGAATTTCCCCATGGCTGTTGATTCTACTTCACCTGGTTAAATCTGGAGTCCATCAAATGTGTTTGACTTTTGCTTGGAAGTCCCAGATCAGCCCCATCACAACAAAGAATAGAATAGAATAGAATAGAATAGAATAGAATAATTGTATAATAGAATAGAAATAGAATAGAAATAGAATACAATAGAACAGAATAGAACAATTGTAGAATAGAATGGAATGGAACAGAACAGAATGGAATAGAATAATTGTAGAATAGAATAGAACAGACTAGAACAAAATAATTGTAGAATAGAATAGAATAATTGTAGAATAGAATAGAATAATTATAGAATAGAATAGAAATAGAATAGAATAATTGTAGAATAGAATAGAATAGAATAGAATAATTGTAGAATAGAATAGAAATAGAATAGAATAGAAATAGAAATACAATAGAACAGAATAGAACAATTGTAGAATAGAATGGAATGGAACGGAACAGAATGGAATAGAATAATTATAGAATAGAATAGAATAATTGTAGAATAGAATAGAACAGAATAGAATAAAATAATTGTAGAATAAAATAGAATAGAATAGAATAATTGTACAATAGAATAGAGTGGAACAGAATGGAGCAGAACAGAATAGAACAAGAGCTGGATGGGACCTTGGAGGTCTTCTAGTCCAGCCCCCTTCTCAAGCAGGAGAACCAATACCATCTCAGACAAGTGACTGTCCAGTCTCTTCTTAAAATGTGCTGCTCTTGAAGCCTCGCAACACTGTTGAAATGGAGGGAGGGTGGGCCAGGATTTACATCTGTGATGTCTTCTTCTCAAGGTAAAACCCACAACCTTCAGACCCTGCACACCATCTTGTCAACCGGGTCTCCCCTCAAAAGTCAAAGTTACGAGTACGTCTACCAGCACATCAAGAGCAGTGTCCTCCTGGGCTCCATTTCAGGTACCCCCCAAAAGCTGCATGCGATAGACTTGTGCAAATAACACAACCGAGAAGGACAAGGTCCTTCTTTCCAGGCCATTTAGCCTGCTTTGAATTTACCTAGATTAGCTCAGTGTCATGGTTCTGACAGACAAAGACAAATGAAGCAGAACTCCGAGGCTTGCTAATGCCTCAAAGAATGTGTTTGTTCTTACCACGCATCGGCACTTCAAAACCAAGATGGAAGAGACACATAACGATTCCCCAATGCAAAGGTAGAAAATCCCACCCCCAAGTCTACGCAAACAGCTACGTTTGTCCACACAGCTTGTTGGCGGGCTTTTCTTGGCAGGCCCAGCCTACAGACCCGGGAGCAGAGGATGACCTTGGTTGTTGCCAGAGAAAGCCCGAGAGAAAGTTTGTTTTGACTAGCCAAACACCTGCAACTTCCTGTGATGACCCAGGGCACAGCACAGAGGCGAGGCAGTCAGCTGGCAATTCAAACAGTTCTTTTATTGCTGCCAATTTTCCCCAAACGCTCCCACATTTGCTGGCAAGCCTCCAACAAAAGATCACACAAACACATTCTTTCAGCCGACTCTGGTTGAAAGTAGGTTGAACTACAGGCTGATTAGCATAAGAAAGTACTCAAGGCCATAGAGATAACAAGGAAGAAAACAATAAACTTAACGAGTCCCTTGGAATCCAAGCTTGCCTGAGCAGTTTCCAAAAGAGAGAATCTGAAATACAGTCGGAGGTCTTAAAACATTCAATCAACGTGGTCAGCTGGTCCAATAGTCCAGGTTTCCAAGCAGAAGTCACAGAACACTAGGTAAAGAACACTAGTTCCTTAATATACCCTTCAAATTTAAACTAACTTTTTAGGGGTGTGTTTGCAAGGAACATTTCCAAGGCAGCAGTCAATCATGTTCCCAGCATACCTGTGATGACCCAGGGCACAGCACCGAGGCAATGCAGTCAGCTGGCAATTCAAACCACCCTTTAATTGCTCCAAATTTTCCCCAAATGCCCCCACGTTTCTGGCAAGCCTCCAAACAAAGGAAGTCACACACACCTTCAGCCGCCTCTGGCTGCAAGTAGTTTCACATACAGTCTGATTAGGAGAGGAATTTATTCAAGGCCACAGAGATAACAAGGAATGATACATACATCATAAAATCTAAGGAGTCTGTGTGAATACACGCTTGCCTGAGCAGTCTCAGAAGGGAAGCCAAAATACAGTCCGAGATCTATAAACATCCAGGCAACGTTGTCCGCCAGTTTCGGGTTTCCAAGCAGGTCTAAGTGTTGAGCTTTCTAATCAGCTCAACGTTCTCCGCTGGACATGTCCTTAGACACAAGGTGTAGAAGCTAGCTATGACTTGTGGGCCACCTGGGATCATTTACACAGACTTTTCTAGATGCTTCCTCCACAATTTGCTTCTTGAACGTAGGAATTTTGACCCTTTTGGGGAGCTGTCCTGGCAACATTTTCTCCGTCTCTCTGATTGTAGGAGGCACCGATATAATTTCGTGTTTCATGGGTCATAACGTGACCATTCCGGTTTACAAAGGCGAGATCCAGGCGCGGAATCTGGCAATGGCAGTAGAAGCGTGGAATGAGCAAGGTAGGTCTGTTACAGCCACCTCACCTTCCTGGACATCTCCATGGTGGTTTGCTCCAAGTCAGAACAGTGAAAGTGGAACAAATTGTTAGGAACAACTAAGGATCATTACTCAAATGGGGAATTGCTCTGTCTATTTTGGTGAGAATAGAATAGAATATAGAATATAATATAGAATAGAATAGAATAGAATAGAATAGAATATAGAATAGAATAGAATATAGAACAGAATAGAATATAGAATAGAATAGAATATAGAATAGAATAGAATAGAATAGAATAGAATAGAATAGAATATAGAATAGAATATAGAATATAGAATAGAATAGAATAGAATAGAATAGAATAGAATAGAGCTGGAAGGGACCTTGGAGGTCTTCTAGTCCAGCCCCCTGCTCAAGCAGGAGAACCTATACCGTCTCAGACAGGTGAATCTCGTCTCTTCTTAAAAATCTCCAGGGATGGGGCGCCCACAATTTCTGAAGGCAAAGCTGTTCCACTGGTAAATTGTCCTCACTGTCAGGAAGTTTCTCCTTAGTTCCAGGTTGCTGCTCTCTTTGATCAGTTTCCCACCATTGTTTCTTGTCCTGCCCTCTGGTGCTTTGGACAATAAGTTGACCCCCTCTTCTTTTTGGCAGCCCCTCAAATACTGGAATACTGCTATCATGTCACCTCTGGTTCTTCTTTTCTCTAGACTAGCTAAACCCAAGTCCTGCAGCCATTCTTCATGTGTTTTAATCTCCAGGCCTTTGATCGTCTTAGTTGCTCTTCTCTGAATTTTTTCCAAAGTCTCAACATCTTTTTTGTGATAGGGTGACCAAAATTGGCTGCAGCATTCCAGGTGTGGTCTCATTAGGGTTTTATAAAGCGGTACTAATACTTTGCGTGATCTTGATTCTATGCCTCTGTTTATACAACCCAGGATTGTATTAGCTTTTTTGGCTGCTGCTGCACGCTGCTGGCTCATAGTCAAGTGGTCGTCCAATAGGACTCCAAGGTCCCTCTCACAGTTGCTGTTTTTAAGCCAGGTCTCGCCCGATCTGTATTTGGTGGTTTTGTCCACAGGAGCTGGACCTGTTTGAGGGCCATCAGCACTTCTTGACTGTTTTCTTGCAGACGTTTCGTGACCAGCTAGGTGACGTCATCAGTTCTAGAGGGGAATGGTTGTGCCAAAGGTGCTTTTTCAGTAGGCAACTGGAGTTTCTCGTTTTTTCTTGGAAGACGTTTCACTTCTCATCCAAGAAGCTTGGATGAGATGGTGGGGAATAGAAAGATTTATATTCCTTGCAGACAGCTGGTCGTTTGCCTTATAGAGAATTGTTGAGGCCATTTAGAGCAGTGGTTCTCAACCTATGGGTCGGGACCCCATTTGGGGTCGAACAACCATTTCACGGGGGTCGCCAAACAACGCAGTCCGCCATTTTTTCCCCCCTTTTCCTTAGCTGTGCTACTCCCTTTTTTTCTATTGGCTTTTGAAAGCCAATAGAATAGACTCTCTTGAATACAGTCTAATTCTATTGGCTTTCAAAAGCCAGTAGGAATTGTCCAGGCTGTCTCTGCCCTGCTGAGCCCGCCAAAAGTCCCAGTCTGCAAACGGTGCTGCACCAGTTGAGTAGTCCACGACTTACGACTGGTTGAGTAGTCCTCGACTAGGGGGTCACGGCATTAAAAAGGTTGAGAACCACTGCCTTAGGGTCACCTGAGCAGTACAAAATCAGTGAAGCAATACTTAAACTAAGGAGGGGGAGGAAATAACCCTTTTATTTGATTCTTCAACCAGGGGAGCCCGTTTGGGGAGAAAACGGTGAGCTGGTTTGCACCAAACCTATCCCTTGTCAACCCACACATTTCTGGAACGATGAAAATCGAAGCAAATACCGAAAGGCGTATTTTTCCAGGTTTCCAGGTATGTAGCAAGAGAGCCGTGCTCTTCAAGCTGAGACTGCGTGCGTGTATGTGTATGAGTATTTGCCTTTTGGCCTTCCTAGTGTTACAGTGAACTAATATTTGAGCACACCAAGTATTGCTGCGAGGACCAATATTTGCCAAGAGAATTGCCAATCTGATAGGACCGGCATCTGGATCCTTGTCTCTTGTTTGACTTTCTGATTTTGTTTCCCTCTGCCAGCAAAAGGGGAGAGGGTTTTTTTTTTTATTAAAAGTCTATAAAATTTTACAATAGAATACTCCCCCCTCCCAACCCCCCACCCTCCCTCCCCTACTTCCCAGAGCTGAATCCAGTGTTAAAAACAACAAAAAAATAGAACTTAAATGAACATCAAACAATTATACATACATCCCAAAAAACAAAATTTTAAACACTTTAACTCCAGTACATAAAAACAGAAATTACCATCCTTAAACATAAGTTATTCAAAAGCTTACCCTTAAATATAATATTTAATATTTGAGCGCACCAAGTATTGCTGCGAGGACCAATATTTGTCAAGAGAATTGCCAATCTGATAGGACCGGCATCTGGATCCTTGTCTCTTGTTTGACTTTCTGATTTTGTTTCGCTCTGCCAGCAAAAGGGGAGAGGGGTTTTTTTGTGTGTGTGTGTCATTCCTTTCTCTCTTACACTTTTCTGGCTTCGGCTGTTTTCCAGCCAGTTTTATTTTGCAATGCAAAAAAAAAGAGAGGCTGGAAGCTCCAGAGGTGGTGATGGTGTTGCCGGTTGCAAACATCTCAAAAGGCAAAGCTGGGGAAGTCTCGTGGGTTTTTCTGGCGAACTGGTCCACACAACTCTCCTCTTTTGTCTCTTCCGACACACACACAACCCGAGTGTGCACTTCTTCCAAAGGCTGCAAGACCGTGACCCGGTGGTGCTTTAAAAAAAAATGTTTTTTTGTGGCGATTTGGTTGACCACCTTGTGGTTTTGTTTCTTTTTCCTGGACAGGTGTTTGGGCCCACGGAGACTACTGCAAAATTAATCCTCAGACAGGTGGGATCATCATGCTGGGCCGCAGGTGAGTTTGTCACCAGAGGTGACCCATTGGAAAACAGAACAGAATAGGATAGCCAGAGTTGGAAGGGACCTTGTAGGTCATCTAGTCCAGCCCTCCGCCGAAGCAGGAGACCCTACACCATTTCTGACAGAAGGCAGTCCAATCTCTTCTTGAAAGCCTCCATTGAAGAAGCTCCCACAACTTCTGAAGGCAACTCCTGTTCCATCGGCTGATAGTTCTCACTGTCTGGAAATTTCTCCTTCTTTCCAGGTTGAATCTCTCCTTGATCAGTTTCCATTTGTTATTCCTTGTCTGGCCTTCAGGTGCTTTGGAAAATAGGTTGACCCCCTCATCTCTGGGGCAGCCCCTCAAATACTGGAACACTGCTAGCATGTTTCCACCTGGTCCTTCTGTTCACTGGACTAACCATGCCCAGTTCCTGTAAACGTTCTTCGTATGTTTCAGCCTCCAGTCCCTTAATCGTCTTTGTTGCTCTTCTCTGCACTTTTTCTAGAGTCTCGACATCTTTTTTACAGTGGGGAGACCAAAATTGGTGGTCTTACTGAGGCTTTATAGAGTGGTATTGATTGAATCCCTCTGTTAATGCAAATTAGGATTGCATTGGCTTTTTGGGCTGCCGCCGTACAGTATTGGCTCATGTTTAATTGATTGTCCACTAAGACAGTCTGGATAGATAAACTTCTATCTGGATCCCAGTCTGGCTGACGGTGGGTTGAAGAAAGGGTGAAAGACCAAGGACCAGTCGTAGAGCGGAGACAGGATTCCTTCTTTGCCCGCAGAAAGTTCCAGGTTCAATTCCTGGCAATTTGGGATTGAAGAAAAAAAAAAAGTCTTAAGTTGCAATTCAGGATAGTGTGGCCGGAGGAGATTGATATAGATCCTTTTCCTTCCTTCTTCCTTTCTTTCTTTCTTCCTTCCTTCCTTCCTTCCTTCCTTCCTTCCTTCCTTCCTTCCTTCCTTCCTTCCTTCCTTCCTTTCTTTCTTTCTTTCTTTTTTTCTTTTTACAAATTTTATTGATTTTCTAATATTACAGGTACATATTTGAAAAGCAACGTGGCGGTTGGGTAGTAGTAATTCAATTACATACAAATATCATTAGTACAGATTTCAAATTGCTACCATAAACATTTCCTCTTTTTTTCCCTTCATATATACTGTCTGTTTGTAGATTTAAAACATGTTTTATTCTATCAATCACATAAAAAATAACTTCCTTACATATATCGATAGTTTTTAGTTTATATATATTCTAGTTGTTTTAGCATACAATCTTTTAGACAATCAGTGACCTAATAAATTTTTCCAGTTTTAATTTCCACTAACCTTTAAATTTAACATTTAATATTTATCATTCCCAAGTTTTTTTAATATACCTCCAATTCCTCTATCTCCATTCCTCACAAGATCTAATGCTCAAAATACACACCTTATCTGTTTAAGTCTCACCCTCTATATCAACAAATTTATAATAAAATATAATATCCTTCCTTTCTGCTAGTTTTCAATTTTTTTTAAGTAGTGATCATAATTTCTTTTTATTTCAATATTTAATGCTTCCTCTCTTCCTCTTTGGGTCTGCAATCTCATGCTTAAACTAATAATTTTTGTGACTGAAACCTCTCCCTTTCCCCTCAGCATGGCTGGCTCAGGAATTCTGGGAGTTGAAGTCCACCAGTCATAAAAGAGCCAAGGTTGCCTACCCCTGCCCTATACCATTTCGGACAAATGGCTGTCCAGTCTCTTCTTAAAAACTTCCAGTGTTGGAGCATTCACCGCTTCAGGAGGCAGGTTGTTCCACTGGTTAATTGTTCTCACTGTCAGAAAGTTTCTCCTTAGTTCTAGGTTGCTTCTCTCCTTGATGAGTTTCCATCCATTGCTTCTTGTCCTGCCTTCAGGTGCTTTGGAGAATAGCTTGACTCCCTCTTCTTTGGGGCAGCCCCTGAGATATTGGAAGACTGCTATTATATCCCCCCTCGTCCTTCTCTTCATTAAACTAGACATCCCCAATTCCAGCAGCCATTCCTTATACTGTATGTTTTAGCATCCAGTCCCCTGATCATCTTTGTTGCTCTTCTCTGTACTCTTTTTAGAGTCTCAACATCCGGTGGTGACTGTGGTTTGCAATATTTTTTTTTGTGAGAATAATGGATGACCTGATTTAAAAGTTGAGGACTCCCTGTAACTATTTTGGAGAAAGCGATTAAATCTTTTCCTAAGGATTGGGGGCTTGTGGTGGGGGCACATTTAACCCGAGGGGCTTCTTGCGAAGCAAGAGGGGCGGCATCCGTGTTGCCAGTGTGTGAAACCTTGAGGATCCTTTAATGATTCTTTTCTGCTCGCCCCTTTTTTCCAGCGACGGCACGCTGAATCCGAGCGGAGTGAGGTTTGGCAGTTCGGAGATCTATAACATTGGTAAGTGGAGTTTGATTTCTGTATCTGCCAGCCCTCTGTGGTCAGGAGACAAGGGTTGTTTATGTGTTTATTTGTATATCGTGTGTGAGTAGGTGGCAGTATAAATTTTCTAAATAAATAAAATATAGAAGGACTGAGGGTGACATGAGAGCAGTATTCCAGTATTTGAGGGGCTGCCACAAATAAGCATCAGAAGGCAGGACAAGATGCAACGGATGGAAACTAATCAAGGAGAGAAGCAAACTGGAATTAAGGAGGGAGGGAGGAAGGAAGGAAGGAAGGAAAGGAAGGAAGGAAGGAAGGGCAACGGATGGAAACTAATCAAGGAGCGAAGCAAACTGGAATTGAGGAGGAACGGAAGGAAGGAAGGAAGGAAAGGAAGGAAGGAAGGGCAACGGATGGAAACTAATCAAGGAGAGAAGCAAACTGGATTTAGGGGGGGACTAAGAAAAGAAGGAAGGAAGGAAGGGCAATGGATGGAAACTAATCAAAGAGAGAAGCAAACTGGAATTAAGGAGAAACTTCCTGACAGTGAGGACAATTAACCAGTGGAACAGTTTTGCCTTCAGAAATCGTGGGCGCTCCATTACTGGAGGTTTTTAAAAAGAAGCTAGACAGTCACTTGTCTGAGATGGCGTAGGTTCTCCTGCTTGAGCGGGGGGCTGGACTAGAAGACCTCCAAGGTCCCTTCCAGCTCTATTTTGATTGATTTATTTAAGAAAATTTATAGGGCTGTCCAACTGAGTCTCAGTGACTCTCAGTGAATACAGAAATGTTACTTTCTAGAAACCAATCACCAAATCTTGCTTTCTGTTTGTCCCCAGTTATATCACACAGAATCAGGACATGGTTACAAATAGCCCTTGACGTGCATTTGCTTACTGACCGTTCAGAGTTACAGCCGCACTGAAAAACATGACTTATCCCTGTTTTTCACACTTAACGACCGTTGTAGCATCCCCACGGTCACGGGATCAAAACTGGGAAGCTTGGCCACGGGCGTGTATTTATGACGGTGGGAGTGTCCTGGGTTCAAGTGATCCCCTTCTGCGACCTTCTGGCAAGCCAAGTCCCTGGGTGAGCCAGATTCACTTAACAACCGCATTTTGCTAACTTAACAACAAGCGGCGATTCGCTTAACAACTTCGGCAAGGAAGGTCGCAAAATGGGGGCAAGGCTTTAGGATCATGATGATCACTTGATCACGAGAACTTACGCACCGCAGACAAATTCCTTGCATAGGTCCGATCAGACTTGGCCAATGAAGAATTCTCTCTTCTGTCTATCTGGCTTAGCAAGTCGTAAGTTGAGGTCTACCTGTGTCTGGGATTTGGGCTGAGATGAAGCTCTTGGCTGGGCCTCATCCTGAGGGCGCTGTGGGCACGGACTTAAAACAGACCGTATGGATGCTGCCACGGCTTTCACCGCGCTAGAGATCTGCAGCTCTCCTTGTCCCGAGTGGTGCCATTGCAACGGCTCCATCCTGCGTTTTTTTCCACAAAGCCCTCTGAACAGCTAGTCTGAGCTTTCCCCCAAGTGGTGCTGAGCTGTCCCCCAAGGAAGAGCCAGCCACACAGGACCACTGTCCTCTGTGCATCGTCCTTTCGCTGCGCACTGCAGCCATAACTCTTGGGCGGGCACAAAGAGATTGTCAGCAGGCCGGGACGGATCGTGGCCAAGTGAATCAGAGTACTGTTTGGTTTGAATTCTCCTCTCTGTGGGAGCAATTTCAAAGGCCTCCCCCCCACCCCACTCTTCTGCATTTTTTTTCTCGTCTTTTTATTTCCCTGAAGCAGCTTTTTGTCTTCTTTCTTTCCCTCCTCCTCAAAGACCCTCCTATAAGAGGGCTGGAAGAGAGAAGCAGGTTAAGCTGTACCACATTGGTTGTGCTTTCCTTGAAAATCCAGTTTCCGTGGATATCTTCATTTGGATCACAAGAGATATGATATTTTTATTACTATTAGTATTATTACCATTGATCATCGCCCAGTCAGCCAGATGTTCAGACTGGATTTGGCATTTTTGTCTACCTATCGAGTCCTTCCCAAGGACCTGGGATAGGCAGATGTGGATGTTGAGGGTGTTACAGATATCGTTGCAAGATGGAAGCTGTTGTTGTTGCTATTGTTGTTGTTGTTATTATTAATAATAATAGAGTAGAGTAGAATAGAGTAGAGTAGAATAGAATAGAATAGAATAGAATAGAATAGAATAGAATAGAATAGAATAGAATAGAATATGGGATGGGACGGGACGGGACGGGACGGAACGGAACGGAATAGAATATGGGATGTGATGGGATAGACTAGACTAGACTAGACTAGAATAGAATAGAATAGACTAGACTAGACTAGAATAGAGCAGGAAGGGACCTTGGAGGTCTTCTAGACCAGCCCTCTGCTCAAGCAGGAGGACCTATACCATTTCAGACAGATGATTGTCTAGCCTCTTCTTAAAAATCTCCAATGATGGAGCGTGCACAATTTCTGGAGGCCAGCTGTTCCACTGGTTGATTGTCCTCACTGTCAGGAAGTTTCTCCTTAATTCTAGGTTGCTATTCTCCTTGATTAGTTTCCAACCATTGTTTCTTGTCCTTTGGTGCTCTGGTGAACAACCTGATTCCCTCTGCCTTGTGGCAGCCCCTCAGATACTTGAACACTGCTATCTCGTCTCCCCTGTTTTTTCTTTTTATTATTATTATTATTATTATTATTATTATTATTATTATTATTATTATTCAATAGACATGAACCTCAGTCAACTGAACATTCAAATTGACTGGCGCTGATGGTTGACACGGGTTGCTTCCAGCATCCTAGGTATCAACCAGGTACCTCCTTAAAATATAAGATGTTCTGAGTAGTGCAGTTTTTTGTAGCATTGCTGGAGTTATTGCAGGAAGATATACCTCCAAGGTACCTTCCAACATTATTGTTGTTGTTGTTATGGCTCAGTCCTGTGACCCTTCTCCAAATATTTCAGTCTTTTTCCAAGGAAGATAATGCTTCTTTTTCCCCCCCTATCCATTCTATTTTTTACAATAGTCCTTGACTTACGACCACAATCGCAAGTGGAATTTCTACTGTAAGTCGTTGCAATCATGAATAGCGTCAGCTATATGACCAGATTCGATGTTACAACCGTTTTACCGCTGTCGTAAGTCAAGTCATGCGATCCTAGGTGTGAATTCAGCCCAACCAATGGTCTGTGTTTTTGCTGGAAATTGACAAAAAAAAAACATTGCAACTCGTGATTATGTGAGAATAGGATGTTGCCACTGGTCGTAAAAGCAAGCTGGTTGCCCAGCTCCCAAATTGCGATCACGTCAGAGTCGTAAATTAGAATTTAGGTTGTAACTGATTTTTTTTCCCCAGAGGCTGTTATTAATTCAAATTGTTGCTAATGAGTGGTTTCAAGTCAAGGATATCTTGTGAAAATCCTCTTAAGAATCGCTAAATGTCTGCGGAGGTTCTTGGTCAATCCAGGTCATGGTTTGTTCCAAAGGTGTTTTTTTCAAGAGGCTCTACCTGGATATAAATCCTTCCATTCCCCGCCATCCAGTCAGAGTTGAAGAAGCTTCTTGGATGAGAAGCGAAATGTCTGCAAAGAAAAACAAAAAAAAAGTCCAGTTGCCTCTTGAAAAAACAAAAATTCTCTTTAAGAATCCTGTCTTATATAGCTTTGTGAAGAGAGAAGAGTTGGCTTAGCATTAAGGTGCCTTTCCAATCATTGTTTTAAGATTCTTGCCCTTGTTTTTTCTTATTTTGTAAAATTTTAAAAATTTTCAATTAAAAAAAAAAGATTCTTGCCCTATTAGGGCCAAATGTTGGGTTGCTGAGCGTGTCCAATTTCTAAAATTTTGGAAAACAGCAGATTGGAGAAGATAATCCATTAGACACTCCAAGATGGATGGACTGCCTCAACTTCAGTGTTCACTGGGCACGCAATTCCCTAAATTCTGGAGAACACCTCGTTGGAGAAGACCATTCATTGCACACCCCCAGGTGGACTTTCTCAACGTCAGTGCACCACGGATGGGCTTCTCCAACACGATGAGGTCTTCAGAACACTAGGTTGAGGAACACCAGGCTAGACCATCCATTCTTGGGGTCGAAGGTTTTCAGAATTATCTGCTGGGGTTCCCGGGATTCAGATGCTTCACCCATCACCTGTTTCTCCTTCAGTGGAAGCATTCGAGGAGGTTTCCGACAGCCTCTGTGTCCCACAGTACAACAAAGACGGTGAGGAAAGAGTAGTCCTCTTCTTGAAGATGGCCACCAACCACGAGTTCAGTCCCGATCTGGTGAAGCGAATCAGGGAAGCGATTCGGGTGGCCCTTTCGGCTCGGCATGTGCCCAGTATTATTCTGGAAACGGAAGGGATTCCGGTACGTTCTTAATTTCTCCTTCCCTCCTCTAAATGAATGACGAATGAATGAATGGAAAAAAGGAAGGAAGGAAGAGAGAAAGGAAAGAAGGAAGAAAAAGAAAGAGAAGGAAGGAAGGAAAGAAAGAAAGAAGGGAGGGAGGGAGGAGGAAGGAAGGAGAGAAGCAAAAGGAAGGAGGGAAGAGAGAAAGACAGACAGACAAAGAAAGAAAGAAAAGAGAAAAAAGAGAAAGAAAGAAAGAAAGAGAGAGACAAAGAAAAGGAAAGAAAGAAAGAAAGAAAGAAAGAAAGAAAGAAAGAAAGAAAGAAAGAAAGAAAGAAAAAGACAGACCACTTTGGAATAATAATCAATTATTATAATCAACCAGTTATTTTTCTGGTGCCCACACATGCTCAGCCATCTTTTAATTTGTTTTTTGTAAATTCAGATTGGAAAGCTATAAATAGTTTACCCGTGTCGCTTAGCAACATACCCATGTATCATTCATGTTCAATAAGGCTCATTTTGTTCCTCCTGTAAGGAAAGAATAGCAAATCCCTGATAATAAAAAAACAGTAGCGGTTTTATAAACCTTTGTCAGGGAAGCGTTTGGATGGTTCTTAGCGGTGCCAAATAGAGGGACTTTGGGCTGTTTAATTTTTGCCTTTGGATACATCCGAACGCAGCTGCCTGTTAAGTGAGTTCTATTCGCCGAATCGAAAGAGGAATAAAATGCACAAAATAGTCTTGAACACCACAACAAAAACCCAGTTTTGTAGTTGAAACTGTGTACAGTTGGAGTCAATTTTTTTCCCCCATTTCTCCTGGGTGCTCATTATTTTTTTCTTCAAGCTTAAGTGGATCGCTGCAGGAGAAATATGTTGATGGAAGGAAGGAAGGAAGGAAGAAGGGAGGGAGGTGAGAGAATGGACGGAGGAGAGAAGGAGAAATAAATGAGAGTGAAAAGGAAGGAAGGAAAGAAGGGAAGGTGAGTGAGAGAATGAAGGAAAAGAAGAAAGAAGGAAAGGAAGGAAATAGGAAGGGAGAGAGATGAAGGAAGAAAGGAAGGAAGAATAGAAGGAAGGAAGGAAGAAAGAAAAAGAAAGGAGAGAAGAGAGAAAGAAAGGGGAGGGAAGAGGAAGGAAGGAGAAGCGGAAGGAAAGAAAGAAAGAAAGAAGGAAAGAAAGAAAAAGAAAAAAAGAAAGAGAAAGAAAGAAAAAAAACCTTGGAATAATAATCAATTTTTATAATCAACCAGGAAGGAGAGAAGGAGAGAAATAAGGGAGAAGAGAGAAAAGGAAGGAAAAGAAGGTGAGAAGGAGGGAGGAGAGAAGGAGAGACAGAAAAGAAGGAGCGAGGGATGGCAAGAGAAAGGAAGGAAGAGAGAAGAAGGGAGCGAGGGAGGGAAGTAACCTCGGGCTTTCAAATTCTTAAACCTTGGCTGCTTTGTGTGACCTTCAACTCAGAATTCCCCAGCAGGAATGGCGGCTGCAGAAGTCTAGGATTTGCAGTCCGAATATCTTCAAAGTAGCCAAGCTTGGAAAAACCCTGGTTTAGATCGTTAAGTCGGTCCAGCCGCAGGGTACGTTGACCGACGGCCTTTGAGGCCAACCTTGGAAACCGTCATTTCATTATCTCCTTTCTTCTGCTTTCTCCAACTTCTCCTCCTCTCCCAGTACACCATCAGCGGAAAGAAGGTGGAAGTGGCCGTCAAACAGATCATAGCCGGCAAGGAGGTGGCGAAGCGCGATATCTTCTCTAACCCAGAGACACTCAATCTCTACTCTAACATTCCTGAGCTGCAGGGGTTTTGAAGGAACTCGTCTCTTTCCCGTCTCTTGGTGTGTGAGTGTCTCTCTGCGTGTGTTTGCGTGTGTGTCAGGTTATAGCCGGGTGTATATAAGACGTACATGGATGATCTCCATCCAGGAAATTGACTTGAGCGATTCTCCTTCCAGAGGGGGACAGAAGAAAATCCGATTTAGCTGAGCGCTTCAGGAAATAAGAAGGGCTGAATCATTTGGATGGGTTTGGGAATGTCGCGTTTGCTTTTCTTCCCGCTCAGAAAAATGGGAATCTGAACCCATTGGGCAGAAGCTTTCACAACCTAGGTGCTAAAACAGTGGTTCTCAACCTGTGGGTCGGGACCCCATTTGGGGTCGAACGACCATTTCACGGGGGTCGCCAAACAACGCAGTCCACCATTTTTTCCCCCTTTTCTTTGGCCACGCCCCTGGCACCCAGTGATGTATAAGTGGTTGGGAGTCACCACAACATGGGAAACTGTATTATGGGGTCGCGGCATTAGAAAGGTTGAGAACCACTGTGCTTAAAGAATGGGATCCTGGTTTAAATGTTTATCATTTGAAAAGCAAGGATGAGTCTCGGGACGACACCAGGATGGATCCTGGCTAGTTGAGAAAGGGGAGTTTGAAACGGTGGCCTGAATATTTTGGGCAGATGTTTCTCAGTGGGGAGGTGAGAAGGAACCTCTGGAAGAGACATTCCTTGCTTGTCTCACTGAGGACAGTTGCAGGAAGCTTGAAAAACATCTTTTCGGTTGAGGTCGATTGGTAGGCAGCTACGGAATTAGCCGCCATCTTGAAAAAAATAAGCTTTTAAATAAGGTCCCCCCTGAATCCTTAACCCTCCACGTCCAATGTTTCCACTTGAGAAACGTTGGCTAGTGCAAGGAAATATTTGTTTTACTTTTTTCTTTAAAAGAGAGAGAGAGAGAGATGCACTTTTTAAGTTTATTTAACTTTTTAAAAAAACAAATCTTTGTGGGAACCAACAGCAATTTCAGATCACTGTTATTAAAAAAAAGGACTTGTCTTTTGCAAAAAGATGCAAAGAGGTTTTTGGTGGGTAATTCTGGACTGGGTGTCCCTTTCATGGGACCACCTAGTTGATGGTCGTCTCCGTTCCATGGGACTGTGGGCCCGTGGGATGTTTTTTTAATCCGATACAGTGGCACTTGGTGCAGGTTTTTGGTTTTGCTGAAGGTCAAAGGAGGAGAAAAAAAGAGAGGGTTTCACTCCCCCCCCCCCAAGTGTAGAATTAAAAGTGAAAAGTAAGTTTTTAAAATTTGAGGAAGCCCATTCAAGGTTGAGCTACACGTTCCTCCTAGCAGAACAGGGCCTATACCAATGTTTCTCAGCCATGGTGACATTAAGGTGTCTGGGATCCATTTCCCAGTTTTCCCCAGCCAAGCTTGTGGAGGGGAATTCTGGGAATTGAAGTGCAGGTACCTTAACGTTCCACAGATGGAGACACACAAAGGCTTAGATATTTACAGTGCAATCGTAGATCTTCCATGGCTGTGATCAGCACCTTGATTTTAGAGTCACATCTTTCGACGGGCAGAGATTTTGAGCCCAGAAGCTTTGATTCTAACTGAGGGTACTTCCAACAGCCAAGGATACTTTAAACAAGTTTTCTCCATGTGGCCAGGAGTTCCAAAGGCACTGACAAAAGCAACACGTTGCATGCTTGTGAAGTCCTACGGAACCATACAACAATTTGCACTTAAAACGCCTGGGAGAAAACCGGAACAATTCCCTTTGAGATCAGGAATGAAAACTCTTATCCATGGTGCAGTTAGATGGTAAATCCGTCCTCCATGCCTGCTGATAGGAGTTTGGAATCCAGCAGCGCCCTATCCTTTCTCGCCCAAGTGTGAAAAAACACTTGTGCAAGGTGTTTAAATCTGGGTGTAAACAAAAATATTGGGTGGAGGGAGAATTCTGTGAGGTGGGCTCTTCCTGAATCTGATAGGAAACCTCATGAGCTTTGAGGCTTTGTGGCTAATGCATACATACATACATACATACATACATACATACATACATAAATACATACATGTAGGTCTTTGGTTATTCGGGTTTTCTCCCGCGTCAAATTGGAAGTGTCTTGGCGACGTTTCAACGAAGTCTCATTCGTCATCTTCAGGCTGGTGTTTTCGGCTTCGTGCTTCTAGGAGTTAAAATTGCTCCTAGAAGCACGAAGCTGAAAACACCAGCCTGAAGATGACGAATGAGACTTCGTCGAAACGTCGCCAAGACACTTCCAATTTGACGCAGGAGAAAACCTGAATAACCAAAGACCTACATACAAACACCCGCGAAAACCTCAGAAAACATATATATACACTTTTTATTCCTTACTTTATTATTATTATTATTATTTTTAAATGAAATTTTTAAGGGCATAAAAGGACTAAAAATCTGGTCAGGATGCTTTATAACTATCTTGGTTTGTAAATAAGTGTTTTCTTCCCCCTAATAAATGGTTACAAGCATACGGAAAGATGCCAGTTAATTACACACGAAAGGGAGAAAAATGGGGGGAAAAATATGGAATTAATGTGGGTAAATTTTCTTTCTGGAGTTTTTCCTTTTTTTTTTTAAGAAAAAAAAATCAAGATATTGAGGGTGCTCTGTAATGTTTTACTGGATTGAAACTTAATAAAACACTAAATTCTCACCTGTTTTGGTTTTTGTGTTGGTACGTGAACGCCGCATACAATCCAGGTGTCACTCTTCCGACAGATGAAACTCTTCGAAAGAACTTCAAGGCATTGTTTGCCTTACAGAATCTTTATTTGAGTAGCAAAGCATCGGCACTTCATAATAGAAGCCAAAAACTGAATTCCCCTCCCCTGAGCACATCCTATCAAAGCACAATTCCCTCTTCCAATTAACAGTCATAAATCACATTCCCCAATTAGCTTGAAGTGCGGGCTTCCTCTCCAGTGCTCCAGCCCGCCAATTCTTTATCATCTCTTATTTCAACAACCTTGGTTCTCACGCTAGGTTCAGTGTTGTTATGTCTAGCTAGACTCGCATGCACATTCCCCCTCCCCACATCATCTAACTCTAAAAGCAAAAAGAAGAAAATGACTGCATCTCCATCTGTTGTCAATGCACAAACATCCGATGTTAGCAGTATTGACACCAAATTGATAGAACCTGAGAACCTCTATTGAAATATTTAATCCTCCAGGGAAAGATGGAAGGCAAACGAAGTCCAGGCAGAAGAAGAACATCGTGGCTTCAAAATCTAAGGGACTGGTTTGGACAAAAGTCAGCAGCCCTTTTTCGTGCGGCTGCTGATTAAAAACAGGATCGCCAACATGATCACCAACGTCTGATAACGGATATGGCAGAAGAAGAAGAAGAAGATTGAAATATGCCTCAGTCTAATAGACGGGTGGTTGGTGAGAAACTGTACGGAGAACTTACGCAAGGAACTTATTTGTCTGTATACTTTTATGAACACGATGGATTTTGTGACATTGTAGATTTTTATAGGTAGTCTTGACTTAACAGTTCATTTGGTGACCGTTCAAAGTTATAACACCGCTGAAAAAAGGGACTTACCACTGTCGCACCATCCCCATAATCATGTGATCCACTTTTGTGACCCAACAAGCAAAGACAACGAGGAAGGCAGATTCACTTAATTGTGCAAGAAAAGTTGTAAAATGGATTGCATTTGGCCAAAGGCGACAGTTTTATGGGCCGTCAAATTGTTGTCAATTTTTTTAGCCACCACATAGAATAGAATACTCTTTATTGGCCAAGTGTGATTGGGCACACAAGGAAGTTGTCCCCTGCGCAGAAGTTCTCATTGTACATACAAACAACAAAGTAATATAAGATACCAATTGGTTGTAGAAAGGATGAGAAGGAAAAAAAGTAATACAGCCCTACTGCATGGGTAAATATCCTTAAGACATAAGACAGTGCGGTGGGAACTAGCCACGGGGGGGGGGGACTCTCTTTATAACGTACCTCCAGAAATTTTAAAGAAGAGATTGGACAACCATTTGTCTGAAATGGTGCAGGATATTCTGTCTGAGCAGGGGGTTGGACTAGATGATCTCCAAAGTCCCTTCCAAACTCTGTTATTCTATCGTCCAATGGTGACAGCATTGACAGCCTCACCGCTGTAAATGAGTCCACTCTGATCTTCCTATTCTCTTTCCTTCCACTTTTCTTCACATCAGAGCCTCATAGCTTAAAGTTGCTGAGGCTGAGACTCACGGCCTTAACGCTTGCAAACTGGTTGGGGTAGATTAAGTGCTCTGATCAGCATTAATAAGGAAATTTAAAGTAGTTGATTGGCGCTAACTTGTTTAGAGAGATGGCAGTTGGCTTGTGTTGACTAGACCATAGAATAATAGAGTTGAAAGAGACCTCGGAGGTCTTCTAGTCCAGCCCTCTGTCCATGGCAGGAGATTGTATATCATTCCAGACTTTCTTTGGGCTTGATGGGGCCGTAGAAGAATAACAAAAGAACCAAACAGAATAATAGAGTTTTAAGGGACCTCTGGAGATTCTCCAGTCCAACCCATTACCCAAAAAAGAGGCCCTATACCAGTGGTGGCGAACCTATGGCACGGGTGCCAGAGGCGGCACTCGGAGCCCTCTCTGTGGGCACGCGCACCGTCGCCCCAGTCCTAGGCCTTCAGCTGGGTTTTATAAAACCTTTTCGCTTTAGGCCTCCACTGCCGTGTGCAAAAAAAAAAAAAAAAGATTCAATCAAGTCAATTTCAACTTCTCGCAGGAAAAAAAATCTTGCAAAGTTGGAATTGATTGATGGAACTTTTTAGTCCCACCCAGTCTGCCGTTACCACCGCAGCCACGCCCAGCCAATGGGCCACACCCACCCGGCACCCGACAATGCATAAGTGGGTTTTGGGTTGCAGTTTGGGCACTCGGTCTCTAAAAGGTTCGCCATCACTGCCCTAGACCATTTAAGACAAATGGTTGTCCAATCCCTTCTTAAAAATCTCCAGTGATGGAGCACCCACAACTCCTGGAGGAAAGCCGTCGCACTGATTCGTGGTTCCCACAACTAATTGTTAAGTAATTGGTTCATTGCTCTCTAGCTGCTGGAGAAAGCTGAATGGATCTAGCGCTTGATTTTTGCAAGAGGCACCTTCCGCTCTTGTTTTATCTGCTCGTTCTTCATTTTGACTTTGCAAAGTTCTGACGTTCAAAGTTCAACCCCCCCCCTCTCTCTTTTCTCTCTCTCTCTCTGCAAACAGAGAACAAGGGCAAGCAGTGGCAAGGACAACATTGCCCTCTCTCCCTCTTCCCCTTTCTCAGCAGGGCTGGCTGTAAATGAGCAATTAGCACATTTATAGGTCTTCTCTTCCCCCCCCCCCTGCACTGAAGACATGGTTGAGAACAACATGGCAGCCGTTGAGATTTGAAGAGCGCACTGATTTTTGGCATAGTTGGGGACTTGGAGCCCTTGTTTAAATTCCAGTCAGGAGCTAATCAACATCTTGCTGAACGTGACCAGAGAGCAAATGGAAAGCATCAGCTATGCAAAACAGCCTCTAGCAATTTCCATCAGCTAGCCCCTAGGTGAGTCTTCAGAACATTTGTTGATGGTCCACGCAGGGATGTTGGGAAGTCCTAAGTTGCTTGTGCAATAATCATCTCTGACATAGTGGTTCAAAAAAGGTCCTCGCACGCCTAGGAGCTATGAATGTTGGCCATGATTTAAAGGTAAAGAACTCAAATTCCTGTATGTTGATTGTATAATAATAATAATAATAATAATAATAATAATAATAATAATAATAATAATAATAATAATATAATAATTTGAACATCTGGCTGACTGTGCGATGATCAATAATAATATAATGTTGGAAGGGACCTTGGAGGTCATCTAGTCCAAACCCCTGCTCAGGCAGGAAATCCTATACCATTTCAGACAAATGGCTGTCCAGTCTCTTTTTAAAAACTTCCAGTGTTGGAGCCTTCACTGCTTCTGGAGGCAGGTTGTTCCACTGGTTAATTGTTCTT